CCATCTAGAAAGTGGGTGTAGTGACGGGGCCCGCCTCATGGGGCAGCAGGTAGACGATGCTGAGAACAGACCGAGGGTGCCAGGTTCCTCCGTGATGGTAGCCCTTCCTGCCACTTCTGTATTCTGCCTTGAGATACAAGCCCCTTCAGACAGAGACGGCCCCTTTCCTGGTGCTGCTGAGCCCCCGCGGTTGCCTGAGGGCCATTGCACCAGGACACTGGGGTCTACTAGGAAGCACGAGGGGCTCTGTGTGGTTTTATTTTTCCAAGTGGTTTGATGACTTCATTCACCTGTGTGTGTCTGGACGGGGCCTTCTTGCAGATGGAGCGGGGAGCGGGGAGCAGCAAGTGGTCTTGTGTCGAGGGGATGCGGCTAGGCCTCTTCCTGTGTGGTTCGCAGCCACGGGCTGGTAGCCCACGGGGCCTCCAAGCCTCGAAGTGGGTCTGTAGAAATGGCCCTTGGCCGAGGTGCAGGGCCTCAAAGGGGAATGAGGTGGGAAGCCAGGCACCCAGGAAGGACGAGGCCACCCCTGTCTAGCGGTGCCTTAGCCTGGAGAGGAGCCTGCAGTTGGCCTTGGTGGAGCTGTGGGCCAGTGGGAGGCTCCAGAGACTCCCCACACTGCTTGCATGTGCAGGGATGGAGGAGGATAATAATTAATAACGATCGCAGAGTGCTGGACACCCCTGCTGCGCACGGCTTCATCTCCATCCCCTTTGAAGAGGCAAGGAAATGGGCAGAGAAGCTGTGGGTTGTCCGAGGAAGCCAGGCCGGCAGGACTCAGCCTCCCTCTGTGACTGTGGGGTGGACCCACCATGCCTCCCTGCCCCCCTGCCCAGCCAGCGCCAAGGAGATGGGTATCCAGGGCAGCCATGGGTCCCCTGCCCTGAGCAGCCAGCCCCCAATGTCTGCAGAAAGCGCCTGTCCTGTGACTGGACAGCCCAGCCCCTCGCACCTGCTGCTGACCAGCTCTCAGCCCCACCTGCCCTCAGCCCCGCCCCTTCAGCCCCGCCCCCTCAGCCCCACCTGCCCTCAGCCCCGCCCCCCTCAGCCCCGCCTTCCTTCAGCCCCGCCTCCCCTCAGCCCCGCCCCTGAGCATGGCGCTCCACTCACCCCACGTCCCTCTCTGCTCCACTCCAGCCCCTAAGCAGGGGGGGGGACCCCAAAGAGGCATTTATCTTGAGGGACTTCCTTTGGAGGCTACCCTGGGCGAGCTGCGTCCTGGGGGACCCAGTCAAGCACAGAGACCCTGCAAACAGGTCGAACAAGAGGCAGGACCACCCAGAGTGGGGTGACATCCTGGGGACTGAACGGGGAAGGGTGAAAGAGCTTCGCGGGGGGCGGGGCAGCCTCTCCTGGGGAAGTGAGGTTGAAGCTGAATCCCAAGGGAGCAAGGGGCGGTCGAGGATCATGCATGGCCCTGAGCCGGGCACGGTGGTGGGGCGAGCAGGGAGATGGGTGTCATGGAGCGGGTGTGGGCTGGTGAAGCCCCATCTACAGCGGAAGCTACTAAAGAGTCTTAAGCGGGAGAGAGACGATGTGCCCCCCAGAGATGGCCCTGGCTGCTGCTGTGCAGACCTCCCAACTCCCTGCTGCCTGCATCCCCACCCCCCTCCTTCCCAGGTCCCTCCCGCACCGCCACCCCCCTCCTTCCCAGGTCCCTCCCGCACCCCCACCCCCCTCCTTCCCAGGTCCCTCCCGCACCCCCACCCCCCTCCTTCCCAGGTCCCTCATGCACCCCCACCGCCTTTCCTTCCCAAGTCCCTCCACAGGTCCTGGTCAACTCCCAGGCTGTTCTCTTGGTCACAAATGCTGTTCCTCTATCTCTCCCCACTCACCCCTCATCTTCTCTGAGGGTCCTTGTCACTTCCTGCTTTCTCTGGTGGAGTCTGCGCCAGGGCAGCTCCAGGAGCAGGTCCCGGCCACAAGTTGCTCCATGAGCCGTGGCCTGATTTTCTTGAGTGCCAGGCAGGGCGTGGGGACCTCCCCTTCCTCATCTGTCACCTGGCTTCCTCCACATGTACAGAGGAGGAGAGTGAGGCTCAGAGAGGGGAAGAGGCTCTCCCTAGGCCACACGGCCAGGAGCACTCAAACAGGATTCAACAGACACCCGTGAGGTCCCATCACCTGCACAGCTGCCCCTGCATAACCCGGGGTGGAGCCTGGAGAACGGAGGGGAGGACACCACCAGCTCCCCAGCGTGTTCCTCAGGCACGGGGCCTCCTGCCCCTGCAGCCTCCGTTCGACCTCAGGTTTGAATCCCAGACCTGCTGCCTGTTTTCAGTACCCCGGGCCCTAAAAGGAGGCGAGCATGTTGATGACAAGCAGGAACTTTGGAGTCCTGCAGAGCCCTGGCCCTGTGGGGGCAACACCAGGTCGTGGCTCAGATCCCGGCACGCGGCACACTCGCTGTGTGACCTTGGGTAGATGACTTCACCTCTCCGAGCCTGGTCCCTCCTGGTAAAATGGGCTGATGGTAGCATCGGCCGCAGAGGGTCTCCGTGAGGATGAATGACTCATCAGTATCTGTAGAGCACTGAGAAGAGGCTCCCTGCAGTGAGTCGCTATCCAAGTCTCTGAAGTAAAAGGACAGGCCCCTGTTCTGCCCAAAGGGAACCACAGGAAGTCCCCGACTGCTCCGGGCGCCGGCAGGGCACTGTCTCTTCTGGCTTCAGGATCCAGAGTGTCGCGAGCACACAGGTGGTGGCCATAAGCCCTTGTTGGATGATGGCTGTGGCAACTCCTTGCACCGTGGCATGATGGCCCAGAGGTCTCCTGGCCACCCTCTCCACCTTAGGAAATGTGGCATGTCCGTCCATCGTATGAGCGCCCGTCCAGCGCCCGGCGCCAGCTCCTCAGTGGGGCTCTCTGCATCCATTTCTGTTTTATTTGAGTATCGTGGCTCGAATGTAGCCGCCTCCGTGGGAGGGCTTTGGAAAGTCCAGACAGGGCGTCCCCAGTGTCCTGGACCCGTGTCCCCAGAGCCAGCCTGGCGTTTGAAGCTCTCGGCCCCATCCCTGCCTGCTCCCTTCTGGGTGTGCCCAACCCACGCTGGCCCAAGGGCAGCCTGGTCTGGATGGGCTGCACCCCACAGGACGCCCCGCCACGTTCGCCTTCTTTGGATGTCACCAGGGACTGGCCACCGGCCCTGCAGCCAGGCGGTGTTGACGGCCCCCACAGCTGTGGCCGCACGTGTGCCCAGCCATCAGCCTCCTGACAGGCGGGTGGCCAGGAGGGGCAGGGCGCCCTCCGGGAGGGAGGCCAGCGGCTGTGCGGAGGGGACAGCAGGTGCCGCGAGGCCTGGGTGGCTGTTTACTGGCTGCTTCCTCCCCCACCATTCCCCACAGCAGACAGGGGGCTGCTCCACTCCTGCCTGGAGCACCGGGGGCTGGTTAGAGCCCAGGCGCCGCGGCCCTGAGATGTTGGGCAGGACCTCAGCACCTCTGAACTTCTCTGCTCTTCTGTGAAAGGGGCAGGCGGCGAGAGGATCAGGCGAGGTTGGCACTGTATTTGGCACGTGATAGCTGCAGAAGTCATTTATCCGTCATCTTCCAGAGGCCGGGTGGCCCTGGCCCCGGCTGGATCTCTCCGTCTGACAGTGGGGCTGAGACCCTGGGAATGGGGAACGGGCAGAAGCAGGGGTAGCGCCCACGGTTCACTAATAAAATGACAGACACCAGCCCCCAACTGTGGCCTCACCTGCTTCATGCCCCGGGCCGTGGGCAAGACCCACAAGTGTTAGCAGGAGGAGGCTGCAGGGCAGTCCAGGTTTTAGCAGGTAGAGGATGCCCTCCTTGCTGCTCTAAGCCGCTGAGGCCCCCGAAGTCTCAGCCACGGATCCCAGGTCTTTCTGCCTTGCCTTGGCACTGGCTGACCTTGACTTAAGATGAATGGGGAGGCCCAGGGGCTTACATCCGCACCCCCTGCAGAAAATGCTGCAGACAGGGTGCTGGCTTGGCCTCCTGGTGTCTCGGGCAGGTCTGTGCTGCAGGCCCTTCAGTTAACCTGGAAGCGTTGTCTGCAGGCCCTGCTCTCTGGATGGTGCAGAGGGGGCTCAGTGACCACCAGTCCTGCCCACCAGCGCCTTGAGCATTTTCCCACCCTCCCTGTACACAGCTGGCCCTGGGCAGAGCTGCTCAGACTTCAGGGAGCCTCAGACCATGAGAGAAGCTTGTTCAGCTGCAGGTTCTGATTAATCAAGTGTCCTGGCATTACCACCTGCCAGTGGGCGGCGCTCAGCGTGCCCAGGCCTCGGCCATCCCGAAATCAACGCTTCCTCTGCCTGCTGGTGGCCGTGCTCAGCATGGCCAGGCCTCAGCCATCCTGAAGTCAACGCCACCTCTGTCTTGGCTGTCCTATGAATCACCGGGACAGAAGATGGTGAAAATGGAGGTTTTGCCGCCCTAGGTGGTCTGCCTGCCGGGCTCTCCCTGGGCATACACTGCCCGCCCTCCTGCCCCAGCCCAGGGAAGCCTGTTAGCATCGGAAAGTGGAAGAGACTCCTAGAACTATGGCGTCTGGGGCCCGGACCAGCAGCAGCCCCACCTGGGAACATGTTGGCAATGCAGGTTCTGGGTCGCAGCCTGACCTGCTGAATCAGAACTGGGGGGAGAGGCTGCGGTCTGTCTGAACACCCCCTGGGGGATGCTCATGGAGGCGGGAGCATGGCACCACTGCCTCAGGGCACTGCCCCCTCCTGGTCTGTAGAAGCCTCAAACCTGGCGTGGGGTGTGGCTCTCCCAGGGCCACCACACACCGAGGGCCCCAGCTCCAGTGTGGCTGGCCACCTGAGATGAGCTGGCCCAAGCCTCTCCTCCGGCCTGGTTCCGCCCCCGAGATCACCTGCAGGTGGGACGTCAGCCACCTGTCAGGGCACCTGGGGCAGGCTGCCCCAGCGCTGGGCAGCCTCTTGGTGGGGCCTTGGCTGGGAACCGTGGGGCTGTGGGCACCGGCCTCTGTACTTAGCCCGCTTCACCCACTCTCTCTTTCTCCTTTGGTTGCAGCCCCTGGGGACAGGAAGGCTAAGGCCTCAGCAATGCCGGACTCCCCAGCGGAGGTGAAGACGCAGCCCCGGTCCACACCCCCCAGCATGCCGCCCCCACCACCTGCCACGTCCCAGGGGGCCACACGCACCCCCTCCTTCACGCCACACACACGTAAGTAGCCCCCACCTGGCAGCCGAGGGCCAGGTGTTTCAGGGGAGCCCCTCATGTTGTGTGAAATTCCGAGCTTCCTGCCCAGAGCCGGTGGGCACCTGCTGTGAGCCCTGAGTGTGAGGAGCTCACGTGGCATGGCCCAGAGTCCAAGCTTGGCGGGTTCAAATCCCTGCTTCCCACTGTGTAGCTCTGGGCCAGGTCCTTGCCCTCCGGGGGCTTGGGCTGCTTCTTCTGCAGTGCAAGGTCCTCCCAGGGCTGTGGTGGGGCCAGGTGAGTCCACACAGGCCTTCACCAGGGCCAGCCGTGGGCCTTGGGTCAAAGCCGGCCGCTGTGCCTCAGGCTTCCTGCCTCATCTGGCAGGCCCAGGGATGCCAGGCTCATCCAGAGGGAATGTGGAACTCGGATGGAGTCAGGGGCTTCCCCAGGGTCACACAGCAGGTCACCTGTGTACAGGCCCCCTGGAGGGACCGCAGGAGCGGCTCTGGCCTTGGAGGGGCTCGGCAGGAGCTCGGCAGCCCGGCTGAGCACGGGGGCGGGGTGGGGGCCTCAGCACAGGAGGCCAGAAGGGCGGGACCTCGAGAAGCTCCCAGGCCTTATCTTGCTGGCCCTGGGCAAGGGGTTGGCCATGCTTGGCGCACAGAGCCGCTGAGGGTGGGCCCTGGGGGGCTGTGGGGCAGCGAGCAGCCAGTTCTCATCGCATCAACCCCGAGGCTTGGCTTTGAGGACAGAATTGGTGCTCTGTGGCCCAGTTGCTGGGCCGGCGGGGTGGGCAGCGTCCCTGCCCTTCAAGGCCAGGGACTCAGGAATGCATCTCGGTGTCTGCAGGGGTGGAGACTCCGTGTACCCATGTCACGTTCAGAGGCCGGAAAGCTCTGAAACTCAAATGAAGCCCCTCTCTGTGGGAGGAGCCTGAGACTTCTGTCGCGCTGGCCCCGGGTCCCCCACAGGCCAGGAAGAGCTGCTTCCTCAGTCCCTTTGTGTCACGACTGTCCACAGAGCACCAGGCGGCTATGGGCCAGGCCTGGCTCCCTCCCTGACTCTGCCCCGAGGCTGGGGGTCTGCTCCGCCAAGGGCTTTGGCCGTCATCTCCCCTGCATCTGGAAAGAGCACTGGCTGTGGGCTCAGGCAGCAGACTTGCGGCCCTGTTTGTGGGATGCTGGCTCCGAGTCAGCCTCCTGACTTGGTTGGGGAATGGGGTGACCCAGCAATGGGGTGCCCCCAGGTGTGCCGCCCAGAGGCAGGTACAGCTGGAAATGTGCCCAGCACTCAGTAGGAGCCAAACAGCCTAACACCTATTTCCTGCACCCACGGGGCCTCCACGTGTCATGGAGCCCATACTGGGGGCCAGCCCTGCCTCCGACAGTCGGGATGCCACACTCACGATTCTGCAGGTCCTGGAGGATGGCAGGCCCAGCATGCAGGTCTTGGCTCTGCGGAGCTGGCCACAGTTTCCAGTGAGAGGTTGGCTGGGCTTTTTCTCACATGTGCTTGTCACACGGCGATGTGGCTGGGCTGGGATCACCCTTCCCTCTCTTCCGGAAGAGCCCTCCCGTCTGGTACGAACCACAGGTCGTCTCTTTCCACCAGGCCGCTTGCGACCACACCGAGCCCGCATAGGTAGAGAGGGGAGACCACTGGTGTGTTGAATTCGCAGCGCACCCCAGCCCGGGGGGAGGAAATGCTCAGGATGGACCACAGGAGACCCGGCCATGGGTGCAGTGCCTAAAACGCCCAGTCCACAACCCTCAGGCCCCAGTGTCAGGGACAAACGCTGTGGGCTGAGCCTGGTTCCCCAGACCCTCAAGGGTGCGTCTCCCTGACCTGCTCCTCCCCGGGCACCAGCAGCCTCTGCTTCGAAGGTGCTGGTCTGGGGACCCGATGCTCCCGGCTGGGGGTGGGGTGGGATCAGCGGAGCCTCAGGCTCTGCTTCCGGAGACCTGGGAACACTTGTGAGGGCAGCCGGCATGCCTGGGGCGGGGTCCTTCCCACCCCCTCCGCTCTCAGCACACCTTGGGGTCAGGTTTCTGGGGTGAGGTCCCAGCTGGTTTAAGGAGCGTGAAGGTTATGCAAGAGAGAAGCAGGTGCTTTTTCTTTTCTAAGCCGATGCTTCAGTCCCACCGGGCTGTCAGGAGCATCAGTCTGAGGCTCTGGCTGCCCCTGAGGTGGCCTCAGATTCATCCCCTAATCCACACAATTCCCTGAGAGCCAGGTGGTTGGCTGCACCCCTGCCCCTGGCTGGTGGGTGTCCTTGAGGGGCCACAGCTCGGCAGCAGAGCCCTGCCGGGAGGCTCCTCCCCGGGGACTGGCCTCTGAGCCAAGCTGATGGGAGACTGAGCTTGAACGGAGACTTGAGGGCTGAAGTTTTTCTTGCCCAGTGACTGCCCTGGGCACAAATTCATCTTGGAGTCGAAGCTGCAGTGCTGCTGCGGGGGTGGGGGTGGAGGGGAGAGGCCTATAACGAGCAGGGACCCAGACCAAGCTCCTCTAAAGCTGGGAAGACCCTTAAAGGGCTAAGGCTTTACCCTGCCCTTGATTACCCCCATGACAGAGAACTCACTACCTGTTTACAGAGCTCCAGCCTGTCTTCCTGTGGGCTTCGCCGCTAACTTCAGCTCGGACAAATTCAATTTTTCTTCATTTATATAGCAGAGATGGGGACTCCCTACGTCACCCAGGCTGGTCTTGACCTCCTGGGCTCAAGCTCTCCTCCCACCCCAGCCTCCCGAAGTGCTGGGATTACAGGCGTGAGCCACCGCACCCGGCCAAATCTTTCTTCCTGTTTGGTGCTTCCTCCTCCAGCGCTGACCCAGGGCTTTGTTTGAGACTCCAAGTCTCAGATCACTTTTAGGACACGCAGCTTCGGCCCAGGCCCCTGAGGATGGTGCTGATGGGGTCACAGGTGCCTTCTGGGAAGAGGATGTTGAAAACGAGGGACCCTGCCCCTGCTCAAAGAGAAGCCTTGGTTCTTGTAGACTCTGGAACGGCCCTGTCAAAAATGGCCCTTAGGGATCGTCCACTCTCAGAGAAGGAAACTGAGGCCCAGAGAGCGGAGCGGCCTGGCCCCCGGTGGTGACGAGCCCCACTGAAAATCGCTCTGTGAAGCAGGAAAAGGCGGCTGCGGGCGCCCCTGAGGGCAGAGTCTCCTGCCCACGCCCTCACAGAAAATCGCTCTGAGAAGTAGGAAAAGGCGGCCCCGGGCGCCCCTGAGGGCGGAGTCTCCTGCCACGCCCCTCCTGACAGCGTGTTCTTCTTATTTTGCTTACAGATGGAGAGGACGGGCCTGCGACGCTGCCCCACGGCCGTTTTCATGGCTGCTTAAAATGGTCTATGGTCTGTCTCTGTAAGTAAAATAACAAAAACCGCAGGCCTCCCGGGAGGTCTTCACCGCAGCACCCTCTGTGGGCCCAGCGCTGCTGCCCTGGGGGTGCTCGGCACTCCTCCGCGGCCTCCACACCCTCAGCATTGCCTCTGTCGTGTTGGTCCTGCCTCCTTCGGGAGAAGAGGGCGCAGGAGGGCAGAGCCGCAGGGTCCCTGCATCCCACAGACCCTCCGCTCCAAGCTGTGGGGCTTCAGGCAGGAGCAGGGCCTCTCTGAGCTTTCCTCCCCAGCAGCAAAACGTGGCCAGTGGGACTGACTGTGAGTGCCCAGGGAAGGGGCGTGGCACTGTCCCTGGCAGGCCTGGAGCTCAGCCATGTCTGCTAGGGCAGACCCCACCTACCTGGAGTCCCAGCTGCACCTCTTCCTGCCAGGGTGACCTTGACCAGGTGCCACACCCCGTGCCTCAGTTTCTCCACCTGTAAAATGGAAGTCATCATGGGCCCTGGTGCCAGGGGTGGTCTCCAGGAGCCGTGAGATGGTGGGGCCGGGCACGCGCTGGGCGCTCAGCAGACTTGATTCTCCAGCAGACGTTTGCGTCGACGGGCGTGGCCCATGGCAGGCGTTCAGGGAGCACGGGCTCTTACCAGGCGGTGTTTAGAGTTTCTCTCAGCCGGTGAGCACAGCCATGCTTGAGCCCATCAGACAGACTCCGGTCCCTCACTACCAGCCAGCCTGGCAGTACGGCCCAGGTGTGGCTGCCGCGTCACTCCCAGCTCTAAGAATGAGGGTGGCAGAACAACTGTGCGTTGTTTCTGTTGCACGGGGCTGTCCTTGTCACAGCCGTTATTCTGTGATGGGCCTGGCCATGCACCCGCGCCTGGCATGCAGCTCCGGGACAGTGGCTGTTGTCACCCACTGTGTGATCTTATGGATGGCAAAGATGGTGAATCCCAGCCCTGGAGCCCCCACAACAAGGAGCAGGGGTGGCAGGAGGGGCTGCCTTAGGGCGCCTCTGTCCCATCTGACCCCCCCACCAAGGCTCTGAGGCTGGGGGAGCCGCAGGGGTGCTCGTGTGTGCCCCCAAACCTCAGCTGGGGACACGTGTGCAGTCTAACTTAGTAACACACCTGTTGCGGGAATGAAAGCACTTGTGCCGGGGTTATTTTCGGCGTCTCTTTAGCTGCTGAGACTGCCCGGCAGCGCGGGAGGGAGTGCGCGGGCAGGCGAGGGCGAGCAGGCCACTGGAAGGACCGGGCACCCAGGGCAAGGCTGGTAAGCGCACCTAAGGGAGGGCCAGGCCCAAGCCGGCCGGGGCGGTGGGCAGGGGCCCTGGTGTGCACCGTGGCAGTCTGAGAAGCCACTGGAAGGTCCACAGTCCTGGTGACAGTCCTGTGTGTCCTGGAGAAACCAGCCTCCCACTGTGGTGAGGTCTCCCATGGTGACGGGCCATCTCCTGGCCTGGCTGGGTGACCGCAAGTGGCTGTCTTCAGTCTTGACGGGGTGTGTGTGTGTCAGAGTCCACCGTGTGGCCAGTTGGAGCTCACCAGTGAGAGGGAAACTCAGCAGCATGGTGGGGTCCTCCGGACAGAACCTCAGAGAGCGAGAGACCAGGGGCTCAGTGCATCCTGCCTCAGTGTCCACTGTCCCCCCGGAGGAGGGAAAGCCCCAGAACACGGTGCCATTATCGGTGCCACGCACTCCGGAGGGCCAGTGCATCCATCCTGAGCCCAGGAAGGCACTGCTGAGATCATTCAAGCCAGGGGCACAGACAGGCTACCCCCTACACAGGCCGCCCCTGGTTGAGGGGAGCGCCGCTCAGAACGCCGTGTGGAGGTTCACGGCCCCAGCAGCAGAGGTGTCTCAGTTCTGCAGCCAGCCCATCGGAACGGCCGAGGCCACGTGTGCACTCCAGGTTTTGTGCCATGTCTGACCTTCAGTTAGCGGTTTCCAGTAGGTGTGGGGACCATTTACTGCCAACGGCCTCACACAACACCCAAACCATAAAGCCAGTCAGGATGGAGCCACCCCGGGGGGCTGACCTGGGCAGCGAAGGAGAGGCCAGGGAAGCCCGGGTCTGGCCTGAGTGACTCCAGCTGGGGACACATGGTACAAAGGAGGTCACTGCCACGCTGTCCCTTGGTCCCTGGAGCCCCACTTGGAACTCCAGGATGGGCTGGGAGCCATTTGCAAATGAAGAAACTGAAGCTAGGCACCGAGTCTGACTCACAGGGCACGTCTGGGCCTGGCGGCCGGGTCCTCGCTCCTAACCAGGGCAGCTTCCCCCAGCCCTTGAAGGCAGGGCTGTGTCTGTCTGGACGTCCTTACCACGCTGGTGTGTCTGAGGGCCTCTGTGGCGCCCCCCGCCCTTCTGGCCTCCTCCCGCAGACCCTGCAGTGGGTATCTGTGAGGCCCAGGCTGGAGCGAGAGCAGAGTGAGCACTGGGCCCCAGGGAAGGCCGTCATTGTGGGCACATCTGTTCCGCCTTCTCCACCAAGAACATCTTGAGAACAGGGCCGGCATCACCCCGTCCCGCTGTGCCCAGCGCTGGCTGCTCGGTGTGTGGGACCTGCCGGGGACGCGAGGCGGTCTCGGGGAGCCGCGCTGCCCCGCTGAGTGTCTTCGGTGCCTCGGCGCCCATCTGCCACGTGGAATGTGTGTGATGACCGTGCAGCCTGTGTGTGCGCAGATGCAGAGCCCAGCCCGGGCCGCAGCACAGCTCCCTGACCCAGGAGGCGCCTCGCAGGTGCCACTAGGCCGCGGTCGGGAAGGTGAGAGCCTCAGGCGGCTTCTGGGAAGGTGGAGTGGAGGAAGCTGATGGCGGCCACCTAAGGGTTACTGGAGGGACACTTAGAGAGGGTCTGACCCCTCAGAAGGGCCTCGGTGGAGGTACGGGCTGGTCAGTCAACCTCGGGAGGGTGTGGCCAGGCCCAGCCGGGGCCACAGCTGTGGGGACGCAGCCCAGGAAGGGGGGCCGGCATGTGGGCCCCCACGTCCCATGTTCCCTCCCGTCCAGGCAGAGTCCACAGCACTCAGCAGGGTCACCTCCCAGGGCCAGGTTAGGATGGGCAGGGCTGGCCTGATCTGAGGGGTACACCAAGACCCCCCACTATCCAGGGCACATGAAGTAAACAGCAGGTGCCTACCGGCTTCCCAGGAGGAGCCGCTGCACCAGCCCAGCCCAGGGGCGTCTCCATCCTGGAGAAGGTTTTCCTCCCCTCCTCGGCACACACAGGCCCGCCAGGCCTCAGCCACAGGCGTGAACACACGGCTGGAGCCTCGGAGGAATTCGGCCCTGAGGGAGCAGGTGGCTCTGAGCTGCCCCCACCCCCAGACCCACACTCTCAGCAAGGGTGAGGGGTGGGCTCCCTGGAGAGGGGCACTCGGGGCCACAGTGGAGCAAGAGAGACGTGCGTGAACGTCATAGCCGTGCGTGCGTGTGTGCATGTGTGTGTGTGCATGTGCATACATGTGTGCACATGTGTACGTGTGTGTGCATGCGTGTAAGGGCAGTGGGGGGTGAGGGGAGGCAGGGAAATGGAGGAGTTGGTACCCTGTGTAGGGAGCGTGTCCTTGTGCAGGAGGCGGGAGCCAGCCGTGAGTGTGTGCGGGGTTTCAGTCCTCCTGACAGCAGGAGCTGGCCAGGACTTCAGGCCTCCCAGAGGCATCCAGTCCCCCTCCCGTCAGCAAGGGACTCGGGAGCCCTGTGACCTCTGACCTGTCTGCAGAGCCTGGAGGTCGCCCCTCAGGCTCCTGAGGCCAAGGGCACAGGGTGCAGGTGTCCCGGGCACAGGAGGGCCACCCTGGCCTCCTTGCAAGAGGCTTGGCCTTAGCTCTGTCACCTGAGAAAAGGGGTGAGGCCCAGCCCTGGGACTTTCCATAGCAGCCCCATGTCTGCCAGGCCCCTGGAACGCTGACCCCAATAGGAGGGCCAGCCAGGCAGTCACGTCTCAGTGGCCAACAGGCAGCCCTGCAGCGCACTCATCAGCTGTTCCTTATGTCACCTGCTTGTCCTCAACATGCGCTGGTCTGTGTGCACATGCATCTGTGTGTCCAGCCACCAGAGGCAGGAACCCACCCAGTGTGTCCTTGGGTGTCCCAGCTCCTCTGCGCCCTGGAACCCCATTAGCCCAGGTGTTGGGGCAAATGAAGGTATCGCTCACAGCTGGGAGTCACCTGTCTGGAACATGGCTCGGGGCTGGGAGACACATGTAGGAGGGACATTGCTCAGGGCGGGAAAGCACCTGCAGAGCTGGGAGGCACCTGTGTGTGTGTGTGTGTGTGTGGGTGGGTGGGGCACATTGTTCGGGGCTGGGAGGCACCTGCAGGGCACATTGCTCGGGGCTGGGAGGCATCTGTGGGGGGCATTGCTCGGGGCTGGGAGGCACTTGTTTTGGGGACGTTGCTCGGGGCTGGGAGGCATCTGTGGGGGAAATTGCTTAGGGCTGGGAGGTGCCTGATTGGGTGTAGGGGTATTGCTTGGGAACGTCATGCCAGAGGTGATGGTAGCTGGTCTTTCAGGGGGATGAGCGACTTCTCATTTTCCAAGTCTCCTGTGCCTCCAGAAAGTGGGAACTGAGCCATCAAGCCCCCGTTGTGTGGAGAAGCCCCTCGCTCCCTGTTCGCAGTGAAAACCTGAGCCAGCCTGGTGGGTCGGTGTCTTCCAGGCCAGGTGTAGGGGCCACACCCCTCCTGGGTGTGAAGGGCCTGACTTCAACCCCAGAGCAAGTCCCAAGGGTGGTGCCAGGCAGGGGAAGCCACACTCAGAACACAGTCACTCCACAGCCACCGCCATTGTGGGTGCCATCCCAGCCCTTACCCACTGGGGACCTGGGGCAAAGAGGCTTCACCTCCCTGGGTATCCATTTCCACGTCTGTAAGGGGTTGTGTGTGACTTCTCAGAGCAGGGCCGGAAGGACGGACGGTCAGCACGCAAAGGTCTGGCTCAGCTGCCCTGGGCGGGCCCAGGGCTCCTGCTGTCATCCTCAGCACTGCTGTCCTTGTGTCCCATTATTGTTGCCGTTGCTGTGGACATTGTCACCTTGGTTGCTGCTGCCCTCACTGTCGCCGCCGTCTGGGCTGTGTTGTCACCGTCACCTTTGCGTCCTCGTGTCCCTCACCCTCACACCCGCTTCCCTCCTGCAGTGATGAACGGCAGCAGCCACTCGCCGACAGCCATCAGCGGCGCACCGTCCACACCCAACGGCTTCAGCAATGGCCCGGCCACCTCGTCCACGGCCTCCCTGTCCACACAGCACCTGCCCCCGGCCTGCGGGGCCCGGCAGCTCAGCAAACTCAAGCGCTTCCTCACCGCCCTGCAGCAGTTTGGCAGCGACATCTCCCCAGAGATCGGGGAGCGCGTGCGCACGCTGGTGCTGGGCCTGGTGGTGAGTCGGGCAGGGGCAGCCAGGGCCTTGGGACGTGCGTATTCCCTCTGTTGAATGAGGATGCAGCCACGGCCACCCCGCACGTGGGCTCCATGCTGACGACTAGGCGTGGACCCGCTCCCACGATGCCGCCTGCACCCTCCCAGGCCGTGCCCAGCTCCTGGGCTGCCTGCCCGCTTCCAACATGGAGCCGCCTCCTCAGGCATGGGCGGGCCAGCGCTGGCTCATGTGCCGAGCAGTGCCGGTGTGAGGTGGGTTTTCTCCCCTGCAGAACTCGACGCTGACGATCGAGGAGTTTCATTCCAAGCTTCAGGAGGCCACCAACTTCCCTCTGCGGCCGTTTGTCATTCCCTTCCTGAAGGTAATGGCAAACCCATCCCCTTTCCTGCGGGGGCCTCCTTAGAAGGCCCCTAATCCCATTCCTTGCCAGTGTGGACAGCGGTGTACAGGCGGGAAGGGGCTGATGTGGCCGGATAGACTGGTGGGTGAAGAACTGTCGGGCGTCGATCTTGGCCAGCCTAGGACCTGTGGTGCCCTAGGGGAGCACTGCTGACTAGTTGACTAGTCAGGGTTGATTCCTACGAGTTAAGGCCTGAAAACTGGTTCCCAGACCGGAGGATTAGTCAGCCACTGAATCCAGTGCAGGACAGAGCTGTGTCCGCTTTGGCTCTGGTTGCCACTCGCCGAACGTGCTCGCTCACTCCACAGGTGATTTTTGGCACTGATGATGTGCCAGCGTGGGGCGAGGCTCAGGGACAGGGCCCAGGACATGCAGCAGGTCCCTCCTGGAGCCAGCACCCTGGGGTGGGAAGGCGTTCGGTCCACAGCCACTGTCAAATCTGCAGCTGTATGTGGTGGAGAAATATTCCGAAAGTCTCTTGCCTGGAGGCGTGTTGGTGAGGACTAAGGATGAGGGCGGAGCTGGGTGCGGAGCCAGCCCAGGGCTTTCCAGACAGCAGGAGCTGCACGTGCAGAGGCCCCGAGGCGCGCAGGGCATTGGGTGCGGAGAGACGCCCGAGGCGCAGGGCGTTGGGTGCGGAGAGACCCCCGAGGCGCAGGGCACCGGATGCGGAGAGGCCCCTGAGGCGTGGGGCGCCAGGTGCGGAGGCCCCCTGAGGTGTGGGGCGCCAGGTGCGGAGGCCCCCAAGGCGTGGGGCGCCCACTGTGCTTGAGGAGCAGCAGAGGGGTCAGTGCGACTGGAACGGAATACGTGGGTTGGAGAGAGCAGAGGTGAGGGCAGGAGGCGTGGACAGGCAGGAAGGGTTTTATGTGGCTACGTAGGCAGGTGGATGAAGACGTGTCAGGTGAAAGCAGGTCAGATGGTCACACCCAGATCAACCGTGGACCAGGGCGGCAGCACGCGGGGCTTGTCAGCTATGCAGGCTCTCGGCCCGGCCAAAACCTCCTGAATCAGAGCCTGCATTTTTACAGATGCCAGTCTGAGGAGCGGGGATTGCTTGAGGCCAGGAGTTCCAAAACAGCCTGGGCAACACAGCTAGACCCCGTCTCTACAAAAAATTTAAAAATTAGCTGGGCACTGTATGCACCCATGGTCCCAGCTACCGGGGAGGCTGAGGTGGGAAGATCGCTTGAACCCAGGAGGTCGAGACTGCAGTGAGCAGCGATCATGCCACTGCACTCCAGGCTGGGTGACAGAGCAAGACCCTGTCTCTGAACTAATGAATGAATGAATGAATGAAGCCAGTGATTCCCATGGGAGAGTGATTCCCGCACACAGGCAAATGGGACGGGCGCGGAAGTGCCGTGGAGTCAGACTGCCATCTCTGCGGGTCTCCGCTTCCCCAAGACAGCCGCACATCTCTCGCAGGAGCTGAGGAAAGGTTCCCCAAATGGATCTGACCCTGTGACCCTCTCTTCTGAGCACGTGTTGGGGTCAGGGTTCCACGGAGCTTAATTGGGAGCTGCCAGTCTGGCCGCACCTTCGGGCCCACCTGAGCGCTGCCTGCCCTGCTGTGGGCTCCGTCTCTGCTGGGCCAGGCCTCCCCTCGGGGGTCCGGAGGACAGACCAGATCAGACCCTCCCTGGCTTGAGCCCGACCCTGCCAAGTGGCAGCTGTTGGCCCCTGGGCTAGGCCAGTTCCTCTGTGCCCCGGTTTCTGCGTCTGCAAAATGGAATCATCCTCAGGCTGTTGGGGAGACAGCATGGAGGGACTCATGGAAGGAACGGGGCCTCACTCCCGGGCTCGGGGGAATCTTCCACCTCAGCCTCCCAGGTCTCGGGGACTGCAGGGAGGTGAGGCACGTTCTAGATTCACGCGGGGCATCGTGCAGGGATTTGAAATGTCCCTCAGCGGAGGAGGAATTGCTTCATGCTGATCTCTCACAGCCCTGTTGACTCCTGTCAAGGTGTAGCATAGGCACTGCCATGTTCCTGATTAACAGGTGGGGAAACTGAGGCTCTGGGATCCCCCCAGGTGGTGGAGAGTTGGAGCCAGGGCTCAAACTGAGATCTGTCAAACTCCAAATGCCATGGTCGTTACAGGGCACACCCAGGGCCAGACCCTGATCCCCCTCAGTCCCTCGCCAAGGGGACCCCACATCACACTCACCTCTGCGGCCACCCTTCCTCGCTGCCTCCCTCCCTCCTGCCCCCCTCCCTCCTGCCCTGGCTCCTCCATTCCTTCCTGCCCTCCTTCCCTCCTGCCCTCCCTCTTCTACTCCCTCCCTCCCTCCCTCCCACCCTGTCTCCTCTGCTTCTTCTTGCCCTGCCTCCCTCCGCCGCCCCCTTCCTCCCTGCACCCCCTCCCTTCCTCCTGCCCTCCCTCCACCACTCCCTCCCTCCTGCCCTGGCTCCTCCGCTCCTTCCCGCCCTCCTTCCCTCCTGCCCTCCTTCCTCTACTCCCTCTCTCCCTCCTGCCCTCCCTCCCTCTACTCCCTCCCTCCCTCCTGCCCTCCCTCCTCTACTCCCTCTCTCCCTCCCACCCTGCCTCCTCTGCTTCTTCCTGCCCTCCCTCCCTCCACCGCCCCCTCCCTCCCTCCACCCCCTCCTTCCCTCCCTCCACCCTCTCCCTTTCTCCTGCCCTCCCTCCCTCCTTCTGCCCTCCTCCGCCCCCTCCCAGCTGTGCTTATGCTCCCAGCTGGTGACAAAAGAGAAGCTTCTGGAGTGTCAGGAGCCTGGGCCCATCTGGCGTCGTTTGCAGTTCGTTAGCGGTCCTTCCCTTCCCTTCCCTTCTTTTAACTTGCTACAGCCCCCACCCCTCCCAGTCTTTGGGGACACAGTGCATGCACCGGCTTATTAGCAGCAGATGCCCCCAGCCTCAGCCACCCTTGTTTACCAGAGAGATGCCACAGCATCCCCACCCCTGCTCCCCAGGCCTATGACCCCTGTCCATGATGCCTAGTCAGGCCCTGGTGTCCCCCGGCCACACCCCAGCACAGCGCTGCCCACAGCACTGCTCTCGTGAGGGCCCCGTCCGCCTCAGTCTCCCCTCGGTACACAGGGGCTCCCACAGCCTGTGCAGCTGGAGCTCAGGGCCAGCCCACCTCATGCCCCCACCCGGGGCCCAGGGCCAGCGGGACATGAAGTCCAGTCACTTCTCTGACATGGAGCTTCTGGGGGGAGGCCAGTAGGCTTCAAAAATAAAAGCTAAAGATCCTGCGGCCAGTCCTGCTTCCAGGGCTTGTTGCTCAGATACCGGCCAGAACCCTGGCCCGGCTGTCCCACCCAGGGAGTAGCCCTCACCCCAGCCACACCCCACCCACACCCCTCCCGCACCCCGCCTACACCCCACCCATACCCCTCACACACCCCTCCCATACCCACCCACACCCCACCCACCCATCCCCCACCCCGCCGACACCCCTACAGGGCAGCAGCCCCTTCAGACACAGAGTGTAGAGGGGGAACCCGACCTTCCCAGGCCAGATAGGAGGTGCCTAGTGGGAGTGACCCCCAGCCAGCCCCCTTGGACCTCGGTGTTCCCAACTGTAGCCTGGGCTAGGGGAGGGGTAGCACCTTCCCGAGACATCCACAGCCCCCAGGCCCAGTGTGGGGCACCCTCACACAGCCCTTGGAGACATCATCCTCGAAACGGCAGGACTGGTGGCTAAGGGGCCGGAGAGGGTGGGGGCCTGCCTGGCTGGAACCCCAGCCCTGGCTTGCGTCGTCTCTCTCGTGGCTGGGGTGGTGAACCCCCCGCACAGGGCAGTGGGAAAGGACGGAGCTAATTTACCCGGAGCTCGCCGGAGCCCGTCTCGGCCGGAGTCTCCACGGTGCCAGTTTGAGGATACCGCAAGGGTCAGAGAGGTTAAGCGACCAGCCCAAGGCCACAGCCTCTCTGTGGCAGAGCCCACGGTCAGGGAGGCTTTAGCTGGGCGCTTGGCAGAGCAGCGGAGTCTGCGAAAGCCCTTGTAGCTCAGCTAGTGCCTCAACCACCGCTGCCATCGCTGCGAACATCAGTTCCCCAGCCTGAGTTCGCATCTGTGCAGAGGGCAGCTTTGGGCATTCTGCAGTCAGAGCCTCCACTGGGCGGTGGGGTTGGGGCATTTTTGACCAGCTCAGTTTGTGTAGCATTTTAGTGGTGACACCTCCCCGGGTGCCCTGGACTCCTGGGGACGGAATGGGCACACTGCCTCGAAGGAGGCTTTGCAGGAGGCTCCCACAGGCCCCACCCCATTCTGCAGGCCCGGGGGAGCCATTCCCTGCTGGCCGGGGGCTGCGATGCATCCGGCGCACACGCTGGTGTTGCCCAGTCCTGGGTCCCCTGCACTCTTCTGAGCCTGCCCCACACGCGGCCCAACGGTCAGGCTTTCCAGAAGCCGGGGGATGCAACCCCACCCACCGCCCCGGCTCCCAGCTGGCCCCAGGTGGCCCCAGCCAGCCAGCGATCCAGATGTTCCCCCTGCCCTAACCGCGACCAGCCGGTTCCCGAACGGGCCAAGGGGAGGCCCCTGGGGAGGGGCTGACGAGGGAGGGAGGATGTTTGGCTTCTCAGACCTCCCGGGACCTCGTTTCCCAGCTCATGCTCCTAATGTGCTCGACAGATGGCTGGTTGGCCCCTGTTCAGCTATCCAAAGAGAAAAACAGGCCCGCAGCCGGCGCTGCTCGAGGGCCTGGTGGAAGCACTCGTGGGGAAGGGGGAGGCGCTGGCGGGAGAAGGCAGCGTGGCAGCTTTGAAACGCATGAGAAAGTTGGAGAATTGTATTTATTTACAAATGCTTAGAACCGCTGGCCCTCCCAAGTGGCCTGCTGCTGGGCCCTGGTCCAGCACGCTCAGGGTCCAGCCTGTCCGCCCTCCCGTGGCAGCTCTGGGAAGACTTTGGGGAAGGCACCGGAGAGCACAGCTTGCGGCCCAGCGGTGCCAGCCTGGAGCCAGGGAGGAGGCGGTGGGCACCGCGAGTCCTCACAGGCGCCAAAGGCAGGGTCTGCGCACGAATCCTGTACACTGGGCCGTCCTTCGGCCGCACGCTGCGGAGTCCTTACCCGCAAACATGGAGCCCGGTCTTGAGGCTGTCCTCACCGGGGCTGGAGGATCACTGAGCACCACGTGCTCAGAGCAGCACAGCCACAGAACACGGGTGTTCACCTCCCAAGTCCACACTCCGTTGAGGCCAAGGCTGGAAACCAGCGGGAAGGGAAGGGGAAGCTGCCTCTGAGGGGTTTCCCACAGGGCTGGAGCAGACATACTGCCCATAATCTCGGCCGGGTTTCACTCCCAGCTCCCTGGTGTGAGGGCCTGCAGACCCAGGGCCGCCTCCCCTCTCTGAGCCTGCATTTCCCCAGCTGTGCCTGGTCATGTGGTGCCTGCTCGGCGGGGCGGGTGCAGGCGGGAAGACCAGCCATGATCTGCTGCACCGTCTTCTCCAGATGGCGCCATGGAGGGAGCTGGGTGCAGTGGAAAAGCCCCAGCCTGGGAGTCCAGGATCTGGGCTCAAGCCCCACACGCCCCACATCGCTGTGTGGCCCTGGTGAGGCACTCCTGCGAGCCTCTGTGCCCAGTCTCCCACGGCACCCTCCCATGGCACTGCTAGGAAGGAACTTGAGGCCCACAGAGGTCAAGCACCTAATCTTTGAGGCCCGAGGTCAAGTTGAGCTTTTGGCCACCCAACCCAGGCCCCCTCTGCTCGGCCCTGCACGCCCCCCAGGCCCTCCTTCCCCACACCACAGGCAAACCTGCCCTTGCTGCAGCGGGAGCTCCTGCACTGTGCACGCCTGGCCAAGCAGACGCCCGCCCAGTACCTGGCCCAGCATGAGCAGCTCCTGCTGGACGCCAGCGCCTCCTCCCCCATCGACTCCTCAGAGCTGCTGCTGGAAGTCAATGAGAACGGCAAGAGGAGGACGCCCGACAGGTACCTGTGGGCTCCGGGCATCTGGGCTGGGGGCACCGTGGACACGCGGCTCACGCTGCTCCCCTCTCGGTAAGAGAGGGAACCTCCTCTGGGGCTGCAAGCCCGGCCAGCCCACTCGGGCTAAGGGAGCGTGGTGAAGCATCCTAGGGCCAGCAGGCTTGGCGGCTGCACGAGCAGACACCCCAGTGGGCTGCAGACTCAGATGCTCCGGGGAGCCTAAGAGGACAGGGAGGAGGCTGGTGGGAGGATGGCTCTCCCCTGTGTGCTGGGTGTGGACTCCGAGCGTCCGGGGTCCAGGGTCCCCAGGTGCCTGGGCTGGGCCCACTCTGCTGCCCCAGATGCTCTTGTGCTGCTGCTGCCCAAGGGGCGGGTGGTCTCCAGTTACGGGAGGCTGGTGTATCCCTCGCCTCATTCCCAGAGCAACGAGTCCGGCTCTTTGACCACCAGGCCTCAGGATCTCATGCAGCTCGAGCAGGGGTTGAGGCTGGCATAGTCCCCGGCAGAGGGGTGGCGAGTGGGGGTGCTGGGCTGGGCTCCCCAGGGCTGGTGTTTTGCTCCGTGTCTCTGTCTCGCCCTTACGTGTCCTCTTTCTCTCTGCCCACACCTGTCTGCCTCTCACCCCACCTGCACCTCTGTCCCTGGCTCATGCTCTATCCACTGCCCCCACCCCGCCTGCACCTCTGTCCCTGGCTCTGTTCTATCCACTGCCCCCACCCCGCCTGCACCTCTGTCCCTGGCTCTGCTCTATCCACTGCCCCCACCCCGCCTGCTCTTGGGCTAGGACCAAAGAGAACGGGTTGGACCGTGACCCGCTGCACCCCGAGCACCTCAGCAAACGGCCATGCACCCTGAACCCTGCCCAGCGCTATAGCCCCAGCAACGGGCCCCCACAGCCCACACCACCACACTACCGCCTGGAGGACATCGCCATGGCCCACCACTTCCGAGACGCCTACCGCCATGCGGACCCCCGGGAGCTGCGAGAGCGCCATCGGCCACTTGGTGAGCAGCGTGGTGGGGCGGAAGCGTGGATGCGTGTTACAGGAGCACACGTGTGCCCACGTGTGTGCACCTGAGCATGTGGGCGCAAGGCACCATGGGCAGCTGTGTGCACCTGAGCTCAGGAGACCCCGTCCCCCCTGCCTGGCACCATTCGGGGCCAGGAGGGTCCTGTCCCTCCCGGGGCAGGGTGGTGGCTGCAGAGGGGCCTGTCCTGGGCCCTAAGCCCACCTCTCCCCCTGGGGTGTGCAGCCTCGGGCCTGGAGCTGCCCACGTGGTGCTCATCTGAGTTTGGCGATTCCCACAGTGCACCTGCAGGCGGGTCACATGGCTCTGCATCTCAGTTTCCTCCTCTGTCAGCTGGGTCAGACGAGAGTCCCACCTCTCAGAGTCCAAGGCCCAGGGGAGTTAATGCAGGGTCTAGCAAGGGCTGCCGTGAGGCCTGGCTGGTATCTAGAGCAGGAGGAGGGCATGGAGACTCAGAGTGAGGCCTGGCTGGTGTAGGTAACAGAGAGGTGGGCACGGAGTCTTGGCGTGAGGCCTGACGGGCATGGATACCAGAGAAGTGGGCACGGAGTCTCGGTGCATTTTACCCTTCACTCGTTCCTCAGCCTGTCAGCAGGGTAGCGTCAGCACCCCCATACCACAGATGAGGAGACTGGAGCCCGAGAGCACACGTCATGCACCCACAGTCTCATAGCCCAGCCTGCCTGACTTTTGGACGGCCTCTGTGCTGAGGACCCAGAGATGGTTAGGCCCAGCCCCACCCCAGGAGCCCCCCAGGACAGGCTGCAGGGAGGCCTCCAGTCTGCCATGCTGAGACAGAGGCCCAGGGCACGGTGGGGGCCCAGCAGCCGGGTCAGCAGAGGCCTTGCCCTGCACAAGGCCATCTCCCAGCCCCCACCTTGCGGAAGATTCCAGGGCCTGGGCCCAGGCAGCAGGTGACGGTGTCTGGCATGCTGCAGCCGGGCCGGGCAGGTGCTGACTCCCACCCGCTTCTGCTAATACAAAAATAAACGCCAGCTGTCGGGCACGTCTCAGCCACTATTTTGGTTGGGGTGTTGGTGCCGGCTGCAGCTTCACAGGCGGCAGAGCAGGGTGGTGACTTTGAGCTGTGGCTGCCGCCTCCTCACCTCCTCTGCAATTTGGGGGAGCCATTTCAGGTTCAGGGGCTGGGATATCTTTAGGGGCTGAAAAGGGTGCAAAGAGGGAGACCTCAGCCCCAGGAAGCATGGGCCATGGCTGAATGCAGGAAACAGTGGGGTCTGGAAGCGTCTGATGTCTCCAGAAGCCGTGGGCGCAGCCACCACGAAAGAGTTGGCCACTGCCAGCATCACTCACGTCTCCCGTGGGCCCAGCCACCACGAGTCATCCACTGCCAGGGGTCACTCACGTCTCCCGTGGGCACAGCCACCACGAGTCATCCACTGCCAGGCGTCACTCACGTCTCCCGTGGGCACAGCCACCACGAGTCATCCACTGCCAGGCGTCACTCACGTCTCCCGTGGGCGCAGCCACCACGAGTCATCCACTGCCAGGGGTCACTCACGTCTCCCGTGGGCACAGCCACCACAAGTCATCCACTGCCGGGGTCACTCACGTCTCCCGTGGGCCCGGCCACCACGAAAGAGCCATCCACTGCCAGGGGTCACTCACGTCTCCCGTGGGCACAGCCACCACGAGTCATCCACTGCCAGGGGTCACTCACGTCTCCCGTGGGCCCAGCCACCATGAAAGGGCCATCCACTGCCAGGCGTCACTCACGTCTCCCGTGGGCGCAGCCACCACGAGTCATCCACTGCCAGGGGTCACTCACGTCTCCCGTGGGCCCAGCCACCATGAAAGGGCCATCCACTGCCAGGCGTCACTCACGTCTCCCGTGGGCGCAGCCACGAGTCATCCACTGCCAGGGGTCACTCACGTCTCCCGTGGGCCCAGCCACCATGAAAGGGTCAGCCACTGCTGCGCGTCACTCACATCTTAGTTTCTGGTGACCTGTGGGAGTGGCCCCTGCAGCTTCAGTCCTGGAGCCTGTCAAAAGGGAAAACCTTAGACATGCTGCATCTAACAGAGTTTAACTAAGCGAAGAACAACCCCCGAATAGGACAGGCCTCAGAGCCAGCGCGCTCCGAGAGCCCTGGCCTGGGCACGGCTGGTGGTGTTCACAGGCAGAGACGGGAGACGGGTGCCGAGGCGGCGTGGTTGCATGTTGCTTGGCGTGGCCTCATCTGAGTTGTGGGCGCCTGTGGGTGACCGCAGAGGGCTGCTGTGAATGACTCAGACCAGCTCCTCCCAGCGAGGTTACCCGTTGGTTCACGGGCTAAGGCAGGTCCAGGTCATGGTGTGACTTGGCACTGAGACATCCTCAGGCCACGCTTAGTCTAACAAGGCCTTCCCAGACAGTGGCTGAGGACAGCACTCCAGCTCCAGCCAGCCTCGGTCCACACCCCACCTCCACCGCTGTTAACCAGGCTTAGTTTCCTCAGGTGCAGAACCGGACTGAGACTGGACCCTCCCTTGGAGGCGTGTGCCGGGTTACAGGGGAAGGCAGTCGGCCCAGAGGCCCAGGCAGCTCAGTAACCCAGGCATCCTCCACGTTCACCAAGTCAACCAGCCCTTCCGTTACCCTGTCCATAGTCCCCAGTGGGCACAGCCCATGGGTGGGGCCTGGGAGCAGAGGGCAGGGTCTGGGAGAATAGGGCGGAGCCTGGCTGTGGGCAGGACCTAAGCATGCACCTCCCCCATCCACAGTGGTGCCTGGGTCCCGGCAGGAAGAAGTGATCGACCACAAGCTCACAGAGCGTGAGTGGGCAGAAGAGTGGAAGCACCTCAACAACGTGAGTGTCCACAGCCACGCCCACACAGCCACGCCCATGCACACAGCCATGCCCGCACACAGCCATGCCCACACAACCATGCACAGCCACGCCCACACAACCACAGCCACACAGCCACAGCCACACCCACGTGCACGGCCACACACATGCACACAAATACAGCCACACACATGCACACCACACCCATGCTGCCACACCCAACCACACAGCCACACTCATGCAAACAGCCACACCCACACACAGCCACGCCCATGCACACAGCCACACCCACACACAGCCACACCCAGGCAAGCCACACACAGCCACGCCCATGCAGAGCCACACCCCAAAGCCATGCCCACCCACACAGCCACACCCACAGATAGCCACACCCATGCACACAGCCACACACACACAGAGCCACACACACAACCACACCCACATACAGTCACAACCACGCACACAACCACATGCATACATAGCTACACCCACACACAGCCATACCTGCATGGCTACACCCATATATAAACATGGCCATGGCTCTGCCCCATGGGGCCTGGGGCTGCTAGAGACAGCGGGACTGTGTGGGTGCCCCTGAGCTCAGTGCCTGCCTGTGTGGCCTGCCCCGTCCCTGCCCAGCTGCTGTGTCCTTCACCTGAGCCCCCCTCCCCCACTGTCGGTGCAGACTGGTGCAAGGCATCACGAGAGGCACGGGGAGGAGGATTCCTAAAACCATCATGGCGGGCCTTGCCTTCCCTCCACTTACTTTCTGCTCACTGGCTTGTCCCAGAGTCTATCCTGAGTCTTACAAGAAGTATGGGGGGAAAGCAGTGCTGAGGCCTCTTTGAGGCAGGACATGTCTGGGGACGGTCCTGGAACTGGGCTCGTGAGAACCCACCCCCACATCCCGCAGCACGTCCAAGGAGGGGTCGCCGGGCGCGGGGCCACAACCCCTCCCAGCACTGTTGTCAGCCTCATCCCTCACCCTCGTCCTTTTTGGAAGGAGAGTCCAGGCAGAAAGCCAGGTCCCTGAGGCAGAGCCGCCCCAGCGGGTTAAAAAGGAGAATCGTAAACTCCTGTGTGCGTCTAAGCATGTGTCCTGTGCAGGCGCCCCGCAGTCCCAGGCGAGGGACCCATTGTTCCGAGCGGTAGAGGTGGGCCCTCCCTCACCCCCTTGCCCTCGTGGGCGGTGGGCTGGTCGGGCACCCATCCTGTCCAGGGCTCTGGCCGAGTGGGCAGCACAGGGAGTGTCCAGTGCGCCCGGGTCCCTCCGAGGTGCTGATGCGCCCCGCCCCACCCATCCACCCGCCCTCAGCTCCTGAACTGCATCATGGACATGGTGGAGAAGACACGGCGCTCGCTCACGGTGCTGCGCAGGTGCCAGGAGGCCGACCGCGAGGAGCTCAACCACTGGGCACGGCGCTGCAGCGACACGGAGGACACAAAGAAGGGCCCCAGTCCCGCCACGGCCCGGCCCCGCAGCAGCTCCGCCGGCCCTGAAGGGTCTCAGCCAGGTGTGCGGCGGGTGGGTGGGGAGGGGGCAGACACCGGGGAGCTGTCAGGCAGGCAGTGCAATGAAACGCCAGGCAAACAGTTTCACTTGAGAGGGAGGCACCTTTTTCACTTTGTACACAAACACTGCCTGGTGTCCCAGGAGCCTGGAGCGCAGGGCGTCCGGGGGGCCGGAGGCTGAGCTGGGAGGCCCTGAGGGTCTCTGCTCCTCCACCTCGGTGATGAATACTGAAACCAGGAGAGGCCCAGGACGCTCACGGCTCCCAGCCGAGTCCAAGGTCCACAGCTCCAGTGCCCCCCATGCCCGGGCACTGCCCTGGGTGCCTGGCGACTGAGCCAGAGCTTGTCCAGGGGTACCTGGGCCCTCCCCCAGGGACGCGCACACTCGTGCCCTGTGCTCAGGGCCCAGCCAGGGTGGGGAGAGGCAGCCGTGTGGCCCATCCTGTGTGACGCTGGCCCCCGTTTCAGACGTGCCCCGGGAGTTCCTGCCAAGGACCCTCACCGGCTACATGCCCGAGGACATCTGGAGGAAGGCTGGTGAGTGGGGGCCGCCCGGCGAGCGGTGCTGTGGGAGGCCAGGGCCCCAGATGCCCCTCAGCAGCTCAGCTATGAGGAGCTTCTGTCTCCATCTGGGGGCTCAAGTTGTGGGGCTTTATGCATTCCGCTGTGTGGCTCACAGAGGGGCCAGAGTAGATTCACACTCAGGGCAGGACAGCTGCTACCTGCGCCTACCAGGAAACGGACCGGTGGCCGCCCAGCAGAATAAAGTGGGTGCCAGCCCTGCATACCCAGGAGGGCACGCAAAAGCGCACACTCGGAGCCTGGGCACGTCAGGCACGCGGGGCCAGAGTCTGGGCAGAACAGACTCAGAACATGGGCAGACGTGGAGCTGGGCGCTGGGCAAGGCTGTGGGGACATTTGCTTATGCTGTGGGGACCAGACTTGGGGGAGGGGCTGGGGCAGAGCTAGATCTGTGGGTAGCGAGAGGGGTTAGGGTTGGGGTTGGGGCTGGGGTTGGGGTTAGGCAGTGGTACCAGGGTCTCCAGCTGGTCTTAGGGTCTCTTTCAGTGGTGGAGTTGAAACCTGGCCTGTCCAGCTGGGCGGGCGGTTCTCCCTGGAGCTGCTCTGAGCCTGCCCCAGCTTAGCACAGATCAGGATCAAACAATGGGGTCAGGGAGCGTGGTCTTCCGAGGCCAGCTAGGTTAAAGGATGGCAAGTGCAGTGAGGATAACAGAGCAGGGTCTGGGGTGACAGCACAGAGCCCTGGAGGAGGGGGCTTCCTGGGCTGCGTCTGGTGGGGCCAGAGGTGAAGGCGGAACGACACAGTTGTCCGAGTGCCTCAGGTACGGTTCCTGGAGCAGCAGCAGCAGCTCCCCCGGCACGCATTAGGAATGCAGGTTCCGGGTGCGCCCCTGGCTGACCAGACCCTGGGGTGGGCCTCGCCATTGCCCTGCAGGGGTGCAGCGCCTGGGGAGCAAGCTTTGAAAAGCTCCCCATGTGCTGGCCACATGACCCAGCTTTGCACACACATGCCTGGGATACCTGCGTTTATTTGCATGCACTTGTCTGCACAGGCGTGAGGGCCATCAACGTGTGCCTGTGTGTGCACAGATGCTACGTGTGTTCAGCTGCACACAGCCCTTGTCCCCAGGTTGTGGGCATAGGAAGTCCAGAGACCCGTCTGGGATGGCCCATGTGACCGCCAGCCCTGCCCGTGTCCTTTGCAGAAGAGGCCGTGAACGAGGTGAAGCGGCAGGCCATGTCGGAGCTACAGAAAGCCGTGTCGGACGCGGAGCGCAAAGCGCACGAGCTCATCTCCACGGAGCGTGCCAAGATGGAGCGGGCCCTGGCCGAGGCGAAGCGGCAGGCCTCCGAGGACGCCCTGACGGTCGTCAACCAGCAGGAGGACTCCAGCGAGGTAGGGCCACCCGGCCACGCTGATGCCCTTCCCCTGCCTCGGCTCCCGCGTGGTCCCACGCCACCCGCGTGAGGATTCTGAGCCTCCACATGGCATCAGCACAGTTATCACGGGCGTCCTGCAGCAGGCACACCGTCCCTGACCACGCTGTGCTTATCAACACACAGATTCCACATGGTTTGGTGAGACGTCCTATGGGTGTCCCCGTTCTGTCGATCCAGAAACTGAGGGCTCAAGAAGTTTGGCAGCTTGTCTGAGGTCACGGCCTTGGGAAGTGGTGGGGCCAGGACTCACGCCCAGGTTGGCTGATGCTGAGTTGGAGTTTCACTCTTGTTGCCCAGGCTGGAGTGCAGTGGCCCGATCTTGGCTCATTACAACCTCCGCCTCCCGGGTTCAAGCAATTCTCCTGCCTCAGCCTCCTGAGTAGCTGGGATTACAGGCGCTCGCCACCACACCTGGCTAATTTTTGTATTTTTAGTAGAGACAGGGTTTTGCCATGTTGGCCAGGCTGGTCTTGAACTCCTGACCTCAGATAATCCACCCGCCTCGGCCTCCCAAAGTGCTGGGATGACAGGCATAAGCCACCGTGCCTGGCCTGAAACCCCTGTTCTTTAGCCTGTGAGAGCAGGAGGATCCAGGAGAGCTGCGAGGGCCCCAGGTGGTGTCCGAGGTGCCCAGCTCCCTCCTGGTGCACGGGGCAGGCCTGAGAGTTACCCTGCTTGTGCCTGTGCACCTGGGAGGCAGGTGGGGGAAGGGACCCTCTGCGACCGTTTTCTGCCTTGTCCACAAAGAGGGGACAGGGAGAGACCCTTCCCAGGGGAGCCCCAGGACTGTCCCTTGAGACAGGGCAGATCTCTGTCCAAAGCCCCTGTGTGCATCTGTGCCTGGGCCAGCCCCGGGGTGGGAGAAGATGGAGCCCCATCGATGCAGGGGTCTCTGCACCAGCCCTTTCTACACATGCTAGAGAAGCTAGAACACCACGGGCAAAACTCTCACAGAGCGCAAAACTCTCACAGAGCTGGCACTTGAGTGGGCACAGAGAAGGAAACACCAAAAGCAGAAGCGAGGAATGTGGGCAGAAGTGAGGTGGGCAGGCCGTTTCGGGGGGCGGAAGTGTGTGGGGAGTGGGGCCGTGGAGGCCTCATGGCAGGTGACACCTGAGCAGAGGCCGGGAGGGATTAAGCTGGCCACCAGGCATCGGGGGCGCAGGCCCAGCGGAGGGACCGGCAGGGGCCAGGGTCTGGAGTGGGGACCGTTCCTGGCAGTGCCCAGTCCGCAGGAAGGGCTGCTGCTGCTGTGGCAGTGAGGGGAGGTGGGGTAGGAGGTGGGGTGGGAGGTGGCACCAGAGGCTTTGGAGGCCAAAGAGGGACCTGGGCTTCTCCCCTGGGGCAGGTTGGGCTTCCCACCCCACAGCTCAGCTGTCTCTGTGAGAGATCCAGCCCAGCCCCAAGAAGAAACATGCTTAGGCTTTGTGTGGCATCCGTGACCCCCTCTGCCCACAGGGATGCCTGGGGCACAACTCACCCTACAGGAAGGGAGCAGAACCCACCACAGGGTGGGGGCAGAGGTCGGGGGGTGCAGCAGAGGCGGGGGATGGGGCAGAGGTGGGGAGGGAGACGGGTGGAGGGATGCAGCAGAGGCAGGGGATGGGGCAGAGGTGGGGTGGGAGACGGGTGGGGGGGATGCAGCAGAGGCAGATGGTGAGATCTCAGTGGCCTCAATTATGCTGGGGCCATGCCCTTCGGTTTTGGAGCCTGGTGAGCTCAGGAGGGCTTCCCGGGGAGGAGGCAGGGGTCATCGTTCAGTTAGCACAGCACAAACCTGTCTGGGTGAGCTGGAGTGTGAGGCACAGTAGTAGGACGCTGTCCCCCAAAATGGCCCAGTGAGCGGCTGTATCTGGGGAACGGCCCAAGGGCTGTGGGGCTTTAGAGTTTCTCTCTTCTCACCTGTTGATGACGTGCTGGGTCTGAGTGGCTTGGCTGGAGCATGTGTTGGGGATTCGGGTGACCGGACCCAGCCCTGACTGGCCCCTCTGCCCCCACCCAGAGCTGCTGGAACTGTGGACGGAAAGCCAGTGAAACGTGCAGCGGCTGCAACGCGGCACGCTACTGCGGGTCCTTCTGCCAGCATCGGGACTGGGAGAAGCACCACCACGTGTGTGGCCAGAGCCTGCAGGGCCCTGTGGCCGTGGTGGCTGACCCGGTGCCTGGACCGCCCGAAGCCGCCCACGGCCTGGGCCCCTCCCTGCCTGTGGGTGCTGCCAGCCCCAGCGAAGCCGGCTCTGCGGGGCCTTCTCGCCCCGGCTCCCCCAGCCCGCCTGGCCCGCTGGACGCCGTGCCCCGCTGACCCCACCAGCCCCCGGCCTGCTGGATACAGCACCGTGCCAACCCCACCCAGCTCCAGGCCTGCCGGATGCTGTGGCCTCTGACGCCCGGCCGGCCAGACGCTGTGCCCCGCCTGGCCTGGGGAAGCCGACCAATTAGAGTCACTGCTGCTACTGCCCCTCTCCAAAAGAAGACACAGAACCAACAAAACCGCATTCAATGCACCTGCCTCAGCTACCTAATGATTCTGCGCGGAGACCTCTTGACAACCTCTCTTCAAGCATCCTCAGAAGCCTCAATGAGCTTTAGACAGCAGAGCGGATGCCGCGGGCGCGGCACCTCTGCCCACCTCTCTCTCTTTTCCTCCCTCTCTGTCTCCCCCTCTCTGTCTTCTCTATCCTCTCTCTCTCTCTCTATGACTATCACACACTTTCTCTTCAATGAAAAAATCTAATTGGTGGCTTATATTTTCAGCAAAGAATTTTGGGGGGTTTTGTTTGTTGGCAAAAGAGCTACTCAGAAATGGACAAAGAAAACTCTGGGGGTTCTCCCCCTCCTGATTAAAAAGGGAGAAAGAAAACTGTGATTTTATAGCCGGAGATCTGAACCCAGCTGTGCCCCTCCCCCAGGGGCGTGAGGCTGATTGGTGAAGACGGGAGGAAGGATTTCAATTTCTGACTCAAGAAGCATTTTTGGTTTCAGATTTTTTTTTTCCTGTAATGTTAAACTCTTTGGCTTTAAGTAAAAATCCAAAAAGTTTTTTTAAAAAAGCAAAGGAAGCATACTTGTGAACTACCTTGCTAGCTAGCCAGCCAAGGATACCGGACACACCTCTGCTCCAAAGGAAATCCAAAAAAGCAAACACAAGAAATCAAAATCCAAAATTTGTCACTGCCAAAGTATGTTTTTCACTGTTTTACTTGCCCTTGGGTTTGTTTGGATGTGGGTCTTTTTCTCTTCTGTCCTGGTTTTGTTTGTGGGTGTTGGGATATTGGGGTGCAGAGGGTTGGTGCCCAGTGGGTCTTTTTCTCTTCTGTCCTGGTTTTGTTTGTGGGTGTCGGGATATTAGGGTGCAGAGGGTTGGTGCCCGGTGGGTCTTTTTCTCTTCTGTCCTGGTTTTGTTTGTGGGTGTCGGGATATTGGGGTGCAGAGGGTTGGTGCCCAGTGAGAAACGAGTTTTGTTCCCTTCCGCGTAGGCGTTGGTGCGTCCGCCGCGTGTGCGCGGTCTGTGTGCCGTCGCCGCGGCCTGCGTCTCCATGTGTGTAGGGAAGGACACGCCGTCTGTCCTCACGCCCCCTGTGACTTTTCATACTTTGTTTTTCCACTTGTGGAAAAAAGTGCTAAAGTTTTCTTCCCAGCGAGAGCATAATTCCGAAACAAAACTGTGACAATCTTTTGGGTTGATTCTCGACTGCTTTTCAAGCACGCGGAGCCAGCAGGGCTCCCTGAAACACGGCTTCTCAGCCAGCCCGTCCTCCTCTACCTCTCTCCTCTCCACGCCCTCCAACCTCTCTCGGCCCCATCGCCCCAACCCCAGCGTCTCACTGCAGCTACTCCCCTTTCTTCCAAACTTTTGCAGAAAAACAAAGCAAAAAAACTACAAACAAAAGCAGCCCTTTGCGTCCTCCCCAGGAAAGACCCTGACCATGTACATAACCCTGGTGCTCCTGCCCTGCCACCCCTCAGATGCGTTTGCCTCTGGCCCTGGGGTGTGTCTCGGTGACATTTTCTATCAGATATGCTCCCTCCCACCTTCCAGCCCTGCCCATCCTCCCTCCATTCCTCTCAGCCCCCTCCGCGATTTCAAGAAGGAAATAAAGGGATAAAGAAATTCATGCTTGCACTGAGTGCAAGGACAGACAACAGCAGGCGCGGCCCACGGCCTGGCATCTGTGTGCGTGGCTATCAGGAGTTCCAGGAACTCAGTGCAATACCGGAGTGACCCAGCTACTGAAGCGGCCGTGAACGGCCCACGAGAGGCCCGAAGCCGAGAGTGTACGTTAATGTGAATGTATATAGTCTTTGCAGAGGTCCAAATAATATTCATGATGGTAATAAAGAAGAGATGTTTGCCAAATAAAAAAGAAAAAGTTAAGAGAAACGTGGGAGTTTGCGAAGTGTAGGAAACAGATTTTCAAAGGAGTCTGAACTGTGGCCCTGAGGGGAGGAGCGGTTTACCTGCTGGTGGTTCCTCACGGTGGTAAAAGTTCCTTCTCTGAGCATCGTCAGGATGGATCCCATCGGGTCACCCCAGCCAGGTCCTGTCTGGAACCAAGCCTGGCAACAGAAACCTCGTTCTGAAAGTCGAGATAGATCGAGTGTGTCCTCCAGACAGTGCCCTGGCCCGAGCACCACCTGCACTCCTCAGTGACAGGCCCAGCAAACTCCCTGAGGTTTGCTTTCGTGGGTTTCAGAGAAGCAAGGACCAGTCTGGGATTTGGGCTCTGTGTTAAAGGGGCAGAAGCCTGGCTCTCCTTCCAGGGCTGCGGTTCTCCAGCTCCGAACCCACACAGCGGCCGTGGCAGTGGACACGCCCGTGCCCTCAAAGGGGACCTGCCTCCCCCGGAGATAGGCGTCCTGGGACTCTTCTCATCTCTTTCCCACTGGGGATCCATCTTGTCCCCACCCACACTGCAGTGCCCTTCCACGTGGGCAGGGCAGTTGGCTGTGGTGATCAAAGGCTCTAGGGAACAGGAAACGGGCACGGGGCTGTGGGGTAAATTGAGTCAGGCCCTCCAAGGCTGTGTGGTCTAAGGCTGTGTGGGTGAACCGGTGGCAAGGGGACCCATGGGCAGCTTCCCTGGCACTGAGCCCCGGGGCAAGGGGACCCATGAGCAGCTTCCCTGGCACCGAGCCCTGGGGCAAGGGCAAGGGGACCCATGGGCAGCTTCCCTGGCACCGAGCCCTGGGGCAAGGGCAAGGGGACTCATGGGCAGCTTCTCTGGCACTGAGCCCCGGGGCAAGGGGACCCATGGGCAGCTTCCCTGGTTACTCAGGTCCCTGGGGTCAGGACTGGTGGGGAGCGTGAAGGAGACACTAGTTTACTTTGTGGGCGAAAGCCTCCTCTCTTTCCCTCACCTCCCTCAATCCTTCTTTGGGGACACACAGGGACAGCAGCACACTCACCAGCTGGCTGCATCAGTCTGGCCAGCAGCCGCCAGGGGCCAGACTACAAGGCTCAGGGTGGGACAGGCCCTCCCACCCCAGCTCTCAGGACGGGGTCAGCCCTCGAGCCAAGGATGAATGCCATCTGCCCCGCATAGCCCCCCACCATGCACCAAGCCACCCCCGGCACGAGTGCACAAGCTGGCGTGAGGACCTGGCCAGAGATCAGGCAGATGGAGCCCCACGGCCGACAGCCCCATGGAATCAGGACGGCTGGGAAAACCGAGGCCCGGAGACAAGAGGGGGATGTCCTGGGTGCACTGTGTCAGGGACCCCTGGGCAGGTGTTGGCTGAGTCACATGAAGTAAGGCAGCTCCTGCCCAGGGAGGCTCTGGGGCCCACTCCGATGCTTCAGGGGCCCGTCTTTCTGGAGCTCATACGCCCAGGCCCTGGTGGCCAAAGACCTCACAGCAAACCAAGTGGAACCCATAGCTCTGGGGTGGGGACAGGGATAAGCGGCATTTTATGTTGCCCCTTGGTGGCCATGAACACCCGTGCCCATGGTTCCGACCTGCAGTCTGCACCTGCGGGCATCTGCCTCTCTTTTGCCAGGCAGAGGGTGGTCTGGACACAGGGTCTGGGCAGGGGCCACACCTGGACTGGGGAGATTGCCCTGTCTCTGCCCTGTCTCTGCCCCCTGCCCGGCTGCCACCTCCACAAGTTCACAGATCACTGGCCAGAGATGCAGCCTGCCAAGCTGTCCTCCCCCCAGCCACCGTCAAGACAGGACCATGGCACGCCAGACGCTCTTCAGAGCCTCTTCCCCAAACCCCAAACCACCCCCACACACCCCACACGCCCCCCTTGCGTGTCCTGTGGCCACCCACACAGCCGTCCCTCCATCCCACCCCACCCTCTCCACCCACGGACCCAAGGGCACCAGCTGCCCCCTGCTGTGTGCCAGTGACCTCAACTGCTGCCCTAAGGGAACCTGTTGGTGGGCGGCAGCCCCTCCCGTACCCAGCCCAGTCCAGGACTGCTGGAGACACTTCCAGGGGCAGATAAAATTCCGCTACAGGTGCTGTGAGCAGATGGGACCAGCATCTTGCAACAGCTCTGGCCAGTCAGGGCCACCTGGAGCTTGAGGTGGGTGGCCGGGGGCCAGGAGCACACACTGGGTGGCGGCCCGTACACGTGCCTAGGGTCCCCGACCAGGGCGCCAGGGTGAGCACGTTCCCTGGCAGAGCCGCGACGCTGGGGGGTGGGCTGCCCTCTCCCACTCTTTGTTTCCAGGGGTCAGTGCCTGGAGGGGGTGTCCTTAGGAGAGGAGGGTGGCCCCATGCAGCCTCCCCGAGCCCCCAGCACTCTTGGAGCCCCACTCCTCGGGGGGTACTCACAGGTGCCAGGCTCCCATCCCATTTCCTGGCTAAGAGTTGAGTCCTTACCGCCTGAGACTGGGGACTTCTGGGAACAGAACTGCCTGGATGAATTCTGCCAGGAGTGGTGGGTGCTCCCCAGGATCCTCTGCAGTCTCCCTGCCCTGCATCCCCGAGCCCCAGGGGCCCATTTCCTCCTTCACTGCCCTGCAAGCTCCCACACTGAGGGGGCACTCTCTAAAATGGGGCTGGGGCCACAGCCCTGGATGATGAGCGTGCTGGCTGGAGAGGAAGACAGTGAGGAGAGGGGGGAGTCCATGGGGCTGGTCTCTCACAGGTCCACTGGCGCCCGTGCACACTTCAGAGAGAAGGCGAGCGTGCTGCTGACAACCCCTGCTCTGTTTTCCCAAAGTTCTAGGAAACTCCATCTTGGACACTTTCTGTTCTTTATGTTTCAATCCAGCCAAGCCCCGAGTAGCTTCCCAAAGACCCCGAGGAACAGAAAGTCAGTGTCAGTAGCCAGAGTGAAGCCTGCTTTTGAAATACATGAGGCCAGGCGTGGTGGCTCACGCCTGTAATCCCAGCACTTTGGGAGGCCACGGTGGGTGGATCACAAGGTCAGGAGATTGAGACCATCCTGGCTAACACGGTGAAACCCCGTCTCTACTAAAAATACAAAAATGAGCTGGGCGTGGTGGCGGGTGTCTGTAGTCCCAGCTACTCGGGAGGCTGAGGCAGGAGAATGGTGTGAACCCGGGAGGTGGAGCTTGCAGTGAGTAGAGATCGCGCCACTGCACTCCAGCCTGGGCAACAGAGCGAGACTCTGCCTCAAAAAAAAAAAAAAAGAAGAAATACATGAATGAGGGCAACAGGCCTCCCTTGTCCCCACCTGGATGGGGCGGGGAGCCCGGCCAGGCCATCTGTCACCTCCCCAACCCCATCTGCCAGGGCCAAGGGGGTTGGGCCAGTGAGGACTGGGCCGGGGCACAGGCACATACAGCCTGGTGGGGAGGGGACTCACTCTCTACTTCCTTCTCCTCTTTTTTTGACTCCCCCAAAGGAGCTGGACTGAGCGTTGGGTTGTTTTCCTGTAGTTGTGAGCCCATGCCCTGGGTCTGCAGCCTGTGCAGGGCTGCGAGGTGACCCCCGCCGCCCCGTCTGATTTACTGTGGGTTTGGCCTGTGGACACTGTGAGACGCAGTGGTCCGGTTAGCGCCGTGTCCATGTAATAAAGCGAATGTTCACTGTTGCCTGGCTGTTAGTCTCCGTGGATCCCAGGAGGCTTCGGCTGAGCCTCGTCTCACCTGTGAATTCACTAAATACCTGCTGGGGCTTCTCTGTGCCCTGCAGGGACCGGGCCTCCCCACGCAGCACACACACTGCAGGGACGAACAGGCCAGTGTGTGACGTGGGGCTGGGGCGACGGGGAAGAGGCGGGGCAGGAGCACACGGGCGGGGAGGAGCGGCAGCCTCCAGCCACGAGGGCTCCTGCAGGGCTGGCAACAGCTGAGCCTGCAAAGGGGACATTTGGGGGGTCCCGACAACCTTAACCCTGGGAGATGGTCCTGAGGATTCCAAGACTGGAACCCCTGCCTGAGAAGCCCCACTTCTGACAGTGCTGGGGCTGGGACCATGACACCTCCGACCTCGACGGGGGACACAGGGGACCTCAGGGGACACAGACAAAACAGGAGGCCGGGCGCGGTGGCTCATGTCTGTAATCCCAGCACTTTGGGAGGCTGAGGGGGACGGATCGCCTGAGGTCAGGAGTTCAAGACCAGCCTGGCCAACATGGAGAAACCCCGCCTCTTCTAAAAATACAAAAAATCAGCCGGGCATGGTGGTGGGTGCCTGTAATCCCAGCTACTCGGGAGGCTGAGGCAGGAGAATCACTTGAACTTGGGAGGTGGAGGTTGCAGTGAGCTGAGATCGTGCCACTGCACTCCAGCCCGGGCAACAGTGAGACTCCATCTCAAAAAAAAAAAAGACATGAGGTCGGGCGCGGTGGCTCACGCCTGTCATCCCAGCACTTTGGGAGGCTGAGATGGGCGAATCACAAGGTCAGGAGATCGAGACCATCCTGGCTAACCCGGTGAAACCCCTCTCTACTAAGAAATACAAAAAACTAGCCGGGCGAGGTGGCGGGTGCCTGTAGTCCCAGCTACTCGGGAGGCTGAGGCAGGAGAATGGCGTAAACCCGGGAGGCGGAGCTTGCAGTGAGCTGAGATCCGGCCACTGCATTCCAGCCCGGGCGACAGAGCGAGACTCTGTCTCAAAAAAAACAAAAGACATGAAAACTGAGGGGACACAGGGGACCTGAGGGTGGACAGTGCAGGCAGGGACAGCTCACCCCTCTCAGCCATCCCCATGGGGCCCTCATGTTGGGGCACACGCAGATCCTGTACGGAATAGGAGTTGGGCTGGGCGCTGGTGCCCCTGGGGCCAGGCTGCCATGAATCCTCAGGCCCAGCTCCGGAACAGGGTATATTTGAAGAGTATCACTGGAAAGACCAGTGTCGGAGCCGTCTGTCCCCTGCCAGGCAGCTGGCAGGAGCCCTGGCCGGGCCTGGTGTGTCAGCAGTCTCAGACAGGGTGAGGATGACAAGGTTTTCCACGGCCGGGGCCCGAGCTCAGAGGGGCATGCGTCAGGGCCTGGGCCGAGTCCAGCAGGCTCTGGTCTTGGACAGAACTGGCTGCAGTCCTGCCTCTGACAGGGAGGTGGAGGCACGGGTGCTGGCAGACCCTCCGCCACACAGGCACAGACACACGGGGCGGGGGGCCCTGTCCCAACAGGAGGAGCCCAGGTCGAGGCCACACTCCACCCTCGTCTGGCCAGCCCTGGCCAGCACGCCTGTCCTTAGTGCAGACGTGGGCTCTGCCCCTGAGGAGCTTTGGTTTCTAAGGGGAGAACTGGGCAAGTCATCAACACTGGATAGATAGCAGGAAAGACGTGAGGACAGCGGCTCTCGAGGGAGGAGGAGCAGCCTGGCGGGCTTCCTGGAAACGGTGGCACCGTGCACAGGGGGAACAGTGTCCTGGGACCACGCACACGTGTGTGGCTGTGCGAAGCCAGGTAGAGGGGAAGCCGGGTCCAGACAAGGCCCATTCCTCCCGACCTCATGAGCCTGCCCCAGAAAATCCTCTGGGTGGTGGACAGATCGGGGGGCAGCATGGTCTTCAGTCAGCCTCTTGGAGGTGTGAAAAGAAAACAAAATTTCAGGCCCTAAAATTCACTAAGCCAAAGAGAAAAGTCAAGCTGGGAGCCGAGTCACACACACCTGCCTCCCATTTTCTTCCTGAATGGACAGCTATGAAGATGAAGGAGCCCGGCCCCCCACAATGCGCTTACACGGAAATTCCCTGTGGGCCCTGAGATCTTGGCTCTGAAACAGTTCTGCTGGATCCCACCCAGACAATGTGATCCCCCAGCTTATCTTCCCAGCTATGGGACAAAGGACAGAGCTAACATCACCCTCCACTCACCGGAGACAAATGTGAACCTGCCGGCTTCCTGTTCCCTGTGGCAGTTCTATCTTCGCTGGAAATGCAGGGTTGCTGAGCGTGGGGCTCTGTAATTCACTCCTCTACCCTCACCTTCCACATTTTTTTTTTTTTTTTTTTTTTTTGAGACGGAGTCTCTGTCGCCCAGGCTGGGGTGCAGTGGCCGGATCTCAGCTCACTGCAAGCTCCACCTCCCGGGTTTACGCCATTCTCCTGCCTCAGCCTCCTGAGTAGCTGGGACTACAGGCGCCCGCCACCTCGCCCGGCTAGTTTTTTGTATTTTTTTTAGTAGAGATGGGGTTTCACCGTGTTAGCCAGGATGGTCTCGATCTCCTGACCTCGTGATCCACCCGTCTCGGCCTCCCAAAGTGCTGGGATTACAGGCTTGAGCCACCGCGCCCGGCCACCTTCCACATTTCAAAATGTGCATTTGGTGATTGCCAATCAGAGCATCAAAGGAAGGCTACCTTGCCTCTTTTATCTGCCCTCCCTTTTCTTTCCTTCCCATGTTCCCCTCCTGCCCGCTCTTTCCCTTTAAATATAGGAGTCTCCAAACCCTCTTTGGGTTTTTTTGTTCTTGTTTTTTTGTTTTGTTTTGTTTTTTGTTTTTTTGTTTTTTTGTTTTTTTTTTGTTTTTTTTTTTTGAGACGGAGTCTCGCTCTGTACCCCAGGCTGGAGTGCAGTGGCCGGATCTCAGCTCACTGCAAGCTCCGCCTCCCGGGTTTACGCCATTCTCCGGCCTCAGCCTCCCGAGTAGCTGGGACTACAGGCACCCGCTACCTCGCCCGGCTAGTTTTTTGTATTTCTTAGTAGAGACGGGGTTTCACCGGGTTAGCCAGGATGGTCTCGATCTCCTGACCTCGTGATCCGCCCGTCTCGGCCTCCCAAAGTGCTGGGATTACAGGCTTGAGCCACCGCGCCCGGCCTTTTTGTTTTGTTTTTGAGACAGAGTCTCACTCCGTCGCCCAGGCTGGAGGGCAGTGGTGCGATCTCAGCTCACTGCAACCTCTGCCTCCCGGGTTATAGTGATTCTCCTGCCTCAGCCTCCTGAGTAGCTGAGATTACAGGCGCCGCCACTACACCCGGCTAATTTTTTTTTTTTTTTTTTGTATTTTTAGTAGAGATGGGGTTTCACCATGTTGGCCAGGCTGGTTCTGAACTCCTGACGTCAAGTGATTCACCTGCCTCGGCCTCCCACAGTGCTGGGATGACAGGCGTGAGCCCCCGTGCCCGGCCCCCAAACCCGCTTTGGAAAAAGCAGATGTTTCCTGTGGCTTTGTGGTCCTTTTTCCTGGGTGCACCCTCAACCTTGGCAAGATAAACCTCTAACTGATGGAGACCCATCTCAGATACCATCTGGCTTACAGAGGTGAGAACAGAGTGGGTGCAGGAGCCTTGGTTCCCAGGCTGTGGCAGCCTCCATGTCACCACCTGCTCCCCCTTAGCCCCCAGCCCAAGGTGGAGGAAGGGCCACCCTGCGTGGATGGGTGCACGGTGCAGCAGTGCAGCTCCAGTCTAGGCCATGCCCTGTCTCTCTCTCCTCCCCCAGTCCCAAATTCCCAGGAATCCCAGCCCCACTGGCTGAACACCGGGGTGCAGTCACAGAGAAGACGGCCTCAGCCTGGGGGTGGCAGCTGTGCAGGTCAGCCCCGTCCCCCACCACCAATGGCAGGCATAAGAGCCATGCATGACTGCCTGGCCCCAAGAGTGGGTGGGAGACGGCATCACTGGAGACGGAGGCCAGAGCAGACCTCAGCAGCCGCGCTGGCAGGTGGAGAGGGAGGCGCGAAGGCAGAGGCGGGTCACATCCACGGAGTCCTCACCTCACAGGAACTCACACCGCCACGCCCCACGCCACTCCCACAGAGCCCCCACCCCAGAGTAACTCACACCGCCGCTCCCCAAGGAGCCCCCACCCCACAGGAACTCACACCGTCACTCCCACCGAACCCCCACCCCACAGGAACTCACACCGTCACTCCCACCGAACCCCCACCCCACCCCACAGGAACTCACACCGTCACTCCCACCGAACCCCCACCCCACCCCACAGGAACTCACACCGTCACTCCCCGAACCCCCACCCCCCCCCCCACCCCCCCCCCACCCCCCCCAGGAACTCACACCGTCACTCCCACCCCCACCCCCACAGGAACCACCGTCACTCCACCGACCCCACCCGAACCCCCCACCCCACCGAACCCCACCCCACAGGAACTCACACCGTCACTCCCACGAACCCCCACCCCACCCACGAACCCCCCACCCCACCCCACAGGAACTCACACCGTCACTCCCACCGAACCCCCACCCCATGGGAACTCACACCGTCACTCCCCCCCACCCCGAACCCCCCACCCCCCACCCCCACCCAGGAACTCACACGTCACTCCAACCGAACCCCCCACCCCACAGGAACTCACACCGTCACTCCCACCGAACCCCCACCCCACAGGAACTCACACCGTCACTCCCCACCGAACCCCCACCCCACCCCACAGGAACTCACACCGTCACTCCCACCGAGTCCCCACCCCACAGCAGAAGATTTCTGGTTTCATGGAAGTGGCTCCCATCTAAAAGATGACCCAGGCCAGGCACAGTGGCTCGTGCCTGTAATCCCAGCACTTTGGGAGGCTGAATCAGGCAGATCACCTGAGGTCAGGAGTTCGAGACCAGCCTGAGCAACATGGTGAAACCCCATCTCTACTAAAAATACAAAACAAAAAAAAATTAGCTGGGTGTGGTGGCAGGTGCCTGTAATCTCAGCCACTCGGGAGGCTGAGGCAGGAGAATCACTTGAACCTGGGAGGCAGAGGTTGCAGTGAGCTGAGATCGTGCCATTGCACTCCAGCCTTGGCAAAAAACCAAGACTCCCATCTTAAAAAAAAAAAAAAGACCCAGAATGAGGGTTAGGGAGGCAGCGTCCCTGGGACTCCATGGGGGTCAGGATGCAGAGACAGCGGTTGCTGCCCCTCCTCTGGGCCCAGGACCCCGCCCCGACCTGCCTAGGCCCTCTCATCCCGTGCACCTGCCCTCCGTCCCTGCTCAGACCCTTCCCTCCCCTGGGACTATCTCAGCCCCTGCCTCCCCTAGTCGGAAGCCACCTCCCCAGCCTGCTTGGACCCTGGTACCACAAACAACCGCTCCTGTGTTCCCACTTGGATTGCGTGTTCATGCCGTGTGGTGTTCGTGCCGTGTGGATGCTGCTGAGGTGTGAACCGTGTGATGGACCAAGGCTCCAGTGAAGCAGGTGCCCAGGTGGAAGCAGAAGAGACCAGTGACCCCCACTCAACTCAGCCTCTCCTTCCTCCAGGGAGAGAGTCCTGGAGGTACCTGTCCCAGTGACAGGGAAGGGGCGGGGCCAGGAGCCAAGGCTGGAAGCTCAGCCCCCACTCAGCCTTTGCAAATGCTCTAGTGGGAGCAGCTGGCCTCAGGAGAGGGCTTAAAACTCCAGGAGGGCCCGGGCAGGTGCGGACGCGAGGGGATCGGAGGGGAGGCCTCGCCTGGCCCACCTTACTCCTGCCCTTCTACCATGTGGCCCTTCCCAAGCCGCTCGCTCTTTCCGCCCCCAACTCAGGCCTGGCTCCAGACAGTCTCCTCAGACCCGGAGGCCCAGGGCTGGGGGGCCTGGAACGAGACCAAGGAGACTCTGGGGCCAGAGGGTGGGGAAGGGAAGGAGGAGGAAGAGGAGGCAGAGGAAGACCAGGATGGGGATGCAGGCTTCCTGTTGTCTCTGCTGGAGCAAGAGAACCTGGCTGAGTGCCCGGCGCCTGACCAGGTAACAGCTGTGTGGAGGCCCTGGGGCTCTCAGGGGACCTGGGGCACAGGGACTGGCGGAGACACGGGGTCTGGGTGACGAATGGCTGCAGCTGACTTAGGAGGGGAGGGCCATTGCCCACCTGCCTGGACGAAGGTGGCAAGGAGACCCCGCAGCACAGACTGCGGAGTCAAGCTGGCGTCTCTGGCCTGGGGAAGGGCCCTTGAGGTGCAGTTTCGGGGGCTTCTCTGCAGGGGCGAGTTCATCACCCTAGGAAGGAGCGTCCCTGTCCAGAGAAGGGCTGCCCCTTGGGGCTGTGACCCTCTGCTGAAGCTGGCAGGCCACACACCCACCTTCTTCGAGCAGAGCCTGCAGGCTGCCTGCCCCACTCAGCGCCATGTGTCGGCAGGAGCTGGAGGCCATCAAGATGAAGGTGTGTGCCATGGAGCAGGCCGAGGGGCCGCCATGGTCTCTGGGAGCACAGCACCAGGCCGAGGAAGAGGAGGGGCTGCCACAGCCTCAGGGAGTGCAGCACCAGGCCGAGGAAGAGGAGGGCACCATGGCCGGGCAGCTGCTGAGCCCTGAGGCCACGGGTAGGAACCAGGGGCCCAGGCCGCCCCCCACTGAGCCAGGGTCCCAGGGTTTCCATGAGGGTTGGGCCTGGCAGGCTCCAAGGTGTCACCTCCCCTACAAACCTGGGCCACCTTCCCCGTGAGAGGAGTGAGGAAGGAGCCAAGGGCCTTCGGGCCTGAGATGTGTTCTCCACAGGCTGCCCCCTCCCTGGGACCCCCGAGGAGAAGGTGGAGGCTGACCACAGATCTGTCTACGTGGGCAACGTGAGTGGCAGGCGGGGGCCGGGGGGGCAGGCAGTGAGTGGGGCCCCATCTCTTCCAGGGGGTCTGGTGCCCGGCCCTGGGCCAGGCTTGTGGGGAAGGGAGTCTGACACTGGGGACAGCCCTGTCCCCTTGAGGAAACACTGGCCTGGGCACATGTTCCAGTTTTTCAACATGAGCTGGAATTCAGGATTGCACATGAAATCTCCACTTTTGAGAAGTTTTTTGAAAGGCTCCAGCCCTCCGGAAGGGAGCGCTCCCTGTGAGATCTCCTTTCCTTTCTTCCCTCCATCCCCAGCAGGGGTGTGGGGTGGAGGCCTGGGGCCGTCCCCGCCCGGGGGCCCAGCCTTGGGGTTTCTTTCCCCACTTCTACCAAGAAAGCCTCGAGTCAGGGCCAGGCATCTCCCTGACACGCGGGTCTGGGCCTGGTGTCTCCCTGACACGCGGGTCTGGGCCTGGGTCCAGGTGGACTACGGGGGCTCTGCCGAGGAGCTGGAGGCCCACTTCAGCGGCTGCGGGGAGGTCCACCGAGTCACCATCCTGTGCGACAAGTTCTCTGGACACCCCAAGGGGTCAGTTCGGGGCCTGGCGGGGGCACTGGCTGTGCGGACAGGGCCCAGCCTCATCCCTCCCCGTCCCTCCCCTCAGTTACGCCTACATAGAGTTTGCCACCAAGGGCTCCGTGCAGGCCGCCGTGGAGCTGGACCAGAGCCTCTTCCGGGGCCGGGTCATCAAGGTGCGCCAGTGCTCCCCAGGTCCAGGAACATGAGCACAGAGGGGCTGGCCCACTGGCCCTGGGACACACAGCAGCCCCAGCTGGCTCCTCTCTGCACAGCGCGTCTCAGGCACGGTGCTTGGCTGGGCCTGGACAGGATGTGGCAGGACCCTGGGACCTGAAGCTGGGTTTGGTCTGCCAGTGACATGGTGGGGAAGTGTCCCCTCTCGGGGCGGGAACCCCCTCTGCAGGGGTGCTGGCTGTGACTGGGTGTCATATGACAGCTATGGTGGGCAAAGGCAGGGGACCCTTTAGGCCCAAATGGCATCCTGAGCCTGCAGGACCCCACACTCCGGGGTGGTGGGCGTTGCAGGGACTGCGGGCTGGGTCTTAGCTGCCCCTCGAGGAGGACTAGGAACAGGCCTTTGCTCCAGGTGCTGCCGAAAAGAACCAACTTCCCTGGGATCAGCTCCACAGACCGCGGGGGCCTTCGAGGACACCCAGGCTCCAGGGGGGCACCGTTCCCCCTCAGCGGCCTCCAGGGCAGGCCCCGGCTCAGACCACGAGGGCAGAACCGGTGAGTGGGTGCCTGTGGAGGCAGCCTGGGGGCGAGGGCCATGGTGGGGCGTCGGGGCCTGGGGATCAGGGGCAGGAGGGGGTCCCTGAGCTTGTTCCTCACGGGGCTGCAGGAACGTACCTGGTGGGGCCTGGGTGAGGGCTGGGGCTGCTGCATCAGCTAGGGGGGTGCTCTCTGCAGCCTCTCTGCTGGGAGAGGTGACCCTTTCTTGTTCCCACCAAGACCCTGGGGTGGGCTGCAGCTGCCCCAAGGGGCTCTCCTGGCGCTGCCTTCCCCTTTCCTGGGACCATCCCAGGAGAGCAGCTAGGAGTCACCAGAAAGGCCCCCTGGGGCATTGCCTGAGCAGTCAGGTGCCCTCCCTGCATCCTTGTCCTGTTGTCCCCCGGGGCCCTGGGCCACCTCCCTTCCCCTCTGGAATGCCACTCACCGTGCATTCTCTCTCCGTGCAGGGCCCGTGGAAAATTCTCACCGTGGTTTTCACCGTATTAAAGGGGAAGGCCTGATTTTGAGAGAGGGGCTGGGGGCTGGGTCAGGAGTAAACCACTTGGGCTTCATCCTGGGGCTGGGGCAGGGAGTAGGGCAGGGGCGAGGCCAGAGGAGAGGGGTGTCCGGAAGAGCAGCTGCTGACCCCCACTTGGCCAGGGGATGGCCCACTAGGGCCTTGTATGGTGGCCCAGACCCACGGCCACAGCCACGAGTCACAGTCATGGCCCAGTGGTGGGCCTGGCACGGGCGCCACGGGGATCTAGGGGGGCTCTGGGCAGTGAGGTCGGGGAGAGGCAGAGGCCCAGGCAGTGCCAGGCCAGCTTGGGGTGGGCATGCTCGGCTCTTCAACTAAGTCATTTTAAGAAAAATAGAAAACGTGTCTCTTAATGGTGAAGCATAAATTATTAAACTTGGGTACTTTTTAAAAGCAAATGGCAGCAGCACTCCTGTGCATTCCCCTCGTGGACACAGCTCCCTTTTCGTCTTCCCCTGGGACAGGACACACAATTCCCTTCGTGTCTTCCCCTGGGACAGGACACACAATTCCCTTCGTGTCTTCCCCTGGGACAGGACACAGAAGGCAGCTGGTGGGCTGTGGCTGTGGGAGAAGGACAGGGCTTTAGACCCCTCACGACCGACAGCAAGCCGGCAGTGTGCACAGGCTGAGCCGGTGTCAACGTCACTGCCAGCCTGGTGGGCTACGACTGCCTGTGTGTCAGTCAAGGCGCCCCCACCCCATAACCCTGCCCTGGCACCACGTGTCCCCCACCAAGTGATCCAGACATCCGGGACGCTGGCCCTTGTCAGAAGCTCAGTAAACAGAGGTGGAGATCTCTGATCTCTGTCCTGGGCACTTTGACAACTGTCCCCTCTGAAAGCATGCACAGCTGTGGAGGCCCAAGTCTGCTTATGTGCACACATCCAACTCCAGCACTCCACGACGGACAGCGCCTCCCCTTCGTGCCCCACTGGGCTCAGTGTGGTAATTCCTGGAGCCCCGTGCAGACCAGCTCCTATTCAGTGGGCTGGTGCCCACCCACCCCTCAGTCACCTTCCTCCAGCACCAGGCCACACGCTGCTCCCCGGAATGAGCCAACCTCCTCGTTCCCGCCTACACCAGCCGCTTCCCCAAACCAGCCCCCCACCCCACCGTGGGGCCTTGTTCCCGCCTACACCGGCCTCTTCCCCAAATCCACCCCCACCCCACCCCACGGTCCCCCCCACCCCCCCCCCCCCCCACCCCACCCCACCCCACCCCACCATGGGGCCTTGTTCCCGCCTACACCGGCCTCCTCCCTAAATCCGCCTCCACCCCACCCCACCCCACCCCACCCCACCCCACCGTAGGGCCTTGTTCCCGCCTACACCAGCCTCCTCCCCAAACCAGCCCCCCACCCCACCCCACCCCACCCCACCGTGGGGTCTTGTTCCCACCTATACCAGCCTCCTCCCCAAACCAGCCCCTCACCCCACCCCACCCCACCCCACCCCACCCCACCGTGGGGCCTTGTTCCCGCCTACACCGGCCTCCTCCCCAAATCCGCCCCCACCCCACCTCACCCCACCGTGGGGCCTTGTTCCCGCCTACACCAGCCTCCTCCCCAAATCCGCCCCCCCCCCCCCCCACCCCACCCCACCATGGGGCCTTGTTCCCGCCTACACCAGCCGCCCCAAACCAGCCCCCCACCCCACCGTGGGGCCTTGTTCCCGCCTACACCAGCCTCCTCCCCAAATCCGCCCCCACCCCACCCCACCCCACCCCACCGTGGGGCCTTGGGTCAGTGTTGGCCTCTGTAGTGGGGTGAATGATGCCCCCCAAACTGCATCCATGTCCTGATCCCCAGACCCTGTGAATGTGAACTTCTCTTGAAAGGGTTTTTGCAAATGGGATTCGGTGAAAGGTCTAGAGATGGTCCTGGGTTACCTGCGGTCACTAAACACAACCACACACCCTAAACCCAACCACACACTGGTTATTTGCGGTCCCTAAACACCACACATTGGTTACATGAGACCAAACCCAACCACACACTGGTTACCTGTGGCCCTAAAGCCAAACACACACTGGTTACAGAGACGAAGAGACGCTCCAAGACTGTGAAGACAGAGGCAGAGGCTGGAGCAATGCCGAGGATGACAGGGGCCGGTAGTGGCTGCAGAGGCTGGAGCAGACCCACCCCAGAGCCTCCAGGAGCCAGCCACAGCCACACCCAGCCTTTGGACTTCTGCCTCCGACATGGGGCGGAAATACATTCCCAGGGTTTGAAGCCCCTCCATGCGGTGCTCTGTTACGGTGGAGGCCTGGAGACTGAGCTCTCTGACCTAATTATCGGGATACCCGACCAAGGAGCCACCATGGCCCTCCAAGATCTGTCCTGATCTTGCCTGAGGTCCACTCTGGGGACCCGGGTTCTGTGGTCTGTGAGCTGCTCTGCCCAGGCCTCTGCTGGTTTGCCAGCGAGTCTGGCTTCAGGGTGGGCTTGAGGGGGCTGTCCCAGCATCAGAGTGAGAGCCAGGCCTAGCCCAGAAGGGAGGTCAAGCTGCCCAGGGCGGGGCCTGGTGCGCACCGCTCACAGCTGGGGGCTGCAGGAGGGGCCTGAGGCAAGCACAGCACTTTGCAGATGGCAGCCCCTGACTGCTCAGTACCCAGAGCCAGGGTCTGGCCCTCAGCGAGGGTTCGCTGCTGGCCTTGACGCAGGTATCATGCCCATGGGTGTGTCAGGTCCCTGACTGTTCTAGCCCATGTCGCAGGTTAGTTCCTGTCCATCTTCAGCCTTCTGTGTGGCCACTGCAAGGAGACAGCGGAGTGAGCCTGGGGAGTCCCTCCTTTCTTGTGGACTTGACACCTGAACAGACTAAGGCGGAGGAAGACCTGGGAACCCCTCAGCATGGCCCTTCCAGGTGATGAGACCCTGGGCCGTGACCTGCAGAGGCCTTTGCAGCTGCATGGAGGCGGCGGATGCTCTGGCTGGCTCGGGTGGGCAACTAACAAGAACAGGCTCATCGTCCCCCGTCTGCGGCAGAAGGAAAGAGGCAGAGTATCGTCTCGGCCTGACGGGGAGGAGGGGCTGCCCCACGTGGCGTCCAGCAGAAGTCGCCTGGGGTCGAGGAAGGAGTGGGCAGGGCTGTGGCCCTCCATGAGGCCAACCCCAGGGTGGAGACAGCACGAACCTACCACATGACAGTTCTGCTGTCAGATCAGAGGTGAGCACATGACTTGTTTCCTTGGACTTAAAATGGGGATGGTGCCTTACAATGCTTGTGAAAACTCCCTAATGTAAAAAGTTCTTACAGGTGGATCTGGCTACGCCTAACAGAAAACCCAAATAGCAGTGATTTAAACCAGAGAGGGGTGCGTTTATTTTCTCACATTTAAAAAAAGCTGAAATTAAGTAGTCCGGGGCTGGTACGTCAGCAAAGGCCTAGGGTCCTTCCCGCGTTCTGTGTTAGCAAAGGCCCAGGTCCTTCCCACGTTCTGTGTCAGCAAAGGCACAGGGTCCTTCCCACATTCTGCCTCAGCAAGGTCACAGGTCCTTCCCGCATTCTGTGTCAGCAAAGGCACAGGGTCCTCCTTCCTGCGTTGTGCATCAGCTCCACTGTCCTCAGGGTGTGACTCTTTCCTCATGCTCTCAGGACAGCTGTGCCAGCACCAGCCATCACATCCATGTTCCAGGCAGGAAGAAGGCAAAGGGGAAGGGCCCTGCACGTGGCAGCTGAGCCCCCTTCACAGGAGCTTCCCTGCAAGTCTGTCCTAGCACCACCACCTCCATGCCACAGCTGCACACCCCAGGCTGCGAGGGAGGCCAGGACATGGTTCTCATCTGCCCACTGTCAGAGCTGTGCAGAGGCACTAGAGTTCTGTTAGTAGGGAGGAAGGAGAATGGATGCTGGGTTAGCAACTTCCCAAGTCCCCACCACAGCCAGGACTCAGGCAGGAGCGATCCCCACTAAAAGGCAAAGATTTCACACTGGGCTGCAGTGGGGAGGTGCTAGGTGCTTGGGCTGGGGTCCCACTTTCTAACAAACATGAGGCTCTTGTTAAAGATTTAACCCTGTGAGGGTGGCCTGTGGCCCAAACGCACTCAGACCAGCTGCCCGGTGTGCCTCGGCCCATGCCAGGACTTCCAATTCACCCTGGGCGAGGGAAGCCTGCGGTTTTCACACACACTCCTTGCTCATTTCTTCTTCTATAATTTATAAAATTAACACTGTGCTTGCTGGATGGGATGAAAAGGCAAATATGTATCGAGAAAGTTCCCCTCCCTGTGTCTGCCCCAGGCTGACCCCCTTACAGCCTTTCCTGCTGCAGGGGCTCCTGGGGTCTGCAAGGTCCTTGAGAAACTCTCCAGTCCTGGACCAGTGCTGGAACCAGCTCTGCGGGGGGGTCTCCTCAGCTGGCTGAGCCTCGACTGCTGGACCCCAAGGTTGCCAGCGGCACTGACACCACTAAGGGCTCGGCGGCTGCCCTGGGTGGTAGTCAGTCATGTCATCAAGCGACACGGCACCGAACCCCCTCAGCACAAACAGGCAGGAAGGGGCGCCTCAAGTCTGCGCTCCAGGGCTTAGGATGAGGGCTGCAGCTGAGCCAACGCCACGGGGCCACGAGGCTTCCCAGGTTTCACAAGCGTTCTTTTCAGGCCAGGCTGAGTCTAGACGTTGGGCCAGATGCAAAGAATGGAGGCCAAGTCCAGAAAGAGGAGGGCCCTCCCCTGTGGGAAGGCACGCTGGCTCCCCTTTTGCCCCTAGATCCTAGGCTGGCTCTGGGCTCAGGAAGCCGCCCCCTCCAGACCAGTCCACCTGTTCAGCCAATGGGTGACCCACATGGTCACAGGTCCTGCAGGCTCAGGAACTCTTGGCTCCAGGCGCCCCTGCCTCTGCCCCTTTGGGACAACTGGGGACAGACTTCCTGCACCATCTAATCCCAAACCTCTGCCCACACCACTGAAAGTCCTTAGTTGAATTCTTCTTAGTTAAATCCTTGGCTGACACAGAAGGAAAAAGCCAAATCTCATCTCACAAGACCTTTAGTTGAGAGAACATGCACAGCTGCCTGCCCTGAAAGCCCCGGGCATCCCACTCAGGAAGAGGCGACGAGAACAGACTGACGGCCACCACGGTCACGCGTGGGATCCTCTGCGATGGCCGGCAGCACAGCTCATTCAGCACACCTGTATCATCATGGACGTCACCATGTTATCAAAGGCCCTGCTAAGAGAAACAGACCCACTCAGAGGAAAGCCAGGCCCTCCACCTGTCTGCTCACGGAGACAGGCAGGGCAGCAGGGCTCCGTCCAAGGACGCTCAGGGCCTTCTCCAGGGTCCAGAAACGTGAACTCAGCTGAGAGGTGAGGACAGGAGTCCCGCCCCACCAGGCACTGAGAACCCATCTGCTGCCTCCAAGTTCCCTGTGCAGTCTCCCAAGGCCCCAGGAAGGGGTGGAGGAGGAAGCAGCATGGGCAGGCAGGATAGTGGTGTGGCAAGGACAGGCCTGTGAAGCCCAGGAGGCAGGACTGCATGGACGTTCGCCTGCCTGCTCCCATCTGGGACCCAGGATGGCCCCAAGACAGAGTCCTGGTGGAGGGAAGGGCCTGGCTGGGGTCACTGCAGCGTCCTCCTGCCTGCCAACCACAAGAAATTATGTCTTGGAACTGGGGACTCGCTGGAAGCAAGTCTGGAGTGTAGGCATGGACCCCACATTTCCCTCATGCCATTCAAAAGTTAAGTCTGTTTACTTTCTGGGCCATTTGGAAGATGCCTGCAAACCAGGTTCCTGACTGTCCAAATTCAACATAAAAGATCAGGTAGTGACAAGAGGATGTGTGATCCCTGAAAGCCACTGCCCATGTGCTCGGCCCTGAGTCCTGCAGGTGCCCCAGGTACCCACTGGGCACACCTGGGAAGCCAAACGGGCAAGCTCCGCTCCCCGCACCACACACACTCCATCCACTTTACGCGCCGGAGATCTGTGTAAGAGTTGGTGTGGAGAAACAGGGCTTTGTGGCTTTAAAACCTCTGCCCTAGGGGTTTTAGGGTGATGGTGCTCATAGCTTAAAAAGACCTTTCCTCCCTTGTTTTCCAAATGGTTGCATTTTGGCAACCAAAATGGCAAGGCAGGTCCTACAGAAAGAAGGAAGCAAGACACAGAAAGTAGGGCCCACCTGGACTGGATCACAGGAAGCCCACCTGGTGGATGGACACAGGAAGTAGGACTGGACTGGTGGACACAGGAAGTAGGGCCCTAGATGGACCGAGTAGGACTGGATGCGGACACAGGAAGTAGGGCCCACCTGGACTGGATCGGACACAGGAAGTAGGGCCCACCTGGACTGGATCGGACACGGGAAGTAGGGCCCACCTGGACTGGATGCGGACACGGGAGTAGGGCCCACCTGGACTGGGGGGGGGGGGGGGGGGGGGGGGGGGGGGGGGGGGGGGGGGGGGGGGGGGGGGGGGGGGACTGGATGCGGACACAGGAAGTAGGGCCCACCTGGACTGGATGCGGTCCCCCGGGTTGTAGAAGGGGTTGCACATCACGTCTGTGTAGGAGTTGTGTAGCTTCCGGAACATCTGAAAAAGACCCAGCAAACTGTGACATTGCCAGGTACACACAGCCAGTGCCAGATTTTTGGTTTCTCAGCATTTCAAAACAAAGTCAAAAAGGAAAAACAAAACACCCACTCGGGCATGGCCTTCTAACCCCGACTTACGCTGCGAATTTCGTTGTCTCGAAGGGCCGTGTTGGAGGAATCCACCACCATGACAAACTTCACCTTGGAATTGGTGACGTAGCCATACCTGCACAGCTGGTTAGGGAAGGCACTCGCAACGCAGGGACTGCCAGCGGAGGACCCTCTGTGGGCCCTCCCTTTGGAGAAACGTGGCAACCTTGAATCACAGGAAATGCCCAGGCTGGGCTGGTCCTGCAGTGACCATGCTGGGTGCGAGCCTAAATACTTCGCTAGGGCAATGTCTGGTGTTTGCGGGAGAAGCAAGGGGCAGGCAGCCAAGCCTTAGCCAGTTCACACTCCAAGAGCCGAATCGCCTAGACTCTGAGTGTGTCTGTCTGGATCACCTCATCCTCTTTAGGAATCAATGCCTGGCCCAGAAAGTTAACTGCAAAAGCAGAGGCTTCGTGAACAAGGCAGATCCCCTCTCTAGAGGCCACATTATTTTGTAAAATAGTGGCTACCAGCAAATGTCACCATGGACAAGCTACATTACCGCTTTTGGGAAGGCCTTTGAACTCCACGGCCTCAAGTGATTTGTCCCAAGGGACTAGACGAGAGTGTCTAGTGACGTACGAGGCAAGGCCTAACAAAATAAATGAAACCGTTATCCCCTGTTCAAAGGTGGTGGCTCCCCCTGAAAAGCACAGCAAGAAATCCTTGCAGGTACAAAGCAGAAGTGTCCCAGTTCCTCTGCAAACCAGACAACAGACACGTGCAAAGCAAAACATTCTACAGGGCATTCTAGCCTTGCTTTTCCCAAATGATTCTTCCAGTGAAAGAGAGAGAAGAGTTAGAGGCCTTCATTCACCTCAGGCGTCCCTAATTCCCTGGCTGGCCAAAAACTCTCACCTTTTTCTTTCTTCTCAAAGGTTTCAAGCTATCTGATCCTAAAGTATACCCGGCAATTGTAGGTACTCCCTGACACACACCCTGCCCTGAAAGATACACCTTGTAGTCCTCCGTGGGGTAGAGCAGGCCCAGGTACAGCTCCCTCTGGTCAACCAGGGCCTTCCCCATTGCGGAGATCTTCTCATCCACCACGTCCAGAGATGTGTGCACCATGTAGTGGAACTTCAGCTCGTTCTCCGTGGGGGTGCTGCGAATGTAGAGGGGGTAATTCTGCAAGAAAGGATGACGGCGACTGAAAGGACAAGACTCCACCCAGTGCACACCAGCTCTGAACTATGCTGCAGAGCCGTGACCTTCAGCCATCCGGGGAATGCATTCCCATTCTCTAAGGCCCACCGCTTCATTCTCCAGGCCGCAGTGGGCACTGCCTTCAGGGAATCCCATCTAACCTAAGAAGATTTATGTGTTGTTTGCAAAGCAGCAGCAGTAGGGTGGCCAGAAAAGACCACTCAGAAAAATGGGCCTCAGCACAGCCTGACGATCAAGCCTGGAACCCGGGCAGGCCTCTCACCTTCTCCTGGAGGCCACTCTGCCTCAGCCCACCTCTAGCTCTGCATGGGTCACCCAAATACAGCACCCTAAATACTGGCTTTTCTTCACCTTGACACTGACCCTTTTACTAAACCGTTCAAGACTCAGCTCAAATTCCTTTCATTTCTCATTCCTGACCATTGTAAGCCCAGAATTAACAGCTGCTTTCTTGGGCTTTCACACACCACCATTTACTCTGTAAATTCAGCACTGGGTCCTGCAGAAATACAGTGAACAAGAGTCTTCGCTACTCTCATGGGGCTATATGATACCTAATCGATAAAGCCACAAACAAGCAAATGATCATCTGTGGCCAGGAGGGAAGCCCATGAGAAGCTTAGCAGCAGCCACTGCGCAGCAGGGAGCGGCCTCCAGAGTGGTCTCAGGGCAGACCCTGGCTAGGAAATGAAGGCTCCATGCAGCAGAAGCACAGTGTGGACAGCCACCCAGCTCAGTCTCAGCCTTCAGAATATGCTTTCCAGAAGAAATGTACGTGGGCCAGTAAAGAGGGTGGGAGCTGGGGAGAGGTGTTCCGGGTGCAAAGGCCCAGAGGTGAGAGGGCAAAGCATGCCCAGGGAGCTGCAAAATTGGTTGCTTGGAGCGGAGGGTGCCAAGGGTTATGGGGGGAAAGGATACCAGACCAGGTTATTCAAACAGCATCCTAAGGCAACGAGAAGCCACTGCAGAGGTCTCAGGCAGAGGCGTGACAGGATCCGATTGGTTTTTAACTCGGCTCCTGGGAGACTGGCAGAAGGGCCGTACGCGGGGAGCCAGCGCTGGATGGGAGAACCGGCAGAACCTACTGAGGAAGGAGGCAGTGCCCCGGACCACCTAGGCTTCTGGTGGGTCCTGGCGGGGAGGAGACCTGGGGCGCCGAGGGGTGCGTTCAGCAGCGGGACGGGCAAGCGCGGAGCTGGGGAGCTCAAGGTCTGCCGGGTGGCTCGTCCACCGCGAAGCCCCTGACCCCTGGAGCTCGGCGAAGGCCTCCTCCAGGTCCCATTTCCTAAGGCGCCTTCTAGGCCCAGGGAAGAAAGACAGAGCGGAGAAGCGAGGATGGTGCGGGCCCGGACGCCCCGCGCAGCACGTACGCACCTCCTTGGCGATCACCGCGATGCACACCGCCATCTTGGGAGGCCCGGCGCTGGCGTCGCATCACGTGACCCGCCGCTGGTCACGCAGCCCCGCAAGCCCCGCCCCGCCCGTCTCGCAGTTGGCTCTGGCCCCGCCCCACTGGTCGCGAGGCCGTCCAGGCCCCGCCTCCGTCCCGCCGCGGACTCTGGCCCCGCCCCACTGGTCACGAGGCCGTCCAGGCCCCGCCCCGCAGCCCAGCCGGAAGGGCCGGCGGACGCTCGCTGCTGGGTCGGCTCGCTGGCTCGGGCTCCGCGGCTCCGGTGGTTGCCATGGCGGCGGTTGTCGCGGCGACTAGGTGGTGGCGGCTGTTGCTGGTGCTGAGCGCCGCGGGGATGGGGGCCTCGGGCGCCCCGCAGCCCCCCAATATCCTGCTTCTGCTCATGGACGACGTGAGTGCGGGCGGTGGGACGGGGCAGGGCCGGGGGGCCGGGGTCGCGGGGGGAGGGGAGGGGCGGGGGAGGCAGGAGGGGAGGGGAGGGGCGGGCGTGGTGGGGGGAGAGGTCGGGCGAGGCCCCGCGCGGGGAGGAGGAAGGGAAGAGGATATCCCCGTGGGGGGAGGGGAAGGGGGATATCTCCGTGGGGGGAGGGGGAGGCCCCGCGGGGAGTGGCCGCGGTGTCCAGGTGTGGGGTCTCGGCGGCCACCGGTCACCAGCGGCGCTGCCAGTGTGCTGCGTGACCGGGACAGCGTCCTCCCTCGCAGGTGGGTGACCGGCGTACTGCCCGGCCCTGCCTCCCCCGTCTGACCTTTCCCGCCCTCTGCTCTTGGGAAGGTGGGCGCGCAGCGTGGCCGCCTCAAAGGGAGGAAGGGGCTGCTCCTGCCGCCCTGCCTGAGAGCTGCGTCGCCCTGGGAATCACTCCCGCCGTCTCGGGCCTCCGGGTCCCCCCCGCTGGGCTCCAGTCTTACCTGAGGGCTGCCTTTGTCCCCTGGAGAACGCTGAGCAAAGGTCAGGTGTCCCTGAGGTCTGAAGAACTGAAAGGCTGGGATGTCCCCTGGTGGGCAGGTGCGGGGTCAGGGGTCACAGAGCCGGCCTGGAGGCCTCCTTCCCTAACTCCTTGTGGGAGCCACCTGGAGACTCAGTAATGAGTCTGCCTGGGGCACGGGTCACCGTGCAGGACCCCAGACACACCTGGGTTCAAACCCTACTGGCTCGAAGCTGGGGGGTCACTTCCATTCTTGAGCCTCAGGCCGCCTCCACTGGGGGAGGGGTCACACCCGTCCTGCTGTGCTCACGTGGTATGTGAGGACTGGGACGACATCGAGTGCTGGACAGTTTTGGGCTGTCAATGTCGCTCAGCCCCTGTATGCTGGCTGCAGACCAGCAGAGACCCTGACAGGGGCCTTCAGATCCACCTGTGCTGACCAGTGGGGGCCACAGGCCTCACGCAAGGGCTGAGAAGTTGTGGCTGTCGGAATTGGGAGGTGCTGGTCGTGTAAAGTACACAGATTTAGAAAACTTGGTACAAGAAAAAGAATATAAAATATCTCACTGAACAATTTTATTGAATTAATGGTTTTTTAGCATATATACCTGAAAAGATAACAGACACCATCCATAATTTCCCCACCCAGGGGTGACAGCCCTCAGCCCTGGGCAGCCCCTTTTCCATCTCATATGTCTATTTGTGTGCAGTGAGTGCTTTCCAGAGCGGGCTCTCCAGCCCCCAGGGGTCCCTGTGCTGACAGCAGTAGCCAGGTCTTTCTCAGTACTGAGTGGTATCTACGTCCTAAAGATACTTTGTTTCAGAATTTCATCCTTTCACTTTTTAAGTTCTCTGGGCTAGTGTAGATACTTTGTTTCAGAATTTCATCTTTTCATTGTGTAAGTCCCTTGGGGCCAGCATAGCTTCCCCCAGTGAGCTGGACCCTGCGGGTGAAGCCTCCCTGTTCAGCCTCTGCCTTTCTTGACGTTCTCAGAGGACAAAGGGCTATGTGAGGCGGGGCAGCTCATGAATAATTTTTTACGTAGAAGACTTGTTGAAATAAGATTTTGGATATGTTGGGTTAAATAAAATATAAGGTTAAGTCTGCATTTCAGCTACTTCTGCTTTTCTAGCGTGGCTCCTGGTAAATGCGGAACTGCATGTGGACTCACCCTGTGTTTCCATAGGACAGCAAGGGTTCAGGCCGTGCAGGGTGGAGGGGTGGGGTGCGGCCATCAGTGTGACAGGGGAAGCCCCACCCACCTGGGGACCTGTCCTGTGGCCTCCTCCATGTGGTTTGTGGGGTCCTTTAGCAGCTGACGCCTAAAGAACCCCAGAGGAGCTCTGTCCTGGCCGGTAGGTGTACTTGCTAGAACTTTCTGATGCAGACAGCAGAAAATGAAGTCAAAGTGACAAGCAAAAGTGGGGATTCCTTGGCCCTCCTGACTCGACAGATCAGGGCTGCCTGGCGAGTTGCCCCTTTCATGGCTCTGCTGTCTCTGAACTGGCCACATCCTCACTCAGCCTGTGATGGTCCTAGGCAACTCCAAGTCACCCCCTGCAGTCAGCAGACCCAGTGGGAGGTTGGCTCTGCCTCTGAGTCATGTGAGCCTGATGTGGGTCTCAGTCCTGTGCCAAGCACACTGGGGGAGGGGCGCATGCTGACCTGTCCAGCCCAGGCCTCGGAGCCTCGGGCCTACCCCAGAAGGGAGACTGCCCCGATTGTCTCATCTACCTGGACCCAGCAGAGAGGGGGTTCCTTGAAGGGCCCATGGTGCAGCTACCAGGATGGGGCAGGGATGCTGGCAGGTGAGAGCCACAGAAGCTTGCAGTGAAGCCCGAGTGCCCTGATGTGGCCCAGGGTGCAAGGGAGTCCTCACAGGCTGTGTTCTCTCCTCGGAGTCCGGGGCTTCCTCCGCAGCCCTGTCCGCACCTCTCCCTGTGCTGTAGACCAGTTGTTTCTGTCAGGGTGCTGGTGTCTGAACCTGCAACAGGTCATTTTGGCTCTGGAATGACATAGGATCATTTGGTGACCCACAGCCCTGGGCCTCGCACCACCTGAGGACGAGTGTGCGTCTCTCAAGTTCAGATTTTGGAGCATGGCCCTCCATGGACCAGCTGCCTCCAGCCCAGTCTCCCCCTATCCTGTCCTCTGTGTCTGGGCAGTGAGGGGCCTGGACCCCACTTTCATCTGAGCAAGTGCAGTTTCAGAAAAGGAGTGTCCCCAAAACTAGCTTATTGCACACCTCATGGCCAGAAGCCACTCTCCAACTGGTCACACTGACCCGGGAGAGTACCACTGCCCCCAGCGTCAGGGCCAGAATGGGAGGCTGGGACTCAGGGGTGAGAGCAGCTGGTAGGAGCCCCCACCTGTCCAGGGCAGCTGAGCCGACCAGAGCGAGGACAGGTCCAGCTGCACTCCCCAGGACTGCCCTGCCCTGGCCTTTCACTGGCCCACGGTCTAGCGCGGCCTGGCTTCTCAGCACCCTGGGCACCTTGCTGCGTGAGCGACGAAACCTGCGTGGCCCACTCTGCTCTCCAGGGTTGCTGGGGCCTTGGAGACAGGTGAGACCTATGACAACCTCCGCTCTGGCCCTCACACAGCTCCTGCCTCCCAGGGCCAGCAGCGCTCTGCGTCTCTACTCCTTATTTGGAAAATAGGGTTAAGAAGGGTCAGCCCTGACCACAGAGGAAGTGGAGAGTCAGGGCCACCCAGGCCAGCTCCTATTGCCACAGCAGCCTTGTGGAGCCACCAGAACCGGGGGAGGGCTGCTCAGCGCCCCTCGTTTGAGATAGACAAGCACTGGTCTGCTTATCTTCATGATAATCCCATAGCAACCAGTAGGAATGGAAACTTTGCGTTTCTTAAAACTCTGAAATTCCTAAGGATACTGATCCATGGCTCACAGCTGTGCTCACTGAACATGGACAATCATTTGGGGGCTTTTAGGACTTTTTTTTTTTTTTTTTTTTGAGATGGAGTCTCACTCTGTCACCCAGGCTGGATTGCAATGGTATGATCTCAGCTCACTGCAACCGCTGTCTCCCAGATTCAAGCAGTTCTCCTGCCTCAGCCTCCCGAGTAGCTGGGACTACAGGCTCCCACTACTGTGCCCAGCTAATTTTTGTATTTTTAGTACAGTTGGGGTTTCACCATATTGGCCAGGCTTGTCTCGAACTCCTGACCTCAGGTGATCCTCCCTCCTCAGCCTCCCAAAGTGCTGGGATTACAGACGTGAGCCACCGTACCCGGCCAGGACTTTTTTTTTTTTAAGACAAGGTGTGGCTCTGTCACCCAGGCTGAAGTGCAGTAGCTCGATCACAGCTCACTGCAGCCTGAAACTACTGGGCTCAAGCAATTCTCCTGCCTCAGCCTCCTGAGTAGCTGGGATTATAGCCGCCCATCACCACACCCAGTTAATTAATTTGATCTTCAGTCACTGATACCCTTTCTTCCACTTGATTGAATCGGCTATTGAAGTTTATGCATGCGTCACATAGTTCTTGCACCATGGTTTTCGGCTCTGTCAGGTCATTTAAGGTCTTCTCTACGCTGTTTATTCTAGTTAGCCATTCATCTAATCTTTTTTCAAAGTTTTTAGCTTCCTTGCAATGGGTTCAAACATCTTCCTCTAGCTCAGAGAAGTTTGCTATTACCTTCTGAAGCCTAATTCTGTCAGCTCGTCAAAGTCATTCTCCATCCAGCTGTGTTCCGTTGCTGGCGAGGAGCTGTGATCCTTTGGAGGAGAAGAGGCACTCTGATTTTTAGAATTTTCAGCTTTTCTGCTCTGGATTCTCCCATCTTTGTGGTTTTATCTACCTTTGGTCTTTGATGCTCGTGACCTACAGATGGGGTTTTGGCGTAGATGTTCTTTTTGTTGATGTTGATGCTGTTCCTTTCTGTTGGCTAATTTTCCTTCTAAGAGTCAGGTCCCTCAGCTGCAGGTCTGATGAAGTTTGCTGGAGGTCCACTCCAGATGCTGTTTGCCTGGGTATCACCAGCAGAGGCTGCAGAACAGCAAATATTACAGAACAGCAAATATTGCAGAACAGTAAATATTGCTGCCTGATCCTTCCTCTGGAAGCTTCGTCCCAGAGGGGCAGCCATCTGTATGAGGTGTCAGTCAGCCCCTGCTGGGAGGTGTCTCCCAGTTAAGCTGCATGGGGGTCAGGGACCCACTTGAGGAGGCAGTCTGTCCGTTGTCAGAGCTCAAACACTGCTGGGAGAACCACTGCTCTCTTCAGAGCTGTCAGACGGGGACGTTTAAGTCTGCAGAAGTTTCCGTTTCTGCTGTGTTTTGTTTAGCTATGCCCTGCCCGTAGAGGTGGGGTCTACAGAGGCAGCAGGCCTTGCAGAGCTGCGGTGGGCTCCGCCCAGTTCAAGCTTCCCCTGCCGCAATGGCAGACGCCCCTCCCCCTGCCAGGCTGCCGCCTCGCAGGTTGATCTCAGACTGCGCTAGCAGTGAGCAAGGCTCCGTGGGCGTGGGACCTGCCGAGCCAGGCACAGGGTATAATCTCCTGGTGGGTCGTTTGCCAAGACCGTTGGAAAAGCACAGTATTTGGGTAGGAGTGTCCTGATTTTCCAGGTACAGTTTGTCACGGCTTCCCTTGGCTAGGAAAGAGAAACCCTCCAACCCCTTGCACTTTCTGGGTGAGGCGATGTCCCCGCCCTGCTTCGGCTCGCCCTCTGTGGGCTGTACCCACTGTCCAACTGGTCCCAAAATTATGAACCCAGTACCTCAGGTGGAAATACAGAAATCACCGTCTTGTGCGTCAATCACGCTGGGAGCTGCAGACCGGAGCTGTTCCTGTTCGGCCATCTTGGAACAGAATTCCCACGCCCAGCTAATTAAAAAAAAAGGTTTTTTTTAGTGTCTGTCGATGAGACCCAGGTTGGCCTCAAATTCCTGAGCTCAAGCGATCCTGCCCCCCAGCCTCCCAAAGTGTTGGGGTTACAGACATGAGCCACTGTATCCAGCCCTTTTAGGACTTCTAAGGGGGAGAAGAAAGGTGGTTCCCGCCCATGGTGCCCTGTGAGGGTTCTAGATGTTCACATGGTAACCTGCTCACTCTGCAGGGAGGCTGTCCACATCTGCTTTTCATAGCCGAGAAAGCTGTCGATAAATAACGGAAGAATGGGGTCAGCAGATGAGAGCTGGCCCAGCAGCCTGGGACGCTGTCCTCAGAAGGCCCATGTGTGGGAGGTTGCCCTCGGCTGGCATCTGCGAACAGGAGGTCCCCCTGCTGTTCGCTGCTACGAGCCGCCCACCTTGCCACACTGTTTTCGCAGACACCACGATTTACGCCCAGCACCCTCCTCCTGGGCATCAAGAGTACCAGGCAGAGGGGGCCACACCGCCAGCCCAGGCAAAAGCCCTGGGAACTGAGTCTCACACAGCTTCCCCGTCAGCATCTGGCACCTGTGCTTGCAGCCCGAGCGTCCGTATGGCTCCAGCTTGGGGAAGGTTCCACGCTGCGCCTGGTCTTCCCGGCCCTGCCCACGCCTCTTCCCCTGGCTAATGCCCTCCCCATTGTAAGTCATGGCAGTGAGTGGGACTGTCGCCGAGACCTGGGATTCCTCCCAGCGAGAGTGCTCCCCTTGCGGTATCTTCTGAGTCAGTGGTGAGCGTGGATCCCACTCCCTCGAGCCCTGGGACTCCTCCCCTGCAATATTTTCTGAGTCAGTGATGAGCATGGAGCCCGCTCCCTTCACAGCATTTTCTGCCACATCCATTCATGTTATTTGTGGCCTGGAACAGGTAGGAGAATGACCCAGGTGAGCACAGGCAGACCCAGATGCAGCTCTGCTGACTGCCGACCTTCTCAGGAGACCAGCTGCACCTCGGGAAGCCTCAGGACGCAGCCTGCAGGGAGGGCTGGGCACATGGCGCCCAGTATTCAGATGTGCGGCCTCACTCCCAGTCCGAAGGGAGCCCAGCAGTGGTCCTGGACGTGGGCAGACAGTGTAACGAGTGAAACGTACTGCTCCCTCCCATCCCAGGCCTCGTGCCCTCGGCCCACCTGCCATTCTCTACTCTCCCACCTGGACTGGAGATGGCAGGAAGTGCAGAAGCCACCTGGGAGAATGAATCTGCACACGGGGACGTGAAGGGCAAGGAGCTCTGGGCGTGTGTGGCCGGCCCCCCTCAGGCTGGCCTCAGGGAACTGCGTTGTCCCCGTCTGCACTGCGGGTTTCTGCTGCCTCAGCGGGATGCACCTCGCCCTGACGTAGGCACATTTGCCCACTGCGACTATGTGCCACTGAGCCCAAGGTCCCTTCTCAGCCCATGAGCAGCTCTGCGGGCGTCCTGCCCCCACTCCTCCCACCTCCCTTTCTTCCTCATCAGCTTCAGGGGACACCTCTCTCCAGGTGCCTCCTCTCATTGCAGCCTCCGTTGTCCTCAGATAGAAAAGCCATTTCAGTGACTTCAAAATAAACCATCTCAGGGCTGGGCGTGGTGGCTCATGCCTGGGATCTCAGCACTTTGGGAGGTGGAGGCGGGCAGACTGTTTGAGCTCAGTTCACTCAAGACCAGCCTGGGCAACATGACAAAACTCCATTTCTGTCAAAAATTCAAAAAATTGGCCAGACACAGTGTTTCACGCCTGTAATCCCAGCACTTTGGGAGGCCAAGGCAGATGGATCACCTGAGGTCAGGAATTCAAGACCAGCCTGGCCAACATGGTGAAACCCCGTCTCTACAAAAAATACAAAAATAGGTGAGCATGGTGGTGCACACCTGTAATTCCAGCTACTCAGGAGGCTGAGGCAGGTGAATTGCTTGAACCCAAAAGCCGGATGTTGCAGTGAGCCAAGACCATGCCACTGCACTCCAACCTGGGTGACAGAGTGAGAATCCATCTCAAAAAAAAAAAATTAAAATTAAAATAAAATAAAATTAGCTGGGCGTGGTGGCATGTGCCTGTAGTCCCAGCTACTCAGGAGGCTGAGGTGGGAGGATCACCTGAGCCCTGAAGGCAGAGGTTGCAGTGAGCCAAGATCGAGCCACTGTGCTTCAGCCTGTGTGTCAGAGTGAGACCCTGTCTCAAAAAAAATAAACCATCTCAAAAGGGACCCAAAGCTGAAAGGTCCAAACAGAACTGTGTCCCATGAGACATGAAGGGCCTTTGAGAGGAAAAAGCCCAGACCTGGCTCTGCTCTGGGACTCCACACGTCAGGAGGAGCCGAGGCGAGGAGCAGTCACCCTGCCAAGCTGAGCCTTACGGGCAGGGGCCGCATAGCCTGTTATCCACCGGGGACACTGATCATTGCATCCAGACAAAGACCAAGGTGTGACCATGCAGACCTGGATGTCCGTCCAACCACCCACGTGCGCCCAGAGCGGCCGGCTGTCCTCCCGTGGTCCCCGGGCCCAGCGCCCGTCCCTCCTGCAGCCAGTCAGCACGCTGCCGCTCCTGCCCAGGCGAGGCCTCCACTCTGTTTAGACCCTGTCACTTCACACAGGCCCTGAGGCTTCTTGTTCTTTGACTTAGCAGGACCCAGCGAGTCAAACACCCACCGGCCCTGACCCAGGAGTGTCAGGGGAGCCCCCAGTCCATCTGCAGAAAACCAGGACACCCGCACTTCCTCCTCCTTTTATAGCTGCTTTGCTGAGACGGAATTCACTGGTGAAAGTGTGTGGGTTGTTTTTAGTGTGTTCTCAGAGTCGTGCAGCCACCACACATCGTCATACCATCTTCGTCACCACGGAAGGAAGCCTCAGCCCTGATGGGAGTCACTCCCTTGTGCTCCCCGGAGCCTCTGGCAGTCCCGCTCCCCTTTCTGTCTCGAAGGATCTGCCTTTTCCGACATTTCAGGTGAATGGAATCGTACAGTGTGTGGGCCTTGTGTCTGGCTTCCCCTCGCACGGGGTTTTGGGGCTTCACACACATCTGCATCAGGACTCCATTCCTTCTCGTGGCTCAATCATGGTCCACTGTGCAGAGGGACCACGTGTGGCCGAGGCTTCCGCCCGTGGATGGGCATCTGGGCGTTTCCAGCTCGGCCGCCGGGGAGTGAGCTGCTGTGGGTGTTGGTTCATGCACAGGTCTCCGCGTGGACACACTTTTCAGTTCTGCTGGGCTTGCACCGGGGAGGTGTTGCTGGGCCACGTGACCACCCACGTGGTGCTGCCAGAACTCTCCTCAGGGGCTGCGTGTCACGTTCTTACACAGTGTGTGAGGCCCCAGTTTCCAGTGAGTTCCCTTTTTTCTCCCCCCACCGAGGCGGATTCTCGCTCTGTCGCCCAGGCTGGAGTGCAGTGGCCGGATCTCAGCTCACTGCAAGCTCCGCCTCCCGGGTTCACGCCATTCTCCTGCCTCAGCCTCCCGAGTAGCTGGGACTACAGGCACCTGCCACCACGCCCGGCTAGTTTTTTTTTTTTTTGTATTTTTAGTAGAGACGGGGTTTCACCGCGTTAGCCAGGATGGTCTCGATCTCCTGACCTCGTGGTCCGCCCGTCTCGGCCTCCCAAAGTGCTGGGATTACAGGCTTGAGCCACCGCGCCCGGCCAAGTTCACTTTTAATGTTTTATTTTGTTTGGTAAAAATCAGCCTTAGACAATCAATGATCAGACTCTGTTTGGTCCCTGTCGTGGTGAATTGTAGTCACCAAAGTGAGCCTCTCTCCGGCTCTTTGAGCACCAGGGCCCATGGAGCCTGTCTTGGGGTCGTTTGAAATGGTGGAAACTTGACAAAGGCCTAGATGGGCAGGTGAGACCCACTCGGCCTCCAGGTACCGCCCTCCTCGAGGTCCCTGCTGTCCATGAGGGTGGCAGTCCTGCTCTGTGGGTGAGTCCCAGGGCCAGTCGTGGCCGGAGGAGGCTGGATGGGGCGAATTTGGAGAAAAGTGGCAGTTTTTTTGTTTTTTGTTTTTGTTTTTTTTTGAGACAGGGTCTCACTCTGTCGCCCAGGCTGGAGTGCGGTGGTGCAGTCTCAGCTCACTGCAATCTCTGCCTCCCGAGCTCAGGGGATTCTCCTGCCTCAGCCTCCCAAGTAGCTGAGATTACAGGTGCCTGCCACCATGCCCGGCTAATTTTTTGATTTTTTATAGAGATGGGGTCTCACCTTGTTGCCCAGGCTGGTGGACGAAAGAGAAAAGTATTTTAGAGATTTAAAAAAGAACCATAGGTGTAGGTTCTAACGCACTTCAGAGCTGCAGGTGGAGCTGTTTGCGTTCCTCCTGAAGGCTTCGGCTCCCGGACGTGGCTGGGCTGCAGAGACTGGCTTTACTAAGAGGTTTCCCCTCCCTGCCATCCAGGTGTGTCCACAGGCGTCCACACAACCAGGTGTGGTGAATGTCTTTTCACACCAAGTGGGCTTCTCAGTGACCCCCTGGCCACACCCCCATCTCACCCATCCCAGGAGCCTCCTGGGACCACACACAGGAGTCGGGAGCTTAACAGAAACAGAAGCACGACCGGGCGCGGCGCTCACACCGGTAACCCCAGCACTTTGGGAGGCCGAGGCAGACAGATCGCCTGAGGTCAGGAGTTTGAGACCAGCCTGGCCAACATGGCAAAACCCCATCTCTACAAAAAAAATACAAAAATTAGCCGAGCGTGGTGGCGGGCGCCTGTAATCCCAGCTACTCAGGAGGCTGCAGCAGGAGAATCGCCTGAACCCGGGAGGTGGAGATTGCAGTGAGCCGAGATCGCGTCACTGCACTCCAGCCTGGGGGACAAGAGCAAGACTTCGTCTAAAAAAAACAAACAAAAAAAAAAACCAAAGAACCAGAAATGCATTCTCCCTTGGTCTGGAGACTGGAAGTCTGAGCTCAAGTTGGCAGGAGCTCACTCCCTCGGAGACCTGCAAGGGACCGTCTTTCCCCTGCAGCTTCTGGGGGCCCCCAGCCATCCCGAGCCCATGGCTGTGTGTCTCCCACCTGTGACCCTGTTGCCACACCGCTGCCTTCGTCCTGTCTCCTATAAGGACTGCAGTTGTATGGGATGAGGGTCCGCTCCCACGTTAATGACCTCATCTTAATCATATCTGCAGCAACCCTGTTTCTAAGGTCATGTTCTCAGATACGCTGGGGCCGAAATTTTAGTATAACTTTTGGGGATTCAGTTCCACCCATTAACACTGATGAACTGTGACTTATTTAACTAAATCTGTTGTTCCCACTGTCTCACCCACAATTTTAAATTTGTGTAATGGATTATAGCCATAATTATTTCCTTAGGATAAACTGTTACAAGTGGAATTGCTGGGCCATGATCTTTTGTTTTGTTTCGGTGACAGGGTCTCACCCTGTTGCCCAGGCTGGAGTGCAGTGGTGTGATCATGGCTCACTGCAGCCTCAACCTCCTGGTGTGAAGTAATCCTCCTACCCCAGCCTCCTGAGTAGTTGGGACCACAGGTGCACACCACCACACCTGGCTATTTTTTCTTTTTTAGAGGTGGAGTCTTGCTGTGTTGTCCAGGCTGGTCTCGAACTCCTGGCTTTAAGTGATTCATGCCTTTTTTTTTTTTTTTTAACAGAGTCTTGCTCTGTCACGCAGGCTGTAGTGCGGGGCGCAATCTTGGCTCACTGCAACCTCCGCCTCCTGGGTTGAAGCAATTCTTCTGCCTCAGCCTCCCAAGTAGCTGGTACAGGTGCCCGCCACCATGCCCAGCTAATTTTTGTATTTTTAGTAGAGACGGGGTTTCATCATGTTGGCCAGGCTGGTCTCGAACCCTAACCTTGTGATCCGCCTGCCTCAGCCTCCCAAAGTACTAGGATTACAGGCGTGAGCCACCACGCCCAGCCCCATGATTGCCTTTTAAGATAGGGTAGCTGCACTTTCACTAAGAGGTTGGCCAACTCCAGCCCATGGGTCAAATGTGGACCCACCTGCTGAGCTTTTGTTGTTGTTGAGACGGAGTCTCGCTCTGTCGCCCAGGATGGAGTGTAGTGGTGCAATCTCGGCTCACTGCAAGCTCCGCCTGCTGGGTTGAAGTGATTCTCCTGTCTCAGCCTCCTGAGTAGCTGGGACTACAGGCGCCCACCAACACGCCCGGCTAAATTTTTGTGTTTTTAGTAGAGACGGAGTTTCACCGTGTTAGCCAGGATGGTCTCGATCTCTTGACCTCGTGATCTGTCCGCCTCGGCCTCCCAAAGTCCTGGGATTTCAAATGTGAGCCACTGCTTCTGGCTCACCACCTGCTGTTTTTTGAACCCATAAGCCAAGAATGGGTTTTATAATTTTAAATTGTTAAAAAAAAAACTGAAAGAATAATATTTTGTGACATGAAAAATTATATGAAATTCAGATGTTGATGAATAAAGTTTTATTGGCACACAGCATGCACGTCTGCTCGAATGCTGGCTGTGGCAGGGCTGAGGGGCTGTGACAGCCCCATATGGCCCACAAAGCTGAAAAGATTTGCTGTGAGGCCCTTTACATAATGTGTTTGCTGATGCCAGCTCTAAATATCTATATTTGCATTCAAATTGGTTTCAAAAATAAATATACAGCCGGTCCTGAGAACGTGGTGGTGAATGCAGCTGAGCTGGGCCCATGAACGTGGTCATTGTGTTTAGAATGCAGTGTCCTTCCCAGGTGTTGTGTGTTTGTGCTGCCGAAGCTACTGAAGGTGGCCTGTAGAGGGCAGGGGCCCAGGCAGGCACAGACACTTAACTGATGTCTTGGTTGGTGGCGGGAATACGTCCTTAGGGAAGGAAGACAGGCCAGGCGCAGGGGCCTCGCGGTGTTGGCTTCCACCAGGCTCCTGCTGAGGTGGGCGCCCAGGGAGACGGCTGGAGGATCCGAGGAGAGCCAAAGCCCCAGGTGGTGCCCTCCCCTCCTCCTAGAACAAAGACCGGGCGCACTGCCTGTTTAAAAGCACTTTTTTCAACAATACGCACTGCGAAGTTAGAAGAATTTTTCGGTGAACACCGGCCCTGCCACTCACCCCCGGAGTTTGCCGTGGGCATTTGCTGTGCTGGCGCCATCACCCCGGCATCACCCCGCCTCCGTGCCTCCTGCCCTGTGCTCACCCGTCCTCCTGCTTGGGCCTTTTATTGTAAAAAACAGAACGTCAAATTGACCATGACAGCCACCTTGAAGTGCACCACTTGGGCACTCAGTACGTTCACAGCATGGTACTTCCATCCCTTCTACCTACTTCCGAACATTCCGTCCCAAGAAGAAACCAGTACCCAGCAGCAGGCCCTCCCCAGCACCCACCCCCAGCCCCGCAGCCCCTCAGCCACCTCCTGCCTCTGCAGACCGGCCTGTTCCAGAGGCTTCCCATGAGCTAATCCCAGCCTGTGTGGCCCTGGTGTCTGCTTCCTTCCCTCGCGTGGAGCTTTCCAGGGCCGTGCACCGTGCGGGACGCCCTTCCTTTTGATGGCTGGGTGGTGTGCGGTGGTACGTGCATGAGTTTCCCCAGACGTAACACGTTACCACAGGCCGGGTGGCCTCAGACAGCAGAAATGGATTCTTGCTGGATTCTGGAGGCCAGAAGTGCACAATTAAGGTGTCAGCCAGGCCCCCTGTCTGAGTCTCTCGAGGAGGGTCCTTGCTGTCCCCTGGCTGGTGGCTGCACCACTCCAGTGTTGGCCTCGGCCTTCACCCGGCATCTCTACTGCACATCTGCATCTCTAACTCCCAGTCACAGGATTGAGGGCCCACGCTGGTCCAGCGTGACCTCATCTTAGCTCGCTACATCTGCAAAGATCCTACTTCCAAATGCAGCCACACCCTTGTAGTACACACGGGCCACACTTTGTCGTCCACCGATGGGCGCTTGGGGTGCTCCTGCCTTTTGGCCACTGAGTCGCGCTGCCCTGGACGCTCGTGTGCAGGTCTGTGTGTGGACGTAAGTTTCAGTCTCTCAGGTGTGCAGCTAGGAGTGGAATTGCAGCGTGGAACTGCAGGGCCACACGGCAACTAGGCTTTTGGGGGACAGTTACCGCTCAACTTTGAAATCTAGGTTTGTACAGACATACAAGGGCCTGTGTGTGTATGTTGAAAAGAGACGCACGTGTTAGAGGCCATCTCCCCGCGAGCATGCAGATGTTGGTGTCAGGCTGGGAGGAGGCAGACGGACACGTTCCCCACGTGAGGACTGGGAGGAGGCAGACGGACGCATTCCCCACGTGAGGACCAAGCAGAAGTGGAGGCGAAAGCCAGCTTGGGCTGACCGTGGAGTGGCCCCATTGTGCACACACGCAGGCGCTGCTGGGGTTTGGCCAAGCTCTGCCGCTGGCTGGGGCACAGGGTGGCGCTGGCTCCCACAGTCCCCGATACGCTCTTGGCACCACGGACAGCTCCCCAAGCCAGAAGCACCAGCTGCAGAATGTGCTCATTCCTCCCCATGTTCTTCCCTGCAGATGGGATGGGGCGACCTTGGGGTGTACGGAGAGCCCTCCAGAGAGACCCCGAATTTGGACCGGATGGCTGCAGAAGGGATGCTTTTCCCAAACTTCTATTCTGCCAACCCTCTGTGCTCGCCATGTAAGTCAGCGGGGCCCTCATCCCCAGAAACGGGTGAGCCCAGCAGGCCGAGGCCTCCCAGGTCCTTCCAGCCGTGACTCTGGGCGGCCACATCAACCTTGTCTACTCCTACTACTGCAGGGAGGGTGGCAGGTGGGCTCAGGCCTTTCTCATCAGGTCCCAGCCCAGCTCCGTGCTGTGTGGGGTGCGGCACCTGCTGGGTTTTCAGGGTCAAAGTTGCGGTGTTGGTGGTTGCTGTCCTGTTTCCCAGAGTCGAGTGCTGTGGCCGCCTGGGGAGAGGCACTGCAGTGTGGCTCCGTCTCAGGGTACCGGGGAAGTGGGGGTCCTGCTTCCTCCCTCCCCGGGGAGAGTCTCTCCTACCAGAGACGACACACGTGGTATTGATCATGAGGAAGAAGGGAAGGCAGGGTACGGGCCGCACTCGAGGATGGAGGCGTGCGGACCTGCGCACCCAGTGGGTGTCCCGGGAGCCTGGGAGAGGAGACGGCGTCTTGGGGACAACGCTGAGCTGCAGGGCCTGAGGGCTGCGTGTCTTTCAGTGTATTGGGTGCTGTGCCCCACCCAGGTGGTGGAGATGCTAACAGGGATCGACCGGCGTGGCAGCCCCTCATAAACCTGCGTCTGCCTCATCTGTCACACGTCCGCCTACTGGTGGGGCTCTTGCTGACGGGCGTGTGGGTCTGAGCTGCACCCTTCTCATCCAGTTTCTGTTTCTGTCACCTCCTCATAGCCAGGGCGGCACTGCTCACAGGACGGCTGCCCATCCGCAATGGCTTCTACACCACCAACGCCCATGCCAGAAACGGTAGGCTGCCTGCTGCCACCTCCAGGGTCCACCTCGGGGTGCAGGGTTGGGCAGGTGGGGTCCGGGTGGTGCCCGGGTCTCTGGGACTCAGGTGGAAATGAGGGCTCCCCCAGCTGGTTTCCTTCCCTGCCCTGGCCCAGTGGGGACGGAGCAGAGGGTGCCCAGTCTGGCCTAAGGAGCTGGGCCGGCACCCCCACCCCAGAAGCTCCCACTCTCCAGGCAGGTGAGCCGCACACTTACAGAGAAACTGGGGCTGTGGTGTCAGCAGCAGTTCTGGAATGTTCTGGAATTGCTGTGCTCGGGTTTGGATGGGCTCCCCAGGGGCATCTCATAGGGGAAGTGGGATTTCCAGTGGCCTTTGAGGAAAGGGAAGGACAGGGGAGGTAGGGGTGGGGCAGTGAAGCGTCATGTGGCGTATTCCAGAGACCCCTGGAGATCAGGCAGGCAGGAGGCTGGCCTAAGAGGCAGGATAGGGCCTGAGGGCAGGCAGGAGGCCCAGGGAAGGCACTGGGGGGCACAGAGTCTGCTCCGTGCCCGCCCTCTGGTGATGGCACTGGCTCTGAGGGGTGCCTGGAAAAATCTGGGAAGTTCCATGCCCTGTAGATGCACAGTCCCCAGGCCCAGCCTTTGACCCCGAGGGGCCAGTGTCCTGTTAGGACGTGTGGACGCAGCCCCCAGGCCCAGCCTTTGACCCCGAGGGGCCAGTGTTCTATTAGGATGTGTGGACGCAGCCCCCAGTGTCCTGTTAGGATGGGGGTGGTGGCAGCTTCTCGGGGTCTCCTCGGGGCTCACCCAGCGCTGCTCTTCCAGCCTACACGCCGCAGGAAATTGTGGGTGGTATCCCAGACTCGGAGCAGCTCCTCCCGGAGCTTCTGAAGAAGGCCGGCTACGTCAGCAAGATCGTCGGCAAGTGGTGAGTGTCCGGCCATGCCTGCCCGGGCGTCCTGCTCCACCCACTTCCCGGCCTTGGTTCCAAGGGGCGTGGCCACAAGTTTCCAACGAGGAAGGCGTCTTGGGTGGGAAACGGAAGCTGATTCTGAGTGTGTTCAGGTGTCTCCAGCGTCCCTGTGCAGGCCGGCATGACCTTGCCAGCAGGATCTCAGGTCACCAGGCTGGGCCCGCAGCTGCAAGTGTCTTGCAGCATCAGACTCCACAGGCCTGTCACTGTCCCTCGTGTCATGGCCCCCAGCATCTGCCACCACCGCACCGCGGCTGCCTCTTGCCACGTCGTCCTTGGAGGGGTCACGTCGTTACACATAGGAGCCGTGGAGGAGGAGCTGCCTGTCTGCCCCAGGGGCCTGTTGGATGACGAAAGCTCTGGTCTAAACCACAAAGGAGCCACCAGGAAGGAGAGGAACAGCCCAGCAGTTGACGAAATCCTAACCCGTCGAGAGCTCGGGTGCCGCACAGCCCCCAGGCCGCAGTTTCAGGCGCACGGGATGTTTCATTTCTTTTCCTCCCTGGGATGCCTGCGTGAGCATGGAGGGTTGGGTGGAGTCATCTGCCCCAGGCTGCTCTCCAGCTGTTGGAGTGTTCCCGCCTGTCGGGCCGCATGCCTTCTCCTTCAGGAAGCCCTCGATGCTTTCCCAGCCTCTGTGATCCCCGGTCGGCTGCCTGTGGCTCCTGCCAGCCCCTTTCGGGTGGATGCTCCTTGGATATGGATGGTCATGGCAGCCAGGAATCTGCTGAGCTTGATGAATGGATGAGGAGGACCCAGAGGCTGCCTAGGGAGCGCTTTGTCCCTCTTCAGACGAGAGGAAGCAGCCTGCCGAGCTGAGCTCTCAGAAATCACAGGGCGGAGCCGATGGGCACCGCAGCCGCGGAGTCCTCACACAGGGAGGTCGGGCCCCACGCGGCCTGCGTGGTCGCTGAGCCAGTGCCAGGGACCGTCTCGGAAGTCGGCCCCCAAGGTTCACTGGAGCGTGACAGGGCTGTGCCAAGAGGAGGAAGAGCCGGTGGCCTCTCCAAGTGACAAGCCCCACAGTGACTGGAGCTCTCCACCTGGCCTGGCAGCTCTGTCTTGGGCCCAGCGGCCTCCTGTGCATGGTCATGGTGCAGGTGGCAAGAGCTAGACAGGGAGTGGGTCTCCACAGAGGCCTCGAGGCTCCTGAACAGCCATCGGCGGGAGAGAGGGGACCCCGAGGAGTGGGAGCAGGAGCCAGGCAGGCCCCAGAGCCACAGGCTCCTCCCAGGCTCAGGACATGGTGCAGTGACTGGATGGCCCGGGCTGGGTCCTGCAGTGGCTGCTCGGTCAGGTGGGGGGGTCCCCATCCCAGCAGGGTCCCCTCTCAGGGCAGTAGGGTGTTGTCAGCCGTCACTCAGACTTCCCCGAGGCCCCTCGCCTGGACTCAGAGGCTGCTTCATCTGCCTGCAGCCACGTGGGGGCGCCGGGCAGGGACTTGGGTCCCAGAGGGCTGCAGAGGTTCCCCGCTCCAGGTCACCTGCTGGCGAGTGCCAGGCCCCACTGCTGCTTTGGGACAAGCACGTTGAGCCGACAGCTTAATCTGTGTGGCGTCCTGCCCGTGTGCTTCCCCTGAGCGAGGCCTTTGTGCTGCAGTCGTGGACGCACGAGTGTCCCCTGTGGCTGGGCGGTGACCTGCGGACGTGGACGCACGAGGCCCTGTGCTGGGCGGGACCTGGGACGGGACCCGTGGCTGGGCGGTGCGGGACGTGGACGCACGGTGTCCCTGTGGGGCGGTGACCGCGGGGGACGGGGGGGGGGGGGGGGGGGGGGGGGGGGGGGGGGGGGGGGGGGGGGGGTGACCTGCGGACGTGGACGCACGAGGACCCCTGTGGCTGGGCGGTGACCTGCGGACGTGGACGCACGAGTGTCCCCTGTGGCTGGGCGGTGACCTGCGGACGTGGACGCACGAGTGTCCCCTGTGGCTGGGCGGTGACCTGCGGACGTGGACGCACGAGTGTCCCCTGTGGCTGGGCGGTGACCTGCGGACGTGGACGCACGAGGACCCCTGTGGCTGGGCGGTGACCTGCCCGGGGTGTTCAGGGATGATGGGGTGCTCTGGCAGTGGGCCCAAGTGCTGAAGACTTGAAGGAAACAGCCCGGAGTTGGCAGCCAAAGGAGCTCTGAGGTCACAGAGAGGTCCATGTGTGCTTACCTGAGAGAGGAGACACGTGTGCTTACCTGAGAGAGGAGATGGAAGAGGCAGCTCAGGAGGTTCCGGGTGCAGAGGCCATGTCCAGGGAGGCAGCCACTACAGAACCAGCCAGAGCCTCAGCTACAGCCATGCCAGCCTCCTTGCTCACCCACAGGGAAACCAAGGTCCAGACAGACGGGCTTACGCAGTGTCCAGGCTCTGTTGCTGGCTGGGTTCCGTCCAGCCTCCACCTTCCAGCCTGGCCTTTCTTCAGGGCCCCTTCTGACCCTCCCCCAGCCAGTGACCGAGTGAATCCACAGTGGCCTGAGACCTGTGTGCCGGGTGCAGAGTCGCCCGTGAGCACTCAGGCTGGGGCCTTCCCGCCCCCTCCACTAGGGCCAGCCCCACATGCGGCTCAGAAATCTGCTTCGGGGATGCTGCTTTCAAAGCCGTAGCTGCAGAAGATTTTCCTCAGATGACACGCAACTGACGTGAGACCCGCCCGCGGCCGTGCCTAGAAGCCACCTTATACCACCTCTCCTGCGGCCCGTTCTGAAGAGCAGCCGCGAGCTGGATTCCTTCCAGGACGAGAGAGGTCGTGCAAGGAAACCCAGACAGCTGGCCTGGGGACTGGGATGAGTGGGTGAAGAGGTGTGGCCTGCAGGACTGCTGTGGACTGGCGGACGAGAGATTAGGTGCCCCCAGAGGGAAGGTGCGTGTGGGTCTGTAGGAGGTTGTCAGAAGGGGAGTGCAGGGCGGGGTCTGGAGGGTTCCCACAGGCCTGGGGTGTGATGCCTGGCGATGGCCATTCCGAGCAGGTGAACCCTGGTCCCAGGAGAGCAGTTGGTGGAGGTCACCAGTGTGGCCACACTGCCACGTTCTCTTGTCATCACTCCAATCCCCGCCTCTGCCAGGGCCCTGGGAATGTGGGTGCAGCTGGCAGGCCCCAGGGCTCCCGCACGGCACACAACGCCCCGCCCAGCCGTCATCCCGGGACCGTTGCCCTGGACTGGGAGACAAGACTGAGTGCCTCGGTGTGGAGAGACCCAGTAATTATCTGGCAGGAGATATTTTCTGCCCTGGAAAACCCAGAGGAGAAGCACTTGGGTTCGAGACACAAGCTGTGAAACTTTCCTGGGAGTTCAGGAAAAGTGGAAGGAAGGAGCCGGGGCCCCGAGGGGCACGTCAGGCGGGTTCCAGGCGGCTGAGAGGCTCCTCACGATGCACCGCCCTTCACGGTGCCGGGAACCCCGGCCACCACTGTGCCTGCCACCCTTGGTTGTGCCCAGACACTCTGTGGGGGAGGCGGGCGGTGCTAGCACCCTCCTCGGGGTGAGGCTTTGGTCTTTTGTCCCTGCCGTGCCCAGGCATAGCCTATACTCAGTGCTGGAGGGTGCTCATCTTACCAAGAATTTTGTGAAGCTGGTGGATCTGTTGCTCAGAATTTCAGAGTGTCCCCACGTGGGGTCCCTGAAGTGTCCTGGGTTCCTGTTTCCAGGCATCTGGGTCACAGGCCCCAGTTCCACCCCCTGAAGCACGGATTTGATGAGTGGTTTGGATCCCCCAACTGCCACTTTGGACCTTATGACAACAAGGCCAGGCCCAACATCCCTGTGTACAGGGACTGGGAGATGGTTGGCAGGTAATGGAGCCCCACCCCTTCCCCTCCCACGTCCTGAACTGCTGCGCCCGGCGTGCCTGCCCCCCGTCTCTAGCACTGGTGGCCTCAGGCTGCTGCTCACGAGGGCTGGGCTGTCCCTGGGTCCCCGGGCACCGAGGGCTTTGGGGGCTTCTGTCACCAAGTTTTGCCCCAGAGCCTGTGAGACTCACGCGTGGGGTTTCCCACCTTTTCAAGGTCGTAGATCCCTTTAGCTGTCCTGAGAGAGGAAGGCCCCCAGCAGAGTGAGCCCACACAGTCTGTCCTAGCTGTCAGGGTACTGCCCATGTGGTCCACGGGTGGGGAGGCCGGCTGTGCTCCAGACGTCCAGGGACATGGGCAGGACAGGAGGTGGGACGAAACCCCACTGGGAGCCACACTAGGAGCAAAAGCCACTGTCCGGACAGAGCCGTCCTGGTGCCCGGGCATGGGGGCAGCACCTCTGGACACGGCAGCACCGGCTCAGGGACCCTCATCTTCTGTGAATTTTATTTTGCTTAATTTGACTCTTCTTGGCGGAAGTGCTCATTGGTTACGTGGCGGTGGACCAGAAGTGGCACCAGCTTGCTGCCTTTTTCTAGACAGAGCTCCTTGGAGGTGTGGGAGTCGCCCCGCGCGGCCCCCATTTGAAGTGTGCAGTTCTGTGGTTTGCAGTAGTCGCAGGCTGGGACAGCCAGCACTGCAGCCGTTTCAGAATGAGCCCCGTGGCCTGAGCAGTGGTTCCCCAGCCCCAGTCCCAGCCCCGAGCGACCACGGCCGCCTCACTGCCTTCACCTTGGTGTTGCGCCCTCGGCCCCGTTCCCCCATCTTCCTACGTGGCAGGTCATCAGATGCAAGACCATGACCTGGGGGAGTGAGGGACGCATCCAGCTTGGTCTGTGCTCTGAGTGGACATTTCATTTCCAGACTTTTTTTTTTTTTTTTTAACCCCCGAGACACGATCTCGCTCTGTCTCCCAGGCTGGAGTGCAGGGGCGCGATCTTGGCTCACTGCAACCTCCGCCACCCAGATTTAAGCAATTCTCCTGCCTCATCCTCCCAAGTAGCTGGCATTACAGGCACACACCACCATGCCCAGCTAATGTTTGTGGTTTTAGTAGAGACGGGGTTTCACCACGTTCCCCAGGCTGGTCTCAAATTCCTGACCTCATGATCCACCTTCCTCGGCCTCCCGAAGTGCTGAGGTTACAGGCATGAGCCATGACGCCCAGCCCAGCCTCCTTTTACACCAAGCCCGTGGCCCGGCCCCAGCCTCCTTTTACACCAAGCCCGTGGCCCGGGCCCAGCCTCCTTTTACACCAAGCCTGTGGCCCGGCCCAGCCTCCTTTTACATCAAGCCCGTGGCTTTGCCAGTGAAGTCAGGGAGGAGGGGACTTTCTTGGCCTAGATTCTGACGTCTGTCCGGATCTGTGTTCTTTTCAGATATTATGAAGAATTTCCAATTAATCTGAAGACGGGGGAAGCCAACCTCACCCAGATCTACCTGCAGGTAACAGGGGGACGGAGACCGCAGCAGCCTCGCCCTGCGGGAGGCGGGGGGACGGGGACCGCAGCAGCCTCGCCCTGCGGGGGGGGGGGGGACCGCAGCAGCCTCGCCCTGCGGGAGGCGGGGGGACGGGGACCGCAGCAGCCTCGCCCTGCGGGAGGCGGGGGGACGGGGACCGCAGCAGCCTCGCCCTGTGGGAGGTGGGGGGGTAGGGACCGCAGCAGCCTCACCGGGACGCAGCAGCCTCGCCCTGTGGGAGGCGGGGAGATGGGGACCGCAGCAGCCTCGCCCTGTGGGAGGCGTGGGGGTCGGGGACCGCAGCAGCCTCACCCTGCAGGTGACTGGGGGACAGGGACTGCAGCAGCCTCACCCTGTGGGAGGCGGGAGGGACGGGGACCGCAGCAGCCTCGCCCTGCAGGAGGCATGGGGAGGTCGGCCTGAGGCTGGAGGAGGACGGTGCGACTCTCACCATAGGAAGCCCTGGACTTCATTAAGAGACAGGCACGGCACCACCCTTTCTTCCTCTACTGGGCTGTGGACGCCACACACGCACCCGTCTACGCCTCCAAACCCTTCTTGGGCACCAGTCAGCGAGGGCGGTGAGTCCTGGTTCCAAGGAGCACAGACGGCGCTGGAGGCCCCAGCTGTGCTTGGTGACTGCGGAGATGGGGCACTCAGTACCGTGGCGTTTAGTGACTATTTTGGAAAGGCCAGAGCAACCCCCCCGTTTGAAGCCGTCTACTGGCCTGGGATCAGGAGAGGAGGGCTGTGGTGGGGGTGCCGGCTCTGTCCTTCATAAGCCACATACACTTGAACTGAAGCCATTCCTCTTCCGGGAAGAGGCCGGCCAGTTCGCTGTCGTCTGTGAAGTTAAGATTTAACGTACTCCGTGAATCCCAGTATGCCGCTGGCTGCCTGATCTGTTTGTCTCCGTTCTCCAGGTATGGAGATGCCGTCCGGGAGATTGATGACAGCGTTGGGAAGATGCTGGAGCTTCTCCACGACCTGCACGTCGCGGACAACACCTTTGTCTTCTTCACATCGGACAACGGCGCTGCCCTCATTTCCGCCCCCGAACAAGGTGAGTGCTCACCGTCACTCCTCGCGGGTCCCCGCGGCCACTGTGTCGGTGAGGAGCAGCGGGACTGGCTGTGACGCAGGAGTGGCTTTGAACTTGGGGGTGGGGAGGAGATGACACAGGGAAGAGGGTTTGTCTTGGAAGAGGCCGACGCTTCCCGAAGGGTGACCCTGGAGACCAGAGGTTTTGGAGGCTGCATGGAAACAGCAGGGCTGGTGGAGCGGGGTGTCCCTGCTGAGGTGGGGGCTGGCACCCAAGACCTCCAGCAGCCCTGGGAGTGTGGCCTGAACCTGGTCACCCAGGGGCCGGGCCGCCTCCATGAAGATGGGCTCCCGCCCCCACCACCCGAGTGGTTCCCGGGATGGAGCTTCAGCCTTTTCCCCACTCGGCACTGATGAATGCCTGACCGGACCCCAGCACCAACAAACCCGAACCCGCCTCTTCCCAGACCACGCCGGGGCGCCCTGCACCCTCTTCCCAGACCACACGGGGGCGCCCTGCACCCTCTTCCCAGACCACGCGGGGGGACCCTGCAGCCTCGTCCCAGACCACACGGGGGCGCCCTGCACCCTCGTCCCAGACCACACGGGGGCGCCCTGCAGTCTCTTCCCAGACCACACGGGGGCGCCCTGCAGTCTCGCCCCTGCCCCTCTTCCCAGACCACACGGGGGGGACCCTGCAGCCTCGTCCCAGACCACACAGGGGCGCCCTGCACCCTCTTCCCAGACCACACGGGGGCTCCCTGCTCCCTCTTCCCAGACCACACGGGGGCGCCCTGCACCCTCTTCCCAGACCACACGGGGGCGCCCTGCACCCTCTTCCCAGACCACACGGGGGCGCCCTGCTCCCTCTTCCCAGACCACACGGGGGGGACCCTGCAGCCTCGTCCCAGACCACACAGGGGCGCCCTGCAGCCTCTTCCCAGACCACGCTGGGGGACCCTGCAGCCTCGTCCCAGACCACACGGGGGCGCCCTGCACCCTCTTCCCAGACCACACGGGGGGGACCCTGCAGCCTCGTCCCAGACCACACGGGGGCGCCCTGCACCCTCTTCCCAGACCACACGGGGGCGCCCTGCACCCTCTTCCCAGACCACACGGGGCGCCCTGCCCCTCTCCCAGACCACACGGGGGGACCCTGCAGCCTCGTCCCAGACCACACGGGGGCGCCCTGCAGCCTCTTCCCAGACCACACGGGGGCGCCCTGCAGCCTCTTCCCAGACCACGCTGGGGGACCCTGCAGCCTCTTCCCAGACCACACGGGGGGCCCTGCAGCCTCTCCCAGACCACACGGGGGCGCCCTGCAGCCTCTTCCCAGACCACCGCCCTGCGCCCCCCGACCACCGGGGCCCCTGCAGCCTCTCCCAACCACACGGGGGCCCTGCACCTCTTCCCAGACCACACGGGGCGCCCTGCAGCCCGTCCCGGACCACACGGGGGCGCCCTGCACCCTCTTCCCAGACCACACGGGGGCGCCCTGCAGCCTCGTCGGACACCACACGGGGGGCCCGCAGCCTCGTCCCGGACCACACGGGGGCGCCCTGCAGCCTCTTCCCAGACCACACGGGGGCGCCCTGCACCCTCTTCCCAGACCACACGGGGGGACCCTGCAGCCTCGTCCCAGACCACACGGGGGCGCCCTGCAGCCTCTTCCCAGACCACACGGGGGCGCCCTGCAGCCTCGTCCCAGACCATGCAGGGGCCCTGCACCTCTTCCCAGACCACGCGGGGGCCCTGCAGCCTCTCCCAGACCACACGGGGCGCCCTGCAGCCTCTCCCAGACCACACGGGGCGCCCTGCAGCCTCGTCCCAGACCATGGGGGGTCCTGCAACTCTTCCCAGACCACGCGGGGGGCGCTCTGCAGCCTCGTCCCAGACCACACGGGGGCGCCCTGCAGCCTCTTCCCAGACCACACGGGGGCCCTGCAGCCTCTTCCAGACCAGCGGGGGCGCACTCTCCAGCCATGCGGGGGCCCTGCAACCTCTTCCCAGACCACACGGGGGGCGCTCTGCAGCCTCTTCCCAGACCACACGGGGGCGCCCTGCACCCTCTTCCCAGACCACACGGCGGGGGGAGGGGGGCCCTGCAGCCTCCTCCCAGACCACACGGGGGCGCCCTGCAGCCTCGTCGGAGACCACACGGGGGGCCCGCAGCCTCGTCCCGGACCACACGGGGGTGCCCTGCAGCCTCTTCCCAGACCACACGGGGGCGCCCTGCACCCTCTTCCCAGACCACACGGGGGGACCCTGCAGCCTCGTCCCAGACCACACGGGGGCGCCCTGCAGCCTCTTCCCAGACCACACGGGGCGCCCTGCAGCCTCGTCCCAGACCAGCAGGGCCTGCACCCTTCCCAGACCATGCGGGGGCACTCTGCAGCCTCCCAGACCCCAGGGGCCCTGCAGCCTCGTCCCAGACCATGCAGGGGCCTGCACCTCTTCCCAGACCACGCGGGGGTGCTCTGCAGCCTCTTCCCAGACCACACGGGGGCGCCCTGCAGCCTCTTCCCAGACCACACGGGGGCGCCCTGCAGCCTCGTCCCAGACCATGTGGGGGGTCCTGCAATCTCTTCCCAGACCACGCGGGGGGCGCTCTGCAGCCTCGTCCCAGACCACACGGGGGCGCCCTGCAGCCTCGTCCCAGACCCCACGGGGGCGCCCTGCAGCCTCGTCCCAGACCCCACGGGGGCGCCCTGCAGCCTCTTCCCAGACCACACGGGGGCGCCCTGCAGCCTCGTCCCAGACCATGCGGGGGGCTCTGCAACCTCTTCCCAGACCACGCGGGGGGCGCTCTGCAGCCTCTTCCCAGACCACGTTGGGGGACCCTGCAGCCTCGTCCCAGACCACACGGGGGCGCCCTGCACCCTCTTCCCAGACCACACGGCGGGGGGAGGGGGGCCCTGCAGCCTCCTCCCAGACCACACGGGGGCGCCTTGCACCCTCTTCCCAGACCACGTGGGGGAGCCACAGCCTCTTTCCAGACCACGCGGGGGGCCCAGCAGCCTGGCATCCTGCAGGGAGAGGGGCTTCAGGGTTTGAAGCGATAGAAACCAGCACGGCTGGAAGCCAAAAGAGAAACATAGGCTCCCTCGTGCCACGTCCCACCAGATGGCTCCCATGGGTGAGCTTGGCTCCCGTGCAGGCCCTCCGGACAGCTCCACCTCCCACCCACTGGAGTCAGACCCATGAGTCCAGGCCCTGCACAGACCCATGTGTGGAGGGCTACAGGCAGCTCCTAGGAGGGAGGGTGCTGGCCGCCATTCCGCAGGGGGAGCCCGGGGGGCCACCTCGACGCCCGCACCCACAACCACCAGCCAGCAGTGGCAAGGGCCCCAGCGACCTGAGTCTTCATTTCTTTTTTTTTCTTTTTTTTTTTTTTTCGAGATGGAGTCTCGCTCTGTAGTCCAGGCTGGAGTGCGGTGGCCAGATCTCAGCTCACTGCAAGCTCAGCTTCCCGGGTTCACGCCATTCTCCTGCCTCAGCCTCCCGAGTAGCTGGGACTACAGGCACCCGCCACCTCGCCCGGCTAGTTTTTTGTATTTTTTAGTAGAGACGCGGTTTCACCGTGTTAGCCAGGATGGTCTCGATCTCCTGACCTCGTGATCCACCTGTCTCAGCCTCCCAAAGTGCTGGGTTTCATACAAATGGCATACGTACCTATTTGTAATGAGAACCCCCACACCCAGCACCCAGCACAAGACTAGAAACAGAGCATCCCAGAGAAAGCGGGGGAGGGGGCCGGGCGTGGTGGCTCACACCTGTAATCCCAGCACTTTGGGAGGCCGAGGCAGGCGGATCACAAGGTCAGGAGATCGAGACCACCCTGGCTAACATGGTGAAACCCTGTCTCTACTAAAAATACAAAAAATTAGCCTGGCGTGGTGGTGGGCACTGGTAGTCTCAGTTATTCAGGAGGCTGAGGCAGGAGAATGGCATGAACCCAGGAGGCAGAGCTTGCAGTGAGCCGAGATTGCACCACTGCACTGCAGCCTGAGCAACAGAGCTAGATTCTGTCTCTAAAAGAAAAATTAAAAAAGCAGGAAAGGGGAGAGAGAGAGAAGGAAAGAAAAGGGAGGGAGTCAGGGAGAGAAGGAGAAAGAAGAAAGAATAGCATGGCCTCCTGTGAGCCAAGTGTCCCCTAGAAGTGGCCACTATCCCTAGCTCAGTGTCCTTTGTCCCCTCACAGGTTCTGTGGCTCTGCTGCTATGAGCAGGGCCCTCCCTGAGCCAGGCCAGGTTCTGGGTGTTGGCGTGTTCACCTGTGAGGGACTCTGAGCAGAGCTGCCTGGGAGGTTCTGTTCAGAGGCTTCCCCACGCTGCCACTCAGGGGGGTTTGGAAGGCAGCGCAGGAAAGAATTGCGGTGACTTCACATCCCTTGGGTGGTTCACTTTTTCACTACCAGAAAAATACTTTTTTTTTTTTTTTTTTTTTTTGAGACAGAGTCTCGCTCTGTCGCCCAGGCTTAAGTGCAATGACGCAATCTCGGCTCACTGTAAGCTCCGCCTCCCGGGTTCCCGCCATTCTCCTGCCTCAGCCTCCTGAGTAACTTTGACTACAGGTGCCCACCACCATGCCCAGCTAATTTTTTGTATTTTTAGCAGAGACGGGGTTTCACCATGTTGGCCAGGATAGTCTCGATCACCTGACTTCGTGATCCACCCACCTCAGCCTCCCAAAGTGCTGGGATTACAGGCGTGAGCCACCGCATCCAGTTTTTTCTTTTTTCTCTTTTTTTGAGACAAGGTCTTGCTGTGTCACCCAGGCTGGAGTGCAGTGGCGTGATCTCAGCTCACTGCAGCCTTGACCTCCTGGGCTCAGATGATCCTCCCACCTCCTGAATAGCCTCCTGAATAGCTGAGACTACGAGGCACGCCACCACACCCAGCTAATTTTTGTTTTTGTAGAGATGGGGTTTAGCCATGGTCTCTCTTTGGTAGAAACCAGTCTAGGCTAGTCTTGAACTCTCGGGTTCAAGCAATCTCCCTGCTTCAGCATCCCAAGGTACTGGGATGACAGGTATGAGTCACCACAGCCAGCCCTTTGGTTTCCTTTTCCCCTTTTTTCAGGGGACCCGAAGCTGAGAGCGCCTCGGGTACTCAGGCTACAGCAGCAGGAGTGGTTTTTCTCCCTGACATGAGCCCCTGCCTCCTCCCTCCATGTCTGGGCGTGAGCCGGGGATGGTGCCGGCACCGGAGCTGGCCTTTGCCCCATGAGCACTTCCCACAAGCAATGGCTCGGAGACCAAAATCCAGTCTTGGGGGTTTGTCCGAAACACAGATTCCTGCACCCCACCCTGACTGACGGAGTCAGAACCGTAGGGGGCCAGAAGTTGGCTGCATTTTAAGTTCCCCACACACCGGGAGGCTTATGAACATTCACGTTCGGGAAGCACCAGCCGGCGACTGCGCACCGGCGCCCGGGCCTCTGCTGCGGGAGTGTACGTTTCTGAGTCTTGCTGATACCATGTGGTTGCATTTCCGTTTCCTCAGTGGACATGACGTTGCCACTTTCCCAGGAGACCTTGCAGCCGCGGCATCTCAGATGAGCCCCTGGAGGGCTGCCCCGAGGCTCGGATCTCGCACTCCAGCCAGAGCGCCCCGGCCGGGCCCTTTGTCCCCATGACCGGTCTCAGTGACTCAGTGTCACCTGGGGAGGGGGAGGGCTGGGGACATCGGGTCCCAGTGGCCTGACGTGGGGCCCCTCTCTCCCAGCTGGCAGCAACGGCCCCTTTCTGTGTGGGAAGCAGACCACGTTTGAAGGAGGGATGAGGGAGCCTGCCCTCGCGTGGTGGCCGGGGCACATCGCCGCAGGCCAGGTGAGTCAGCGTCCACCCGTTTGCCGGGCAGCAGGCACAGGCCTGTGGCCATCCTAGGGTGTGTGCAGCCCTCACTTTCCTCTTGCCTGCCCACCCTTCCCAGGGCCTGGCCTGCCTGTCCCTCCTGCCTGTCCTGGAGCTCCCTGGGTGTGTCAGGAGCCGTCCCCACCACAGCCACTCAGAGGCGCTCCTGTCCAGCCTCAGCTGCCCCTCCACGCCTGGTTTTCGTCCACCTGCTTCTCTGACTTAAGGGGTAGGGCTCACGGTGGCGTTAGGGCTTTCAGTGTTAGAGCGAGGTGGTCCTCTCCAGACAGGTGGGCCTGGAGAGGTGGGACCTCCTGGCATCTCCCTGGCAGGGCTGTGATTCTCCTTTCATCTGATCCACAGGGGCAGAGGAGGCTGCCAGGGATTGAGGACATGGCCTGGCTCTGGGGTCTTTGAGACCTGGTTTGAGGCCCTTCTGCCACTCACAGACCTTGTGGTTCCGCTCAGTCCCTGCCATGGGCATGTGTGTGTGCGCATATCTGTAGACCCAGCTGGGCAGCGGGGCGCATGTCCCCCCGGGGATTGGCCCCCAGCCCCGTCGGGTCGGGGCAGTGCCCTGAGCATGTTGCTGTCGTGTGTTTCAGGTGAGCCACCAGCTGGGCAGTATCATGGACCTCTTCACCACCAGCCTGGCACTTGCGGGCCTGACGCCGCCCAGAGACAGGGCCATCGATGGCCTCAATCTCCTCCCCGCCCTCCTGCAGGGGCGGCTGATGGACAGGTTGGTGCTAGAACTGCCCCGGCCCCTTCCCCGGGATCCAAGTGGTGAAGCCCAGAGCTGATGATCAGGTGTGACCCCCAGGCCCAGCTGCCCCTCATTCCGGACACAGGCATGCTTGTGCCCAATGCTGAAGGAGGCGGGGGACCTGTGACGAGAGGACCTGGGGGTCTGCCTGTGGGGCGGGAGCCACCCTGGGAATGTCCAAGCACAGCGAGGCCCTGGCTCTCAGGAAAGCCTTAGGAGGGAGGGTGAGGCCTGGAGAGGGGCCTCATCCCTGCCTGTACCCGGGCACACGCCACCCCTGCCCACCCCACCCCTCTTCCCTGCCCAGCCTGGTTTTCGGTGCCCCATGGCTTCCTATAGTTTCCTTCCACCTGAGTCGCTGCTCTGCCAAGTCCACAGCCCGGCTCATCCGGCTCTTAACTTCTGTCTAAATCCTTGGTGTCTGAAGTCCATTTCCTACCCCTGAGAGCAGCCACCACTTCACTCAAACCACGTTTCCTGGGCGGCCCTGAAGGGATGAGGATTATTCCAAAGGCTTGATGGGAAACAGAAGGTGGGGATGGCCCAAGGCAGCTGCCTCCTCCGGCTTTCCGGGGCCGGACAGAGGGGGTTTTGCTCACTTGTCCCCTCTCGGGACCTGGCACAAGTGCTTGGTCACTGTGGGGAGAGACGGTGCCCGGCTGCGTCCCCCACTCCCCGTTCCTGCCTCGCAGGCCCAACGTGGTCCGGAGACCCCGTGCCACCCGCTTTCCTCTCGCCTGCCCACCCTCCCCAGGGCCTGGCCTGGCCTCACCAAGGACCAGCAATGAGGGGACGCCCAGGCACCCCAGCCCCGGCCACCTTACTGGCCTTTTCACTTTTCGGTCGTCTTTGTAAAGTATCACCCAAGACCTCACGCAGAGGCATGAGCCACTGATGACGGACGCAGCCCGGAGCCCCCAGGTGGACCCAACGTGTGCTTCCCATCGTTACATGGTCCTCCCCTCCCGTCCGACAGGCCCGTCTTCTATTACCGCGGTGACACGCTGATGGCGACCACCCTCGGGCAGCACAAGGCTCACTTCTGGACCTGGACCAACTCCTGGGAGAACTTCAGACAGGTACGGGGCTCGGGACACGGGCGCGGGCGGAGCTGCCCCCATCTCTGTCCAGATGTGGCCCCTGAGTGCCATCCTTGGGGAGGCACAGGAGGATGAGACAGGCAGGAGCCCCACCCCCTCCACAGCCTCCTCTGCGTGGCCCCCAGTCCTTCAGCGTGGCCCAGGGTGTGGCAGCTGACAGGCTGGAGGCGAGGGAGGGACCTCCTCCTGCCCCGCATGATGACAGCAGCCCTGCGGCACAGCTACAAGCCTGGCCCAGACCCTGGTCGGGTGGCCCCCGTGGGCCTCTCCATCCTGCCAGGGCACCTGAGCCTCGCCCACACCCCAGGCTGGAGGCGATAGGGGCGTGGCCTGCTTGGCCCCGGGTGCTACATGGGGGCCATAGCCTCAGCGTCACCACAGCAGCCCCCAGCGTGGGAGGGTGAAACGCCACACGCACAGGGCCTGGGGCTCCGGCCACCCCAGGCTACCCCAGTATTGTCAGTGCCAGACTCTCCCACGAGCCCTCGCCTCGAGCCTCTTGCTCCCTCCCCAGGGCCTTCTCTGGCCCCTGCTAATCCCCACGCTCCAGCATCCCCGACCCCCTCCTGAGGGGGCTCTCTCAGCCCCACCCACTCCCAGCATCAAAGTCTTGAGATATGAACCCCCTGCTAATCTGCCTTAATTGGGAAGAAAATCATTCAGTTTAATGGAGAATCTAAGGACTAGAAGTGAGGACTGGAGCTGAGGGCTGAGCACTCAGGCTGAGGAGTGAAGCTGCTCGCGGGGCAGCAGCTGGAGGGCACCAGTGCCCAGGAGTGTTTTTGGCCTCTCTCCACCTTGTGCAGGCCCCGCACCCACTCTTTTTTCGGGTTTTACCCAACACTGCCGCTTGCGAGGGCCGTCCTGGGCATCGGTCCCCCGGCCCTCTCCGTGATCCGCCCTTCTCCAGACTCCCAGGGTTCCTCAGGGCTGCTCTAGTGAGCACCATGGGTATTTCCTGGCTACCTGGAGGCCGGCAGTGTGTGGAACCCTCTGGAAGGAGGGCTGGTCCCCGACTGTCACACACGCAACCCTTCACCCTCTATGGGGTCCCTGTCATTGGCCCTCTTGGGACAAGGTCGGTGAGCCCCGCTTTTGCCCACGTTGGTGTCCAGAGCGGACGGGCTACAGCCAGAAGGGCACACAGAGCTCCCGGGCTGAGCCTCCCAGGCTCCTGTCAGCGCCTGGAAGGTTTTGCAGGCAGACTCGCCGCTGATGCAGCCGGGGTCTCGCTCGCATGCCACTCCTTGCTGGAACATGTTTGTGCAAGGGCTCAGAAAACATCAGGAGAAGCCCCCCAGCACCGGCAGGCAGGGAGGCTGTTAACCGCGTCACTCCACTCCCTGGAGAGTATTGGGGGCTGCCCCTGACACCAGGCACCATGGTCCTGAGGGCCCAGGGCTTGGCCATATGGCAGATGCCGCGGTCCTGATGGCCCAGGGCTTGGTGACATGGCAGACGCCGCGGTCCTGAGGGCCCGGGGCTTGGCCTCATGGCCGTAGGCAGAGTGGGGTCGTCGGTAGTGAACTCACCTGTTCCGGGGCAGATGTCCTTACTCGTAAAAATCGCAGCCTGAGATGCAGAAAATGAGGACCATGGACTGTGAGCGTCGTGGGGTGGGGAGGGCCGGGGGAGGGGCCTGGCGTGGCTGAAGCTGCTGGTCAGCAAATGGGGCCCAAGGGGGCCACAGCTGAATGTTCCAAGAAGGGAACCTGGGGTTTTTTTCTTTGGAGTTTTATGGGTTTTTAAGTATATCCAATTAAACACAATTTTTTTTAAGACAGAGTCTGGCTCTGTTGCCCAGGCTAGAGTGGAGTGGCATGATCTCAGCCCACTGCAACCTCCACCTCCAGGGTTCAAGCGATTCCCCTGCCTCAGTCTCCCAAGTAGCTGGGATTACAGATATCTGTCACCATCTCCGGCTGATTTTTGTATTTTTAGTAGAGATGGGGTTTCACCATGTTGGCCAGGCTGGTCTCAAACACTTGACCTCAGGTGATCCACATGCCTCAGCCTCCCAAAGTGCTGGGATGACAGGCACCACACCTGGCCTAGACACATAATTTGAGCATACAAAGAAAAATCAGAATTTGTTTTCCAGCCTAACAGCAGATGACAGTAGGCTCCTGTGACGTTTTTGTCTGTTGTGGCCACTGCCGGGGAGAATCTGCGTCCTGCGTGGGTATCAAGTCCGTGATCCTGTTGTTCCCGTCCTGCTCCACAGCCCCACAAGGTGTGGCTCGGCAGGCCGGCCCGTGGCCAGAGCCCCACGGACTCGCCTGCCCTGTGGGCCTGGGGTTCTCTTGGAGGGCACGGACTGGGCCTTGGTCTCTGGCGGCTGGCCAGCCTTGCGGACGACAGACACCCTCTGGTTCCTATCACACGTGGCTGAGTGGGTCAGATGGGAGCCTGTGACGGACAAAACACCCTTGGCAGTGTGGGGGTGGGGGGGTGGGGGGTTTGTGGTGGGGGTGGGGGGGTGGGGGGGTTTGTGGTGGGGGTGGGGGGGATGAGGGGGGTTTGTGGTGGGGTGGCCTCTCCAGTTCTCCCTGGGGCCTCGTGGAGACACCTGCATCGTAGAATAGCTCCATGCCCGATGCCCCTGCCTTCCTGGGCAGAGCTGTGCTGGGCCTTAGCACTGTCGCTGGGCTGAGGCTGCAGCTCTGTCTGGGAGCACCTACCAGCTGTGCACAACAGTTTGGTCACCTCCTGGTGATACCGTGCGGTGGGACCTGGCATCCCCAGAGCTGGTGAAGGGCTGTCTGTGGATTTGCTCCCGAGGGAGAGATGTGCCCAGCAGGAAGCCCTTGGGGGCCCCGGGGTCCTCGCCCCTCCGTCTTTTGGGTCAAATAGTTCGGAATTAGTTGCTTGCTGCTGTCAGATCCATGGAGACCATCCTGGAGCCGGGACTCGGCCCACATCAGCCTCGTGGGCAAAGGCAGAGAGCAGCTGGCCTGCAGCCACAGCGAGTCTGCCCAGAGCCCACGTGACGGGGGGGTGGGGGGTGCCAGGGTTCTGGCAGCAGGTCCCTTATCCACACTCCAGGCCTGTGCCGGTCACACTGTGGGTCACAGGTTTGCCTGTGGAGGTCCTGGGTCCTTGGGCTCCCTGCCACCACTGCCGCTGCCACCTCCCGTTGTGACAACACGGATGCTTTTCTTCCAAATGCCGGCCCCGTCCGCCCTCCTCCCTCCCAGGGGACAGTGAGGCCCAGCCAGCTGGAGCATCATAGACAATGACGAGGTCATGTCCCCCGAGCCGCCTGCCCGGGGCCAGTGGGGTCCTTCCTGGGGGGTCCACATGCCGGGGGTGACTGCTCTGCGAGGCCACACTGTGCATCCTGGGCTGGCCCCTACTCTGAAGGCGCAGGCTGGTGTGGTCACAGCTCGGGGCTGTGTGCTGGTCTGCCGTCCCCTGGTCCCAGGTCACCTGGAGGGACCTTGTTAGTGTCATTCTGAAGGCTGAGCCTGAGAACCAGCTGGGCCTGGAGAGTCCTCAGTGTGACCTGACCACAGGTCACTGCTCCTAGGACCCCTCCACTGGCTGATGCCAGGTAGACCCCAGCACCCACAGCCCTCCACTAATGGGGTCCTCAACACCTTCCCTTCTGGGCCTTTGGGGGAGGAGGGAAAGGTGCTGTGAGGAAAACCACAGCCACGGACGGGTGTTAGCCCTGGGGCCAGGCCGGACCGAGTCGCTCCTCCTGGCAGAGTGGCCTTTGGGTGGAGCCTGGCCAGTGCCTGCCAGTGAGGTGGCAGCAAAGTCAGAAGGTGCACACCAGCCCTCACAGGCTATTGCCGCTGCTGGGTCCTGTGGCTCTGCCCCCATCTTCTCCTGGCGCCCCAGGATCCTCCTCTGCCCACCTCAGGCTGGGCCCTTGACCCCTGCAGCGCTCTGCTCCCCGCAGGACCCCTTCCCACCTGGAGACCCAGCTGCTGGCACCCAGCCTACAGGCCTACCCCAGCCATCCAATCAGCCCACAGGCCCACCCCAGCCATCAGATCAGCCCACAGGCCCACCCCAGCCATCGGACCAGTTGCCCTGCCTAGTGCCTGGCTTCTCTGCCAGCAGGGCATAGGCCCTGCCCTGGGTTCCCAAACCTGAATGCGTTCCTCGCCGCAGGCCCTTGAGCCGTGTGCGGTGGGCAGCCCTGGCTGCCGTGCTCGCCGTACACTGTCACATCCCAGTGCGTCCTCGGTGCTGTGCTCGTTGAGAGAACTGGTGCCTGGCAGGTACCAGGTGTGCAGAGGATGCGGCGGTCACCCAGAGGAGCACCGGGGCCATGCACATCCCCCACTGCAGCGGCTGCTGCGGCCACAGAGTGGGAAGCAGGAGAGGTCAGGCCGATCCGTGAGACCCTCGGCCTTTCCTGACCAAATCCCCGAGCGTCTGCCTGTCTACGGGATCATCCCTTCCCCTCCTACCTCTCTTTTAAAAGTCAGTCCTGACTCCCAGGCCCCTGCCTGCACCCCACCGTACATGCCCAGTGCCTGGCACTCGGTGCTGGCTCAGTGAGGAGGAAGAGGTGCGGGGCGATGGCTGGCTCTGCTGTGGTGCCCCCAGGGTGAGGTCTCCCTCGGAACATAGCAGTGAGAGAGAAATCTGCACACATCAGCCGGGTCTTGATTAAACAGCTTATTTGACTTGCGTCCCGGCCGTAGGTCACGTCATGTGTCTTGACTGAGATGCTTCCCCATTACCTGCCAGCATCTTCCTGCAGAGTGTGGCCGTTCCTCCCGCTGTCCATCCACACATGCTGTCTGTCCGGGAGGCCACAACACTGCCCACCACTGTGGTGCCACTTTCGCGTCCACTGCTGCCCTGAGCCACGCTGAGCGTGGCCCTTGGTTTCCAGCTGTGGACTCGGGAATCTGCAGCCCAGGGCACGTCAGTGGAATTGCATGGACTTCTAACCTCCCTCCTCCACTGAAAAGCAGAACATGGTCTGCTCCGCTGACCAGCTGTCCCTCCCAGACACACGCCATGTGCTCGGAAACAGTTTGCTTGTCAGACGGCTGATGCCCGTGGGAGCTGCTCAGTCACTGGTGCCAGAGGCAAGCAGCTTGGCTGCACCTGTCCCTGCCCACCCTGGCTCAAGGCTTGAGGGATCCCTGCACACAGTGGCCCAGTCTCCTGGCTGCTGGAGCCCCTGGCACAGTCCTCAGATGAACCCCTTGGCCTGCAGCACCCCCTCTGGGAATATTAGAGGCATACCTCCCCCTTCCCGAATCAGGGAGCCCGGGGGTGGGGGCGGGGGGCGGCAGCAGAGAGAGAATTGTGGTTACTGTGAAATCCTCGCCCTTCTTGAGCGTGTGAGTCTGCGTCAACCCCCTGGCTCTTTCTGTTTCTTCTCGCCTTTCAGGTGTTGGTCCTGCTCTTCCCCGTGTCAGGGTTTCTATAGGGATTCTGGGCATTGTGGCTCTCCCTTCTCCCAGGGCAGGCCCTCCCTCTCATCCCCAGCAGAGAGTGGGGTGTTAAAAGGGGCTTTCCTCCATGAAATTAGTGGCTGTCCAGATGTGAGGCTGGCTAAGGTGTTTTAAGGACACTCACCTGCCCCACAAAGAAGAGGGATACATGAAAACGGGGTACGTGAGGCATGCCAGCTATGCATCTCGGGGGTCCAGAGCAGGTGGCTTCACCTCCTCCACAGGATGCTTACAGGCCCAGTAGTCCTTCAGTGTTCAGCCAGTGCCCTGCACCATGCTGAGTACCAGGAACACTGCTAGGCACAGGCAGACAAGGCCCCCCACAGCCCCCAGTTAGGGGCTCCAGGACACGGGCAGATGAGGCCCCTCACGCCGCGGTCAGGGGCTCCAGGACACACCTTCCCTCCTCTTCTCATTGCAGGGCATTGATTTCTGCCCTGGGCAGAACGTTTCCGGGGTCACGACTCACAGCCTGGAAGACCACACGAAGCTGCCCCTGATCTTCCACCTGGGACGGGACCCGGGGGAGCGGTTCCCCCTGAGGTAAGTCGGTGCAGGGCCTCCTGACTGCTGGGGCGGTGCCAGCCGGACTCCCCCAAATGCAGGCTCCACAGGGACGGAGCCCCTCTGCATCCTGCCCGCCGCCTCCCCGTGCCTGTGTCTCCTCTTACTGTTCGTACCCACACATGCTTGGTGGCCTGCCCTCCTCTCAGGGTGCCTGCTCCCGTGCACCCTGGTGGTCTCCCCACTTCTGTGCCTTCTGGGCCGCCGTCCACCCGGCCCCCAGTGATGTGTTCCCGACTCTGAACTGCCTTTGGGGATGGCTGAGGCCAGAGGGGAGGTGTCCAGGCCCTGGGGCCAGCAGGAAGTGCAAGGACACAGGTCAGCTAGCAGGAGGAATGGTAGAAAGCCGCCAGCCCCAGCTCCACCCTCTGCTCTCTGGGCCTTGTCCTCACCCCATCGAGGATGCCGGAGCCTGTGCCATTGCCTGCCAGCCTTCAGGGAAGCCCTCCCCTTACCCTTGGGAGTCTCGAGGGTCATGGTCGCCAGTACCAAGCCCACGTGCCCTCTGGCAGCTCCTTAGGGGCAACACAGAGGCCCCAACACTTGGCTGGAGGAAGGCCCAACACTCTGGCTTCCTTTTTTTTTTGCCCAAGGCTGTCTCCCTGGGCTAGGCCTGGCTGGAGGCTTCTCCACCTCACCCCAGCAGGATGAGCAGGTCCCCAGTTCCTGCTGCTGGTCTGGGGTTCTGGGGCACATGCATTTCCAGTGGTCTCCAGCATTCCTGCCCTATCAGGTTAGTCCTGGGAAGACCCAGGAGCGTCAGGGGAGTGGCTGTGCAGAGGCAGAGCCAGGCCTGAGCACAGCAGTTGCTCTCTGCCCAGGCTGTTCTCTGCTTACCAATCGGCCTGGGTTTGTGTAGGGCCAGTGGGAGGCAGCAGAGAGCAGTACAGGACCGAGGGTGGCAGCACCACTGCCAAGGTCGCTCGAGGCTCCTGCACCCTCTGGACGGGGCAACCGCCTTGCCACGGGGCTGAGCCTGCGCTGAGGTTCCTGGGCTGGAGCCCCTCCCATGGCCTCAGGGACCATTTGGGCACTTCCTCAGCAGCACCTCTCCTCCACCAAGTGTGCAGCTCAGAAGCCCAGGATGTTGACTGCGGGAAGGCAGCACGGAGCCTGGAGTGGACAGAGCGGTGTCCCCAGGCCCAGGTCCACCCACACCTCCCAGCTCCATCAGGAGGGGAGCTGGCTCACCTGGTAACCCCATCTCTAGCTTTGTGAGGAGCTGCCACACTACCTTCCACAGTGGCTGCTCCAGTCCGCGTCCCCACCAGCAGCAATGCGGCTCCCGGCCTGGGCAGTGACAAGCTCCAGCTTCAGCCTCACACTCATGGAAGTTCCTCCCTGCATCTCCACGATGACAGTGGGGGCAGGTGTCTGTTCAGGTGCATGTTGGCGATATTAGAAATGATTGAAAATGGTGAAAAAGCATCATCTCTGCAGATGTCCTCAGAGCCCGGCACGACAGCGCCATGGACCCTAGATTCACAGCATCGCAAACTGCGGCCCTCACGGCACCTCGTCGAGTTGTGTAATCGTATCTTCGTGAAAACGAAAGGAATCCAGACACTCCACGTGTTTGCATTGGAATTTTAGAACCACAGATGCTATTCCTCTCCATTTCCCGCTTTTTTTGGGCAATGGGATGATATTGCTTTTGTAATGAAACAAGTTTGTGTCGTATTTGTAAATGTTTACGTAGTAGCGAATACTGGGGAGACCCACACACAAGTCCCAGCCCACACGTCCCAGGTCCTGGTCACAGGCAGGTCACCCTAGTGGGGACAGGACGGGACGGTTCTTCTCACAGCCTCTCTGCCAGGGCTTGGCCTCCCGAGCCTCCATTTCTTCCGTTGCCCGTGAGTCTGAGGGCAGAGGATGGCTCAGGTGCCTGCTGCCTGTCCTAGCAAGGCCTGGGGCCGCTGTAGGCTTGAGCACGTGGTCCACAGTGACTGCCCACTGTGGTTCTCGGCCCATTAGACCCCTGAAGCCTCAGCCTTCCCAGGCCAGCCCCTCCCTGTCCTTCCCTGTTGGCCCCAGGCGCACCCCTGCAGCCACAGCCATGTGACCAGAGCTCTTTGTCCCCAGCTTTGCCAGCGCTGAGTACCAGGAGGCCCTCAGCAGGATCACTTCGGTCGTCCAGCAGCACCAGGAGGCCTTGGTCCCCGGGCAGCCCCAGCTCAACGTGTGCAACTGGGCAGTCATGGTAAGTGGCTGGTATGCAGGCAGCCATCTCTGTGCCGGGTCCGCAGCCACCCACCTGGGGCCCCAGGATGAACCGTGGCCAGCACAGGGCGGGGGTAGGGGCTCTTCCCTGCCTCCGTCAGTGGTAAGGCCCTGGTGCCTCAGAGCACACGTGGTGGTGTCCAGGATTCAGGGAGCTGGAGCCGAGCGACTCGGGGACCAGAACAACACTGTGCCAGGGCAGCCGCAGGTCCAGAGCCGGCCACCCGGGCCTCTGCCTGGCTGAGACTGGGGAGCTCCAAGACCCCTCTCCTGCCCCCCACAGGTGGTCACTGGGGGACAGCAGGAAGCATGAGAGGGGCCGGGGTCCCCTGGTCCTCGACTCCCACACAGGCAGCTTCTCCTTGGAGGGGCCCTGTGATGACACCCGAATCCCCAGGCTCTGCAGGCACTGAGGCAGGAACGGCACTGCCCGCTGGGTCCCGGGTGGACTGGTGCTGCACTGTGAGTGGCAGCGGCCCCAGGGCCCACCTGCGAGGTTCCCATTGTGCCTCCTTCATGCTGGGCCAGCCCCAGGGACCTTCGTGTCAGACCTGATCCCACTCAGTCACCCAGAGCAGCATCTCCTTGCGGCCTGATGAGACCAGGCCATGTTCACCTCCAGTGGAGAAACGGCCTAATCACACCAGCATCGGCCAGAAACACAAGCATAGATGTGCCTCCAAAGTTTCACTGAAGTCTGTTCAAGGCACAAAGGATGCATCTCCTTGTCCAGACATGGGGGCCGCAGTCAGGGCCTCTTAGGAGCAGCTTTTCTGTCCCCTGCTTGGGGGTCCGCTAGGGTGGGGTGTGGACGGCCCAGCCATCCTGAGTGTGCAGTGGCCACAAAGGCCTTTTTCCCAGCACAGTGATGTGGGTCCCAGCAGGGAAGGCCTTCGCGGCTCCTTCAGATGGGACATGTGCAGCCTTCACTCCAGTCAGCAAAAACGGGCCACACACAGGTCTGCAGTGTCACTCCTGGGTGCCCAGAGCCCACAGAGCACAGTGGAGATGGCCAAACCCAGCTTCCAGGCCCCTGAGCCATCACTTACCTGTTCACGTGGGCTGAGCGTGGCTGCCCACAGCCCCTGGATCCGCCGAGTGAAACCGCAGGAGCTCGGGACCCCGGGGCAGCTGCAGACTTCAGCCTGGGCTCCTGCTGTGTGGGCGAAAGGACCTGGCTGCAGCGTGGGAACCGCTGGGTGCCCGCCGTGCCGTGGGAAGGAAGGTGGTGGCTCTGCACAGCCAGGGAGCCACAGCGTGGGCCGGCAGGTGGAACAGGAGAGCGCCGGACATCAGCAGCACCTCCCAGCAATGAGGACCAGGGAGGGCAGATGGCCTTGTCCCTGCCCAGGGAGGGTCCACCCTGCAGGGATCATTTAGGACTGGGCGGGGCAGGGCCACCTCCGTTAGTTGGGGGGCTGGCGGGGGTGCCTGGCAAGTTTCATAGGAAGATATTCAGGGCCCTTCCTTCAAAGGGACCTGGGCAGTTGGCGTCCCTGCCTCTGGACTCAGCAGTGGAGCAGGGAGGTCCCTGTCTCAGGACCCCTGAGTCTCGGGCCCCAGGAGCCCAGGGCCACCAGCCACGGAGGATCCCTGGGCTTCTGCCTTCCATACCCAATCCCAGTCCATGCTGCTGGGTCCTGCTCTGCGACCCAGGCTGCAGTGGCTCCACGGGTGCAGGCCACACCAGCCATGGAGACAGGGGGCCCAGGGCAGGGGAGGGGGGTGCACACAGCCTGGCTGCCGCTGCCATCTCCTGGGCACTGGGGGAGCTGCCCCCACCGCCACACCTGTGCCCTCTGCAGGGGGAAAAGTGGTGCCAACTCAGACCTGGCGAGGTGAGCCACTGGGGTCTGAGGGGCCCAGACGCCACCGCGAGCAGAGCCACGGAGGAGATACACAGGCACGCGTGTGAAGCCTGGGGGCCACTTGCCCTCCTCACCCCTTCCCTGCCCTCTGTCCCCACCAACTGCAGGCCAGCCCCAGCCGAGGGGCTCAGTGGTGTCTCTGACACAGAGGAGAGGGAGTCTGGCCACCTGGACCCCTGCTCCTGGGACAGCTGAGCAGCCTTTGAGAAACGCAGACTCACACACACCCTGCGGCTGCCTCTGCTGCCCCTGGAGTTTGGGAGCAACCTCCTCAGCCAAACCCACCCCTGCTCTGGTGGCCAAGGGGGAGGGACACTCATGTGGCCACTCAGTGACACTCACGCCTGCTGCTGCCCAGGGCTGAGAGTGTCCTTAGTCCTCTGTCCGATTAAGCAGCACACAGAATTCAAAAGTCTGTCCCGACGGGAAGGTGCCCTCAGGGCCCTGCGGCATCCGACGTGGCACCGAGGTGGCCCGGATGGGGACACAGAACCAAACGGCACTCATTTCAGCCAAGAAGGCTCCTCTTAGGGGCATAAGTCTCCCTTTCTGTTGCCAGGAAAACTGCCCTCCCACCAAGCAAGGCTTCCACTAAGTGGGGCTGCGCTGTGAGGTCCACACACACCCAGGCGATGGAGGGGTGCGGGCTCCGCTCAGTGCCACACTGAACTGAGCCCAGCAGCGCGGCAGGGACCGGCTCCTCCCTGGGAAAGGCTTCTTGAGAGGCTGAAGCTGCAGGAGAGGGTGATGAGTTGAGAGGCTCGGGGTGGGCCTTTCTAACACTGCTGGCCACACAGAGGCCCTCAGCCACTTGGCAGCTGCATCCCCCACACCCAGGACTTCCCCACCAAGTTCTCACTCCTCCAACAGCAGCCTCCTCAGAGCTGGGAGGCTGAGTCGGGAGGGCGCCGCCTCCCGAGTTCCCATGATTCCTGGGGAGGCGTCTGTGTAACTGCCCGCCTGGACTGAGGTGGCCTCCACACTGAGGCCAATTAGATGGGAGTCGGGGATTGGACTGGGCAGGGGACACATCAAACTGCTCAAGGCCAAGCGTGGTGGCTCACGCCTGTAATCCCAGCACTTTGGGAGGCCAAGGCAGGCGGATCACCTGAGGTCAGAAGTTTGAGACCAGCCTGGCCAACATGGGGAACCCTTGTTTCTATTAAAGAAATGGCCGAGCGTGGGGGCTCACACCTGTAATCCCAGCACCTTGGGAGGCCAAGGCGGGTGGATCACGAGGTCAGGAGTTCAAGACCAGCTTGGTCAAGATGGTGAAACCCTGTCTCTACTAAAAATACAAAAATTAGCCAGGCGTGGAGTATAGCCGTGCCTGTAAGCCCAGCAGCTATTCGGGAGGCTGAAGCAGGAGAATCGCTTGAACCCGGAAGGCAGAGGTTGCAGTGAGCTGAGATCGTGCCACTGAACTCCAGCCTGGGTGACAGAGCGAGACTGTCTCCAAACAGAACAACAAAGTGCTGCTGCTGGGCCCACGCGAGCTTGGAATAACTGTGTTGTTTTCTCAATTTTCATTTCCCAGAACTGGGCACCCCCGGGCTGTGAAAAGTTAGGGAAGTGTCTGACACCTCCAGAATCCATTCCCAAGAAGTGCCTCTGGTCCCACTAGCACCCGCATGGACCCAGGCCAGGCCTGGAATCTCCGGTTGGCTCTGCAAGTGCCTGGGGGGAGGACGGCTCTGGCCTCAGTGCTCCCCCGGACCCTGCCCAGGCCAGACAGACGGCACCTGCAGACACGGGGGGACTGCATGACTCCACCTACCCAGGACCTGACCCTGGAGTGTGCTCGGCCCTCCTCCTCGCCCACGGGGCCTCAGATCTCAGGACCCTCCTCCTCGGCCACGGCGCCTCAGACCTCAGGACACTGCCGTCTCACGCCTTTGGGAACCCCAAATATCTGAGACAGGTCTCGGTCAATTTAGAAAGTTTATTTTGCCAAGGTTAAGGATGCGCCCGTGACAGCCTCAGGAGGTCCTGAAAACATGTGCCCGAGGTGGTTGGGGGTACAGTTTGCCTTTACATCTTAGGGAGACATAAGATAGTATGTGTAAGACATACATTGGTTCGGCCAGCCTTCCACCGAATACGTGATTCAGTCTGGCCCAGTGAATCCGCATTTTTATGTTAACAATAAGGGAGGGGAACAATCAGATAAGCATTTGTCTCAGGAGCCCCAGAGGGGTGACTTCCAGTTCCGTCTGTCCTTTGTCCACAAGGAATTTCCTTGGGCGCTAATTATGAGAAAGGTATGTAGTCTTTATCATTGTAGCTACGTTACTTAGAAATAAAATAGGAGGCAGGTTTGCCTAATTCCCAGCTTGGCTTTTCTCGCCTTAGTGATTTTGGGGTCCCGAGATTTATTTTCCTTTTATACCTTCCCAGCAGCTGCCAAGAATCAGGTGCCCAGCTCCGGCCGCCTCCCACCTTCTCCAGAGCCCAGCGCTGCATTCCTTGCCAAAGGGCAGGACTCGGGGCTCCCTGCTGTTCCTATACCAGCCCAACAGCCCGGGCTTGAAGGAGGTGACAGGGCCAATTCCGTGTTGAACCTTCCCCAGATCCCTCCTCCAGTACCCCCCAGTCCCAGGCCCTCCTCGGGCCATCTGGGAGACAGAGTCAGGAACAAGGAGGGGAAGGCCGAGGCCTCCTGGGCTGGATGTGGACGGCTTAACTGCAGCTCACACACTTGGCCCGTGGGCCTGCCTCATGTGGCAGCTTCCGCGGGGATGTGAAGATTATCAGGGTCCTCCATTTGCACCTTCCCTAGAGGTCTGGAGCCCAGGCCCCAGGCCTTGCCAGCCCTGACCATGGCACACTTCGAGGCAGCCGCTGCCATGCCCCTCGGAATCAGAGGATAGGTCCCCCACCCGCCCTGGAACGGGGGCCCCAGCAGCCATACGCAGCCTCCGGCCTCCCCCCTCTGAAGGCTCCTGGGGGCTGCCTTCCACTGAGTGGGTTTTCCCTTCTGCAGTAGCTGCCAGGCCAAAGCTGAATTGGAAAAGTTGCGAAATGATGGGCCGGGCACGGTGGCTCACGCCTGTAATCCCAGCACTTTGGGAGTCCGAGGCGGGCGAATCACGAGGTCAGGAGATCCGGACCATTCTGGCTAACACGGTGAAACCCCGTCTCTAGTAAAAAATACAAAAAAAACTAGCCGGGCGTGGTGGCGGGCGCCAGCTACTCAGGAGGCTGAGGCAGGAAAACGGCGTGAACCCGGGAGGCGGAGCTTGCAGTGAGCCGAGATCGCGCCACTGCACTCCAGCCTGGGCGACAGAGCGAGACTCCGTCTCAAAAAAAAAAGGCTGCGAAACGAAGAAAAGTTTTGGAATAGAGCACAAGGCATTTTAGCCCTGGGGATTTTTTTGAAAGGAAATTGTGTTTGGAGGGAGTTGTGCCTCACGCAACCCCCTGGGTACCAGTCCTCGGGCGGCCAGGGGGTTCACAGCTCCCCACCCCAAGGCTGAGGAGTCACCTGGCCTCTGCAGGCGGACAGAAGGGCCTCTGCCTTCGCGGATGCGCCCCCTGTCCTGGCCACGCCTTCCGGCCACTCTCCCCCAGGTCCGGGCGGGGAAGAGCCACCTCAACGGCAGGGCCCAACCATCCGCGAGAGGCCAGCGCCCCCGGCCGGTCCAGCCCAAGCCCGCCGCCTCCGCCCTGGGCTGCTTCCTCCGGGTCCTGCACCGCCCTCCTGCTACTTGGACTCCTTCCTCACGCCCTCCTCCACCCCGCGCGCCAGCCTCCCGCGCGCCAGCCTCCGGAGCGCCAGGCCTCCGCGCGCCAGGCCTGGCGGCCAGCTCAGCCCTCCTCCAGCCGCCAGGGCCCCGGCCCACAGCTGCCGGCGCAGTCCGGGCGCAGCCCCGAGCGAGGCGCTGGGGATCTCGCCTGTAGCGGAGAGGCAGGGCCCGTAAGCTCGCCAGGTGCCTGGGCAGCCAGCTCCGGCCTCCCTCCCAGCTGCCAGGGCCCCGGCCCGGAGAAAAGAACGGGTTCCGGGCCTTGACTCGCACCTTTGTCCGGTTCGAACGGTTCTGCTCCAGTGGTGCGTGGGAATGCGAGCGCGTCTTAAAATCGATGGCGCCTAGGAGTCCATGAAATACGGTACATGCTTCCGGCGAGGGACGCCCCTTCCCGCGGAAGCCCCGCCCTCACCCGCGCATCCGCGCCCCGGGGATGCCCCGCCCTTCGTGGCGGCCCCGCCAGTCTCCGCGCAGGCGCGCTCGAGCCGCCGCTGGCTCCTCGCACGCGGCCATGGCGGACCCCGAGCTGCAGCTGGTTGAGCGGCGGATCCGCAGCTTCCCCGACTTCCCCACCCCGGGCGTGTTATTCAGGTGCAAGCGCAGGCCGCCCTCGTGGCGTCCCGACCTGCGGCCCTGCGGATGGGAGAGCGTTGCCCGCGACCTCGGCACTGTCCGGCAAGCGGGGCGGGCAGGGCGGGAACCCTCATCCTTCGCCCCCGGGGCCGCTGCCCTCCTTCGGCCCCGGCGTCACCAGGCCTATCTTTGGGTCCAGGGACATCTCGCCGGTCCTGAAGGACCCCGCCTCCTTCCGCGCCGCCATCGGCCTCCTGGCGCGACACCTGAAGGCGACCCACGGGGGCCGCATCGACTACATCGCAGGCGAGTGCCGCGTGGCCGCATCCAGGGCGCCTCTGCCTCCGCGCGCGCCGAGGGTAGCACGTGGGCTCTGCGCGTCTGTTTGGGGGAGGGCTTTTGGGGTCCTTCGGGGGCGCCGGGACGGGCACGGTGCTTGGGGTCGCCCCCTAAGGGTTGTGAGGTTGGGCCCCCGAGGCCGCCGCGCTGTGCAGGCGCCCTGCCCGCAGGTTCCGGGTTCCCAGCCCAGGACAGGCGTGACCGAGTCGCCAGGTCAGTTGGTCTCCCTGGAGTGCCCAAGCTGAATCCACGGGGTCCAGCTGCCTCGCTTCTTGTTCCTTCTGCGAGCTGGTATTGAGCGCCTGCCACGAGCCAGGACTTCCCTGGTGAAGATGACGGAATGCCCACCCAAGGAAGGGGGGCCTGGAGGCCTCCGGGAGAGCCCGAGAGGTGGCCCAGGGAGAACAGAGTGTTCTGGTGGTCTTGCCTCTCCTAGGGCGTGACAGCCCACTCCCTGCACACTGCCCTGAGGGAAGCGCCAGCACTGCCAGAGCCCCCTTCTCACCTCCTGCAGGAAGCCCTCCCTGACCTCCTGCCAGGCTGGGGCAGGGTTTCCCTGAGCGTCCCCCAACCATCACAGCTCAGGTCACCTTGAGAGACTCACAGCTCAGGTCACCTCGAGAGACTCCGTTTTTAGACAGAAGCCCTGGGGCAGAGCTGCCTTTGAGAGAGAGTTGAGGCCTGACAGGTTTCTACCAGCCCCATTAAAGATGGGCTGCTGAGCTGGGGGAGAGGGGCGG